CATTTTTTTTTTTTTTTTCAAATCGTAAGTGCGTTTTCCAGGTACGAATTTATTTGTTACTCATAATTATTTGTGAAATATCACCGATCCCCTAAATCGAGAATCCTGCGGGTCCTTACCCGCATTATGTAAACTCATCGCACTGTAATTTACAGTACCTAATAACCGATAAATTATAACTCGCTAGGAAGTACCTATTGCTATAGCTGTAGTGTCTCACCACCGCCGCCGTTTTCAATTGGCGCGCGCCTACTTCCTATTAATCGGCGACTACGTAATTTCTTTGTTGTGTTTTATTTTAAGACGTCAAAGTCCCCGCGGTCTTCCTTCCGTGTATGCGAACGTTGTGTACATTACTCACTGCCATCGCCGCCTCTCAATGGCCGCTACTATCTATCTGACGGTTTCTGTCAATTTTTAAAATATTTCAATTGCATTTTCGTCCGCCGTAATACCTACAATTCGTGTTGCGCAATGACGGCAAACAACACCTGTCGATTACAATCCATCCTGAATTTAATTTTGAACATACCAGGCACCTATATATATTTAGGTAGGACGTTTGAATTTTTTTCTTTCTTCCCACGTTTCCTGTTAATGACCTCCGTATTAAGTGACCAATGACACATTGAAACAAAGATAATTGACATAAAGAACACACTCGTGTATGGCCTATGATAATCTCGTGTTGAAAACATAGATAACTGAATGTTTATTATAACGCTCGTTGTTCCACATTAAATTGAAATCATGTTAACAAAAAATAATTTTCAAATGATTGTCTAGATATTAGCCATTATGTTGTGTTAGATTTAGAAAATAAATTTTTTTTTCGATTAATTACCCATTTATCATTGCTGTTTAAATCCGCTAGTCGAAAAACAAAATATGCTGGTTTTGTGTGTAAAACCGTATGCATGAAATATAATATATATTACCCATATTTTCATTATGTAAAGCAAAATTATATTCACTATTTATATGACTGTGTCAATTGCCATATTTATATAGCGAACAAATGTTCATAGGTTATTTATTTCCTTTCAGATAACAATTTTTACTTCGTCAGTGTTACCTATTGATATTGAGAGATATACTTAGACTGACAGTTCATTTTGATTGATTTCATTGTAAAAAAGTAAGTATTTAATACAATTTTATTTCCACTTTATATTGAATTTTGATATTTCTATATTCTACCGCCCCTACCTATTTTTGTTTGGTGGATAAAAATTGAATGTTCTAGATCAATCAACATTTTATTTTACGACCTTTGTTTTTATATATTGTATCCATTATGTATAGGAATATTATCAATTATAATTTATAACCAATTAGGTATTTAATATAGCTATATGTATAATGTGTACCTAATGATTTTTTTTTTGCTTGAAACTAAATTAAACATTACCTAGTTTAATCTTATTTTATCTCTTGTTATAAAATACATTTTTTTTCATAGGTAGAATGACTTAGAGTACACTTATAGATTGCTCATGGCCATTGTATTACCTTATCAAAAATTAATCCAAACATGAGTTAATTTCTTGGTTAATTATTTGTATAAAATAGTTTGTACCTACTTAAATAATTTGTTGTACTAGGTACCTACTGTAGTGTACTACCCACTTAAACAATTATTATTTATGATTACTTATGGTAAAATAATATTATCAGTGATGGTTTAATATATAATTTTCATCTTGTTATTATTGTCAAAATAATTGTAGGTTGTTGTAGGTGTATGTTGGTTATTTTTAAAACAACTAACAAAGTTAATTCATAAGTCTTGTTTTTTATAATAGCAATTTAGATTATTGTTTACAGTTTAAATTAAATGGGTAGCTAAATAAATATAACCATATATCTATTATAATATGGTATATATGAACCAAGGACAGTTTGCCCTTGCTGTTGTCTCTATACAATAATGTGTTAGTATTACGTTTGTCCCCCAGTATTCATGATGGAAAGCAAAACCTAGGGATGTTGTAGTTACAGTTTGTAATAAGGTTACTGAATACCATTGACTTATATTAAGTAATTTTATACGTCTGTTAGGCATAGATGACAAATAACTAGGATTCGAATTTGAATGCAACATTTTTTGTGGTGATAAATGCTTTCCAAATAGGTATATATTTGAATTCTTGTAATAGATATTTCAAAAGTATACATTTTCAGTTTCATTTTCCAGTTATTTTACAAGTATTTAATGCATATTTATATATATTAACTAGGAAGGTTATTAGGTTATCTATTAAGTATATGATGTAATAGTTAAAATTTTGGTAATTCTAAATATTATTTAAAGGCATTTTGTTTTCGTGAAATTTGCATTAAGGCTTTAGGTATTTGTTATCAATATAGATTGATATAGATACCAATAGCAGTGGTGTATCACTCAGCGCAAACAAATAGCATCAACAAAAGAGAAACATTTTATTTTGCATATTTTAAATGGTGTTATTTCACTAAAAAAATATTTTTTCGAGCATTGTTCAAAAAAGTGATTATAATATGATCATTTGCCACTGGTATTGCTATCAGGCAGAAAGTAAATGTTCAATTCGATAACACACTTTTTGGCTGCAAACCACAGTACTATACAATATACTATTTTGTTATCAATTTATCTATAACTATTAAATGGTGATAGACACAAATTAAATCGCTAAGTAACATATTGTTTTATTAACCATAAAAAAATATTTTGTTAACCTACAAAATTATCTTTGTTTTATTATAAATTCTATGAATTTATTTACAACTTGGTATTTTAAATTGCATACGATGCATTTACATACCCCCTTAAACTCTGCAAATGATTGATGCCACTGGTTTAAAATTAACTTTGTATGAAAAACGTACCTATTTCATAATTTTAAAGTATACCTACTTAACTAAACTTCCTTAAAAAATTTTTTTTTTATATAATGTGTGTTAATACCCTGAATTGTTTTGGGAAAAAGTTTCTTTTTAATGCTAAAAATAATACATTTATATTTTTGGAAACTATTATTTTAGAAGTTTCAGTGATTTAATCATAATGTTCACATTTACACTGGGAAAATTGAAAGTAATATTTTTATTGTTATTAAATTCCTTGGAACATAATTTTAATTTTTTTTTTTTTAGATTCAATAATAAATCATAATTAGAAATATAAACTTCATTATTTTAATTGACCAATGACTTAAAATAATACCATTGAACCAAATGTACTATTACCAAAGTTCAAATGATCTACAATGAAATAAAAAGAATAAATAAATTGAAAATTTTATTTTATTTAATATAATAAAATAACATTTGAATGAAAAAAACCAATGTTTTGATTACATTATAGTTGACATTCCAAGGTCTTTTCATTTAATTAATATAGGTGCACAACATCTATATTACATTCTAACAAATAGGTTTACTGTAAGTTGTTTTTTTGAAAAACAACACTGGCGGGCTAAGTGTATTTTTCATTCGACCACACCATTTTAATTATAAAATTAAAGTGACTGAATATTAATACTCATCTTGTGACTTAAGAAATTTTAAGAAAGTTATTTCGTTTTGTATTTAACATGAATAGAATGAACTATATATGTTTACATTGGTACTTAATACATTTAAATATATAGGTATATGATATCTAGTATCTATCATTTTTTGTAATTTTTATTAGTCATATAATTTATATTTAAATTTGTATTTTTCTTAACAAATAATGACTGAACATAAAACACAATTACCTAAGTATACATATATATTGCAATGTAAATTATTATTATTTTTGTTATTTTAAAAAATAGAATATATATCATTTAAATACACTGTAAAGCCATTAAAAATAATTTTAAAAGTGCATCAGTATTTTTAAAAAGATTTTATTTTATCATATTTATATCTAATGAAACTATTACTATGTTATACTCGAGGTTATACTTAATTGGAAAACATATGCGAGTAGTGATATTTAAAATTCTAGGTGTTCATAATATAAAAATGATTTTCACTTAATTTACATTTATTTTTGACATAACATTTGAGAGTATTATGTAGGAAATAATTTTAGTGTACATTTAAACAATTTCTAAGCATATCTTCCGTTTACTCAAGATAAAATACATTTATTTTTTAGATGTTTATTGTCAAAGAACCAATGTTTTCGTGACATTCATTTCAAAGTTATGATGCAATATTATTCATCTGTTTCACAACCTGTGATAAACAAATCTTCAATAACACTTGCGTGACGTTTAAGGTAATTATACAATTATTAAAAATACATGTTAATTTGGTGGTTTAATCATTATGCCTTAATTATAAAAATAAAAAAACAATGTTATAAATGATGTTTTATCGTATTTTTAATTTTTTTAAATACTTCACAGTTACCAAATTTCATTTGTATGGTTTAACTTAATTTTGTTATAAAAAAAAAAGTCAATTTTTAATCTTGTTGACCAATTTCAATATTTTCATTGTACTTACCACTGTTTAAGTACTTATTTTCATTAATTTTGTTTGTTTTGAGAACTTGTTATTTTGTTAAAAAATAATTTTAAGTTTCCAAAATTTTGTAGCATTTATAATTCAATAAATTATACATATTATATATGGTAATTTATTTATAATCAAACCAAATCTTAGTGATTTAATTTGAATTTTATTACTATAATTTTCGAATATCCTAGTTGCTTATAAATATTTATAAATTCATTTAATAAGATTAGTATTTGATATAATACATACTTGTATTTATTTTTTTAATAAGCTAATAATGATGCAAACTAAACATATCTTTGAATGTCTTAATAATTTCTAATCATAAATTCCAAGGTAACTAATTTATTTTTTATAAAAACCAATCGTGCAACCAGTATAAAATTAAAAAAATAGTGCATTAATATTTTAAATGTCATTTTCTGAAAACAATAAATTTTGACTCCTACCATATCATATATCAGTGGTTATCAAACTTAAAATGTGATGGACTGCTGGTTATGGTGATGCGCTCATTAAAAGTATGAAGTTATAACTCGTTTAATTATGATTTGTTTGAGTATGACTCATCAATTTTTTATTAGTTCTAATTTTGTGCAAAAAATTAAATAATGATAAAAAAAGGTCACAGTGTGCTGTGAAAAGTGATGTGTGCCGTGGTCAAAAAAAAGTTTGAAAACCACTGTCGTGTATGTTTATTTCATTTTGTTTATGTATGAACTTCATTAGTTAATTTTACTTTAATAAATCCTTAGTGATTAGTTTGTATAATAATTGTGTTTTTTTATTTTTGTTAAATTATTTATAATTTACTTAGTAACTAATTTGTTTAATATTTTATTTATTTTTTAGATAATTTCTGTTGGCTATCAAAAGCCGTTCAGATTATCATTAAACGGTAAAAACCAATTTCTTTATACAATGGAACGAGAGTCTAATTCAATGCAGGCCTTGTGTCGTGGTGGATGTGGTTTCTATGGTAACCCGTCTACAGATGGTCTGTGCTCTTTATGTTATAAAGAGGCACTTAAAAAGAAACAAACCCCTCCACAAACTGCCCCTTCGCCACCGTCAGTCACTGCTCAGACTATGATGGAGACTGCTATACCCACTATACCAGTGCTGCAAATTCCACCTGTATCTGCCTCCCCAATTTTGCCTTCAGACGTCAAAAAAGATGTAAATTTCTTATTATTAACACTACTTATAATGTATATTATATAATAGTTAATAACATTAAAATATATTTTGTTTGTTAAGTTGGACAATGGACTGGCTAGCAGTTCCAATGACAGCAGTCTTATGGACGATGGTAAAAAAGATGATGAAGATGATGATAAAGATAAGTCTAAAAAGAAAAATCGATGTGCCATGTGCCGCAAAAAAGTCGGTCTTACAGGTAAAGTGAAAGTTAATATTTATTTTAATTATTCAAAATATTTAATAAGTCCATTTTAAAAAATATTCAAATTTTGGATGTATTGACAAATCATTGACAAGGCCACTGATTATTGTGGGTATAATGGTTTTGTTACAATTCTAAAGTAAAATGATATCTCGTAATTTCAGTTCAAATGGGCAAACTCTTATTGTAGTCAAACGTAACTGTATTTAAAATATTATTTGTCTTTAGTAATTCTACGTCTTACAAATATTTGTATGGTTTTATGAATTATTTATTTAGTACAATATCATCAGTGCCTAGAGAATTTTTTAATGTGAGAGGATGTATCAAATAAAAATCGTGAATAAAGAGAAAAATGGTTTTCTCTACACAACTCTACTATGGGAATTGATAATTTAAAAGCCGAATCCTAAAAAAAAAAATCCAATTTCTATTCAATATATCAATTTTTTTCTTAGAAATCTGCTGAAATTTTTGAGTTCATATTAGATTACTATAGATATAAATATTTCTATAGACAACCCCTAACCTCCCTAATCTCACACACATTGATTATAATATATTTATAGATAGGCCAAATGGAAAAACAGAATAATAGTTTAATAGATATTTCTTATAAATTCCTCTGTCTATTTTGGTACTAAAATCAAGTAGCATAATATATTATACAACCTCATACTAATACTAGAAGTGCAAAAATACATTATTGATGTATTAGAATTTACACCAAATAGAAGACAATAAATTTAGATTTTACATTTAAATAAGTGTTCATTACAATCGAGATTGAGATTTTGAGCATCATCATTTACTGTAATATTGAAGTTTATTATGTTTCCAATATCTTCAGTATTTCCTTCAATAAGCTATATAGGAAACTAAATAAACTACCCTAGGAACTATCTTGATTTATTTAAACTTGAAATGCAAAACAATATGTGCTAATTTGTAATAATAATAATAATATCAAAATTATATATAATTATTTTTTTTTCTTTTTAGGATTTGAATGCCGTTGTGGTGGCTTATTTTGCGGCATACATAGATACTCTGACAAGCACAATTGTTCTTTTGACTATAGGGAGCTTGGAGCACAAGAAATAAGGCGCAATAATCCCGTAGTTGTCGGAGAAAAAATTCAGAAAATTTAATAATAATTATGGAATTAAACAATTTTATGCGCATGAAAATAAAGAATGTATCAATATATGAAATATATCTATATACATTTATACAAATACATGTGTATATATATATATATATTTATATATGAATGTATGTATAAATAACCTTCCACTGTAGTTTTATAACAACATAACGTGTACATTCTTAATTAAAGGTATAGTAATTTTATTTTTCTAATGCTGATATCAAAGCCTTATCTGTTTTCAAAACACAATTGACACATTTTTTTCCATTTGTCAAAAGGAGAAGAAGAATATTATAATTTTTTTTTTAACATTCTCAAAGAGCATAGTCACTGTGCAATAGTTTAAAATGTATATAAATCATGTTTTTTTTTTCTTATTATTTTCGTGGAATTTAGTTGGTTAGTTCTATGAAAAAAATTATACGTTTAACGTTGTAAGTTTTTTTTTCCCCACTTGTTAATTTTTTTTTTTTGCTTCCCATAGTTTCAAGAATTTGTTGTAAGTCGTGCTCATTATGTTTTTATATCTAGTTGGTTATTAGCTATTTTAGAAATGATTTATGTTCTTTTTCATTATCTTTAATTATAAAAAAAAAAATAATAAAACAAATATTAATCGTTAAAAATAAAAATAAACTAATTTAGTTGGAACCACTTAAGTATGGAATTATTTTTTTCGATTTACTTATGTTTATCATTATTATTATTATTATAATTATTATTATTATTATTATTATTATTATATAAAGAATATATTTACGCAAACTATATATTATATTTTTCTCTATATTTTAGATGATCTGTAAATTAAGAAATTTTTTTGAGCAAAGCAATCTTGTGTAAATATATTTACAAGACATGTTTAGATAGTACACAAAGATTTTTAAGCAATGTAAATAAAGTAATGGATTGAGTGTCGAGAAGTATTACCCTCTTTACTTTTTGTAATATTATGCTTTATTAATATTCTTATGTTGTACACAATTATTAATATTAATGGTTAAATATATCATGATATTATGTATGAAAAATTAAAAAAAAAAAAAAAAAAAAAAACAGAAAAATAGATCAGAGATGGTTATTATGTTTAATTGGTTTTTGATATTTTAATGCATACATTGAATTAATGCATCCTAATATGTATTTCATTGTAATAAGAAAACATTTGTACACTGAAATACATAAACTGTTATATATATTATAAAACCAGTAAACTTAATATATTGGCTTGCATTTTTGACCTTCAAACACATTTAAAGCATATTGGGATTAGTATATAATATAGACCTAACAAGTTATTAATTATTAAGTCTGGGTAATATTGATATTGACAAGACTACGCTGGTTTTAGTCTGGTGTAGGTATTCAGAGTATTGACGACACCCACTGATAGTGGTTGTATTACTTATAAGTTATAATCATCACTTAATAATCATGGGTATTTGGTTATATGACTCGTGTTCGAGTAACAAACCCCAGAATCTACAACCACGATAATCACGTGAATTAACGACTTCAGAGTTCCGATTATCATCGTCAAAATAGAACCTATGTGTTTTTGTTCTCGCGTAACCTGTGTGTGTGTTAGCTGCTATCTTTTAGAACCTTGCCAATAAAAAGCATTTCATTATTATGTAAGCGATTGGTGACTATATTTCGTCGATTTAGACCTAAAAACCAAACAAAACTAAGGCTCTAGGTTGACGGATTTCAATTTTAATATTCTTTAGGTTCATTATGGTCCGTTGAAAATTTAATTATTTTATTGAAATTCGTAAAAAAAAATAAATGGGATTTTTGAAAATGTACACTAAGTATTTTGTTTTTTTACTAATGGTAATTCGAATTTTAAAATTTTAAAAAAGAAATCCAGCATATCCTTAGAAAAACAAATGATCGATCTTTTTTCGAAATTGAAATCGTCCGAACACAGGTCGTAATGTTTTGTTTGGCTTTCAGGTCTAAATATGATTTATTTTGATTGAAAATGTGTTTGCGAGCGTGTATAGAATCCCTGCGTTTCATGCCCAGTTATCCGTTGACGCGGTACCCCCTAAAGTGCAGAATGTTATTAATAGATATTTTATTTGTAATCTAAATCTATAATATTATAAATACTGATACCGGCCCGTCGAAGAGGCTCTCGTACCGCAATATTCGGAATAGTTTTTATTATTTTAAAATGAATATTGTGGGAATTTGGGAAGGAACTACGCCGTTCTTACAATCTCAGAAAAAAAAAAGACCCGTATAAGTAGGGCATTTCACAATTAAATTTTCCGGTTTTCCCTATTAACCTATTATATAAATGTAATATTCAATAAAATATACGTATTATTGTGTTCTGACAGTTGCATATAATTTAATTATTATTTCCTCCGCTCAGTCAACACAAATATTTATGTTCACAAGGGATTTAATATTGCGTAGGTTTTAATATTAACAAGATTTACATTGCAGTTATTAATCATTCTTGGTACAATATTATTTTGATTTACAATATCGGTGGCTTTTTGTCAAAAAAATTACCGTTAAATTCTCGCATTAAAATTCATCATATATTAATACTTTGGTAGTGTTGTCTGTTATCAAGTATTCACAGGGCTTTATCTTAGATCGTATCACGGCTATAGATAATAGTATTGTAATAATAATTATCTATAGCTGTGGATCGTATACAATGATATTGTATATGATCTAAGAATGTGATACAATGTTTATGATCTAAGGGTTTTTTTGACGATATTTTTATATTGTCCATTGCGTAATAGTACTGTCAAACGTGTACCTAAATATTCAGTTAGTTGTGCTGTATGATGGTTTTTTTTGGTCAGATTATGAAGATTGTGTTTCGTCGAATAGTCGAACGAATCGAATGGCTCTTTGTCAAGTGGCTTTATGGGGTGCATTACTCTGTGATGGGGTGTCACCACTCATCGATATTAGCCACTTTACACAGCGGGTTGTGGGGGCTCTTTCCTAGTCTATATTGCCGCTCGAATCGTCGTCAAATCAGTCTAGTCCACCACGATCTATTGCGAGTATCTTCGCGTCACGTTCACGTATTTTATATTATTTGGATTTGTTTTTTTTTTTTTCGTGAAGAAATATTGGATCTATGTTTTTTATTATGATAATCGTCGAGACGAGTCTAAATATTTCATGTACCTACTACACCGTAGCCCTTTTTTTACGTTACAATGGTCGCGGTCACAACCACAACAACAATAACAAGCACTATCAACATGATATCACAGATTATATGATATCTTAGAACTTAGGTAATAATATCTTTTGTAATTAATTGTATGGGCCGTGGGACGAACGATGGCAATGGAAGTCGATTGGCCCGGTAATAGCTATGAATACGCGACATTAGCGTGTCGGTGTTCGACAGGTGATAGGGTTGTAACCACGACGGTAAACTTGAAAGTTGCGTTTTCGGATGTCGGCCCGATCGTGTTGTTGGCGAGTGTCATCGTGGTAGCTGACGTAACAAGTGGTGGCGTCAGAGTGTATGAAGGATGCGTGTCCCGAGACCAGGCGGCCACCATGAGCAGGAGTAAGATCTCCGACAACGACGAAAGTATTCGTGTCTGGTTGCAAGATGCAAGGACCGCTTTGATCGGACAAAGCGACAGCGACAAAAAACCATTGATTGAATATGCCTACTACTTGGAGGAACTGCCTAAAAGCGAAGATGACGGCAACGTTGGTCGACTGCAGCTATTCTCGTGGAAAATGAAACTACAACCTGTAGGCCAGGTGAAACTCGGTGCCGTAAATCTCACCGAAGTGATGGCGTCAACGTCGGAGCAACTGAACCAACGATTCGTTGAGCCACTCATCAGCCGGCTGTCATCCCAGCAGAGGGACCGCAACCAGTCGAACCGTTTGGCAACTGAAAACACGGTGAAGTTGTTGGACGACAATCGGCGGCTGTTGGACGATTTGAGATCCATAACCGAAAGTCAAAAGCGATATGACCAGAAACTCATGGCTAAGTTTGTAAAGATATTGAACGAAAAAAAAAAGAGACTTGCTGCTGTGGAACAAGAGTTGTCTGAACTCAAACACCGTGATGATGGATCACTGTCAATAGCTGTCGAGTCAATGGTAGAAAAGTCAGTGACTATGACGTCAGTTGACCAATTGAGAGGACGTAGTGTGAAGAAAACTAAATTAAACAATGATGAAGTTCCGATTAAAAAGAAACAACGTACGACTTATAATGATAAAACTAAACAGAGTTCTTTTTTCTCTGACAATTTGGAACAGAAGAATCAAGCAGATTCCATGGACGTAATTGGACTGCGACTTAAGCTTGATGACCAGCAACATAAATTTGGACTGATGGAAATGGACAATTTAAGTAAAACAGACGACTCAAATCTCACTGTGAATAATATGGGGAACATGAAGGCTGTAGTTGAGGTTTCCCCTACAACTGTTAGTATTCCAATTGACTATGATGTTTTTGCCGCTGATACACAAATTGACAATATTATGTCAGACGGATCACCACCATGGTTACAGAATTCAATTCCTCCATTACCAGTATCACACAAAGATGACAACCACCAACAATCCAAAAAGAATGTGATCGATTCCCTTTGGGCAGGATTACTTTGACTGTGCAGTTTAAATTCAATAAGTATAATACTATAATATTAATGTCATTATTTTTAGACTACATATATTGTCGTTGAATTATTCTTAAATAAAATAGGTACCTAGATAGTACCCATTTAATTGTTAAGTTTTTAAATGTTACAAATATTTATGGTGAAATATTTTTTGATGTTATATTTATTATTTGATTGTGAATTTTTATTTTAGCTATTTTTTTTTATTGTTTTAAACAAAATTTAACCCCCTCTAATATTAATATTTTCCCACTACATATATTGTCTTTTTTTTATTCTTAGATAAAGTATCTAATGCGTATATAATTATTTTTTTAATGAATTTTTATTAGTTTATATGGATTTTAGTATGATATTTAATAACTTTAAAAACAATGGTATTGTTTTTAACATGTACATTGTATTATAAAAATATTGTACACTGCTAATTTTATATTTACCATTAATAAATTTTAACATTATTTTTTCTCACTTCTGCTGTGTATTTCAGCTTAAAAAGTTTTTATTCTGCTTTCTCTACCCAAAAGAGGATTAATTCAATAGAGTGAATTTCCAGAATTATAAATAGTTCATAACTTTTTCTCATATGCAATTTTATACATTACTAATCCTATACAAGTGATATGTACTATTTCTAGATTTCAATTGTGTGAAACTTACAATAGTAATAACACACTAAACTAGTATCATACAATAGAGGTCTTAATTGGCGCGCAATTTAAATGCTTGGTTTGTGAATTTGATTCATTGGATGCAGAGAATGGGACTAGAAATGGGATATGAGAGTGTGTATAAGAGAGGAATGCAAAAAGTTAATTAATGTTGACAGGAAAGGAAAATTGATATTATTGGTACAAAAAGATTCTTTTCCTTCAAGTATAACTCCATTCTTCAAGCCTATTGTTAACTTCTTCCAATTCTTATCAAAACCATGTGATGGTACCTTACCTAATATTTCCTTCATTACTATGTAAGGGCTTAAGGCCAATCCCTGATGTGTACATTCCCTAATCCCAAACTCGTCTGTTATTCCACACATACTTCTTACATATATATTTGGACTTTCATGCATATTCTCTATCAAACAAATATACAATCTCGGAACTTCTTTTCTCATTAACAAATCAGAATCCTTCTTGGCAATCTGTCATAAGTCTTGTAAATCTAAAAAAGGTATACATAGGTTATTCTACCATTTGTCTTGCGCAAAACGCATAGTCAATTTCACTGGTATAAAACTAAACTGGTTTTTTAAGATATTGATGTCTTACTTTTAATTCTGTTTTATACAATTTTTGCCTGTATCTTCATACTACGACATCAATTTTATACCTCTAATTTCCATATTCTTGTACTTTTCCTTTCGCTTTAAAAATGGGTATTATAAACTTCTTTCACTCTTCTAACATTTTCTCTTCTAGTAACATTTTTAAAAAAAATCCTTTAACCAGTTTATGTCATGTAAAATTTTCCACTGATACACCATCTAGACTAACTGCTTTTATAGTCTGATCGAATGTATTGGTATTACAATGATGTTCATTTATTACATTTTTTTTTTATCTGAATAATTTTTCACCAAAAATTTTGGTTCGATTTTCAAGTGTGGCACTCTTTTTTTAAAGGAAATCTGACTAGGGTGATATTTTAAGGAGGTAGATTTTTAATTTCTCAGGAGTTTTTATAACAAATGTAAAAAAAGGGAAAATTTACGAAATGTATTATTTTAAAACATATATGTTACTGAACTCCTCTCAGAACCGTTTTTCGTCAGCAAAGACTTATCATTGCATACAAATATACATTAAATTTTCGATACATCCTACTATTCCTACCTTCTCACCTATAAAAATGAACCACCCATTGTGCGAAATGTCTGTCTGTTTTTCTTTTTCATTGCTCTTTAAGTCCACCATACTTTTCTGCTTAACTAATTTTAGTGTATATTTAGCTGATTTTGATTGTATTAAAATCACTAGTTTTTAGGTATTTAAAAAAAAAAAAAAAAAACATTTTTTTCATCAAACTACAATTTATTTAACAAAATGAGCACCCTATTAATTTAATTTAATAAATAACTGAACACAAATTGCTTAAAGACTTCATGGATTAATAAGTTTATTCATAATTCATAAATATAAATAAAAAAAATAATTATTGTCTCAATTATTGGGTACTTTTCAATAAATTAAAATATTTACTTTTAGATATATTTAAACTATTGACTTATGATTTGACATTTATAATTTAAATAATTGTAATAAATTAATAATTGCAAGTGTTAATAGTCATCACTTTTTTTAAATTTGAAGCATAGTGAGGAATCTATTGGTTCCTTTTTTTTTTATATTTTTATAGGTTCAAATTTTAATGAAAATCATTTTTTGATAGCAATGGTTTATTGTCACTTACAGATAAAATTGTTAAACCATGTGTATCCTATCTTCGCAATTTCCTACATATAACATTGGTTCATTCTTTAGAAGTATCAGGTTTTTACAATGAATTTTTATGTTTCATTTAACTCTGACTAAAATAACACAAATTTAATTTAATAATGAATAGTAAATTTTAAAAATTTACAAGTATTTTAGATTCTGATTGCAGCGAAGAAGTTTTTGGTTTCATGAAGATGTTTTTTAAATTTTTTCTGTAGACAACTTTTCTACCAGAAATCTTGCTCTGATTTTTAATATAGTATCTTTTGTAAAACGATATCAGACTGGGGAGGTACTTTTTTGATTTTCCCAAGAGTATCCCCAGGAAAAAACAAGGGAAAATAGAAAAATCGGATCAATATAAAACAAATATTATTAAAGAAAATATATAATGCATATTTAATTATTTTACCATAATACATATATATTATTGACAAAGCATCACTATTAACTGAACTCCGCTCAGAATCTTTTTTTTTGTTAACAATGGTTTAACGTTGCTTACAGATATAAATATATATATATATATTAAATTTCCTTCTGCATCATACATTCTTAACTTCTTGCACTTGTCCCCATTATCCTAGGACAGCTTTTTAATAATTACAAGCATTTTATACGATTACTACATACTTAAAGTAAGTATATTTATTACATAATACAAGTAAATGTACATGAAAGAAAATACTCAATTTTTGACAATTTTGCCAAGTCAAATTAAACATTTTTGGAATCTGAATTGTGTATTTACTAATATTACATTATATTATTTTTAATAAATAGAAATTACCTTTTTCAGATTTAATATGTGGTTTTATATCTAAAAGCTGATCCGTTAAGCTTCTACTATCGTCTTCATCTTCGTTTCCAAAAATAGGCCATTCTCCGTCTGCACGAATCAACCCTCTTTGTTCTAGCAGGGAACTTAAATGTTCCAACATATATGTTCCATCGACAGAAAATTCTGAAGATATACTACAGGAAGATTTTCGATTCCTACAAAGTACAATTTATATAAGACTTTTTTATTTAAATTCTTTTTATAATATTTATGAATTTAAAATACTTTCTTATACCAACCCATGTTTTAGTTCTGAAATTTCTTCAACAGTATCTGTGTTATTAATCTCTACTCTAGGAGACTCTAAGCAAATATTGCGCATTTCATGTGCTTTTTCTGTATAGTAATCAGCCAGCTTATACAGCTTGTCTAACAGACCAATATATTGAGGTGAACTAAAAGCCTGGTCTCGATTAATATCACACATATTACTGTCTAAGCACTGAGATATATAATTCAAAATATCCTTGTGATATTCTAAATTGGCTTTGGATATTTCCAAAATACTTTGTTCCAATTGATTATTTGAGTTTGAAGATACCGAAAGATTATCTATTTCGTTTGGTGACATTTTTAATAAATTACAAATATAGTTCATTAATTCCTTGTTAATCCAAGTGTTATTGTTATTATTATTGTTTGATTTACTCGTTTTTATTTTTTTATTTTTCACATATTCCTCTAATATTTTCAATGTACTGTTACAAAACGAATCTGGTAATCCTACATAGTTAAGGTTTTCTGTTGGATAATCTCTGTACATATCACTTATATTATTTATTGATTGCATATCACTTATAGGTGCTTGATTTGTATAGATCTCTTCAAACAATAGACGTTTTTTCTTTTTAATCCAATTTAATTTTTCATTTATATAGTCTAATGGATGTTGTAGGGGAGTCTCATTCTTCTTGTTAATATATTTTTGCACATATTGGTTTTGGCAAGTACAAGATACATCTAAAAATATTCAAATTTGAAAAGAATAATGACTATACATAATAATAATTATTAATATTAAGGTTGAGTCAATATCACTTTACCGATATTTTGATATATATGCTACTGAAATAAAACTAATACCCAATATCCAATATTTAAAATCAAAAACCCTCAAATTAATATTGAAATTTACAAATATATTGGTTAAAAATACAATTCATTAATATTTTTTTCATAATCCAATTATATAATAACAATTTTTCTATAAAAATATCGGTTTTAAAAAAACCTGAAACCACCCATATTTGCAGATATCAAGCATTGGTTTATGTATCAGCCTACCCCTAATTAATAGATATTTGAATATATAATAAATATAATATTAAAACACCTTCAGATTCCAAAAAATTGAGAACTTTATAAATTGTTTACACATTACACACATTCAAATACAACATAAAATAAATAAATATTTACATAAATTATTAAATAATTAAACACACATAACAAATTGCATTAATTAAAAAACTAATCAAAACAAATACAAATCACAATATATTATATACATAAATCTTGACTTTAGTATCCTGACATCCAGTAATTAAATTCCTATAAAAACAAATTATATTTTAGCAAAATAACCATAGTATAAACAATAGCAATATAATATAAAAGTATTTTAAGGACATAATAATTAAGGAAAATAATTTTAAATGTATAGCATAGTAAAACATATTGAAATAAAATGTATTGTATTATGGAATTACTTTTACACAACTTTTAAGTAGAACCATAACAATTAATATTCTTAATAAATAAAATATTTCAATTTGGGAAATTGTATTGTAGTAAAAATTATTTTATTAGTTATTGCATTTAGTAAAATGTATAAAAATAAATAATTGTATAAGGTAAAATACAATTTTTCAATAGTATATATATATATATATTAGGATAGAATTACTTTATTTTTTGTTCACAATTTATGAATATTGGTGTCCTAATTATCATCAGATTTGCGTGGGTATATATCTAGAAGTTGATCAGTCAGGCTTCTATTGTCATCATTATCACTTAAGTTTTCAAACATCGGCCACTCTTTGTCAGACTTAATAAGTCCTTTGTTCAGTAATAACGTATTGAGATGTTGAAACATATATTCTTCATCAACTGATGAGTTTGATGATACATTCATAGAATTATTTCTAAAACACAATTTAATAATATTATTTGTTATAAAATTAATAATGATTTATTAAACTTACTCATGATTAACTAGATCTTTTGTTTTAGTATTTAGTTCATTTAAATTATGAGGCGGTTCATTACAAATATTTTTCATGTCATGTGTTTTTTCCAAATAGTAATTTGTTAATTCTTGTAACTTATTTAACAAGTTAATACTTTTAGGTGAATCAAACTCTATATCCTGGCTTAACTCAGAAATATCAGAGTTTAAACATTTAGATATACAGTTTAATAGCTCACTGTTATATTGTGTACTTGTTTTTGAATGTTGTAAAATACTTTCCTCTAGTTTAATGCTTGAACACGATGAAACTGATAGATTTTCTATATCCGAAGGTGTCATTTTCAGTAATAAATTTATATAGTCCATTAGGTTCATATTTAATGATGTAGAACATTTTGAATCTATAGGATTTAATTTATTCTTTGAAATTTGTTCCTTTAATGATTGAAGTTGATTGTTATAAAACGAATCTGGAAGTTTAGCATAATATTTTGGACTTTCCTTACGAAAGTCATTGCCAGATGCACATCTTTTAGCTAATGGTGAAGTTTTGGTATTTTTTTCTGTAACATTAATACAATTTATTGAACTTTCCTTAAACAAGTCATTATTGGCCGGACATCTTTTAGGAATTGATCGTATCGACTTTAATTTTGTAGGTTCAATACAATTTATTGATTTTTCTTTACATAAAACATTACCAGCTGCACGTCTTTTAGGTAAAGGTGAAGTTTTAGGAATTGATCGTATCGACTTTAATTTTGTAGGTTCAGTACAATTTATTGATTTTTCTTTACATAAAACATTACCAGCTGCACGTCTTTTAGGTAAAGGTGAAGTTTTAGAAATAGATCGTATTGACTTTAATTTTGAAGGTTCAGTACAATTTATTGATTTTTCTTTATGCAAAACATTACTATCTGCACATCTTTTAGGTAGAGGTGAAGTTTTAGCAACTGAGGATAGTGTCTTTGATTGAGAAGCTATTTCTTTCGCGAGTAGTTGTTTTTTACTTTTAATTCTTTGTATTATATTATTTATATTTCTCAAAGGTTTTTCAGGACTCAACTTTTTATTATATTTCAACTTGGAACTAGATTGTTCATTGATCTTCTTATCTACTTCATTTTTAAAATGGATAGTTTTCTTCATAATAGATTCAACATGATGCTTATTACTAATACTTGATAAGGACGATGAAATATATAAAGACGAACTTGAATTTGATTCATCAAATCTTTTTTCTAAAAAATATCAAAAGATAAACATACATATGTTAAATAATGAATCTGTGGCAATTTCATATAAAATTATCTTTTAAAAATGTCAAACCTTCTAAATATTCCAATACGAATCTATACAAAATTTAATTGAGACTAATTATTTTCAATTTTTTAAATGTATTTTAACAATTAAAAACAGTCTTTTGATTAACTAAATAATTTATAATAACTGTCATATTTTCTTATACAGGGTGGCGGAGCGAAATAGACCACATTGAAGATGAGCATAGCACAACATTGCCAAATTTCTCATTGTATAGTACGTGACGGAAAATTTAGTTAAAACAGCGCATTGGAGTATTCAACATTACGAGTTTGCTGCGGAGACTTTTTTCCATAATGAGTCAATTGTGACTACACAAACTACACAATGCACATTCAGTGCGCGATCATTTTTAAAGTGGGTTAAGGATTTTCAGGAACATGGTTATAATATATGTGAACCTAAAAAAGCTCTAACACAAAATTTCCGAGTGTTTGAGCGTGGTGTTTTATTGATTGTCACTGGTTTTTCCCAATAGAAACTTAAACACATGTTATGTTTTCTGGTGTTACCATATGTGGAACACGTCTAGAAATTTCTGAAGCCATATTACCATGTTGCCGTTGCAACTTAACTTCCCTGTAATCTCATCACATACTATGCAATGAGACTTCTGGCAATATAGAATATCTCCTCCCTATCTGTCTTTTTTGATCCACTACTCTGTACCTCTATCTATAATTATTTATATGTAAAACATTTTTCTTTAAAAAATAAATTGACATGAGATGTTAATATATTTCATAAACAAAAATGTTTGTGTATAATTAAATAATAATTCAAATCACCAAGAAAATGTTGTTTAAAATTAATGAAACTAAAAATCTACATGCTTACCTGTAAACAGATTATATTCTTCATTTAACTCTGAACAATCTGAACTATTAACTTTTATTGAAGTAATTTTATCATGCTTGCATTTTTCTCGTTTCGCGAAAGGTATATTATTTTTGCATGGCACAGGAAGTACATCCTTAATATTTCAACGTATATTTTAATAATAAAAAAAAAATTATTAAGAAATATATATATATATATATAAAAAACATACCTTCAAGTTATTAGTTGATAAGTTATTTCTAATTTTTTGTTCTTTGGTAGATAAATTGTTTAATTCTGTAACTAATGTCTCATAGTTTTTTATATCAGTTTCTAATTTTGTCAATGTCAACACATTTGGATCATTTTCTTTATTATCACAATTTATTATTGGCTTGGAAAATTTTGATACTTTATCTACATTAGAATCAATAACCATTGACCATGGTTTTGAAATCTTCTATAACAGAATAAAGTTATTTTACTTACAATAATTATAGTTGTATTTGTATAATTTGTATAGTTTTGAGATTGTTATTATACGAAACAAATTAAAGATCTGAGATAGTATAAAATACTTTATATAAAAATTATTTGTTATTCAACTTAACTTGGGTGATCAAAATTCTAATAATATTTATATTTTTAAAACTTTGGATTATTTTTAAAAACAATCATTTATGAGTATTATGAACATAAAAATAAACCATTTTAATAATTATAAGATAATTTTTTTTAAAACTAAACATTTTGTAGAAACAAAAAACTAGACGATGAATTACTTTTATTTATATATAGATATTTTGTAATAGTTAGATAAGTGAGTAATTTACTAAAAAAACAATTTTTGAATTTCAAGCAAAATATAAAGTTTGACACACGCATCAATATTTATGATATAATAGTAATTATAAACTATGGGGCTAAGATAAAATAATTAAATTTACTTTACTATTATTCCAATTCATTATATTTGATTCATTCAGAGTAACTTGACTTGGAATAAGAAAACATTTGTTATGTTGATTTATGGATTGAGCCTGATTGTTAATGTTATCTCTGAAATAAAATAAAACCTGATGTGTTTTTATTTCTAATTAATGACAACTACAATATTCTAGATAGATAAATATGTACACTTTTGCAACACTTGTTATTAAAGCTGATCTAATTTTTTCTACTGTTTTATTAAAATTAACTCTTCTTTCTATTATTTCTTGGTCTATCTGTTGTTCTTCCTCGACTCGTTTTTGACGTTTTTCTGCTTCAGTCCCCCTTGAAATTGCCTTACACCGGTTAATTAATCGTTTTTCGGCTATTAATATATTAGGATCAGGCTAGATATAAAAAAAAAAATTAACTAAGTATTAAAGCTAATTGTAAAATAAATTTTACTTGAACTGATGCAACTGAATAACCACTGCCGATATCTTGTATAAGGTAATTAAAATCACTTTTTAACTTGCTTAATGCCAATGATTTAAATTTATGGTCAGTTTTGGCTCTGGCAGTCTCATGTTGTTCTAATTTTGTTTCAACAGCAAAATAAACACGGTCTCGTATGGTTTTAGCTATTGCTTTAGATTGGCCTCTAACCTAACATTATTCGTTTTTTATAAAATAGGTTAATAATTTAAATGTTAAATATTAATATTTATAATTATTATTTACTTGTGCTAGTCGTAGTTTTCTTCTCCTTTCCCAGTCAGTACGATTTCCAATACTCACATCCATTGGTCAATAATTATATGTAAGTACACAAAATAACTAATTTACAATAATGGGAAAATTCGAAGATAAAATATCTGGAAGACTTAAAAATAACACCGGTATATCCCGACAAAAGTTAATTTTATAAAATGATCATTCAATAAAATAATTAAAATGTAACAATAAAAATACAATAGTATGACCAACAAACATACAACAACACAAGGATAATGAATTGTCTGATTTTCCGCTATTTATTATTTACACGTCACATAAAAGTATTAAAATACACGGTAGTACATTTCAATATTCTTAATTCAGATATTATTGTCATCCAAATTGGGTACGATTTTTTCATATTTTTACTGGACTTTTATTTAATCACGAAAAGATATCAACCATTATTCACAAATTATCAAAAGCCAAATAATCTGATTATGTTTTTAACTTAGATACGTTGGTCACACTTGTTAATAGATAAGAAAATTGAAATAAGAATCCAAGAGTTACACTAAACAGTGAATGTGAACATTGCTACATTAATTTATAATATCGGTGTGTTTAATTATTATTGTGTTGGTGTATTAATCTCGACGTATTAGTGATTAATATTGGAAATATATAAAATTTAATTATAAGATTACGTTTTATTATTTTACTGAAGGTACGTTATTAAAAGTTTATATCTATAGTAAGTTAAGCATTATAACTATAAACAGTTAGTAGAAGTAAAATTATAAAATATATTCAACAAATTATATTTGTTTCACTTAGGTTTGTTAACTGTGAATAATGATCCCAGATTCGTTCCACGAAACTGTAAAATGGGCTTCATATAAAAATCCTGTTGTTACTAACACAGTTCAAGGATTTAATTCAGTGGCAAGTAAACAATGTGTTGTAATGATTTATAATATTGCTTGTATTTTAATTTTATACATTGAAACTCAAGCAAATAATTGATAGTAGATTGTTTAAATTATTTTGTGTACTTTTTATTTTAAAATTAAGAATTATTTTGCCTTTTATTTACTATTTTTAAACAGATAGTGTATTATACATCAAAATTTAATTAAACGGGTAAAATTAATTTGATTGCTTTGCATATAAAATATTTATTGCCACATAAAAAAAATTATAATCATACAAATATTTACTAACAGATTTTGAATCAATTACACGAAATTGACATGTAATAATATTTATTTAAATTCAAATTTCAATATAATTTTGGTGCTCATGGACTAGGGTGTTGTAAAACAGATTAAATCAGACTTTAAAATCTAATGTGTAACTACCTAATAGTTAATGAATTATAAAATATTAAAAGATGCAATTTGTCATACATTGTTGAATGTGATTTATAATTAGGTACACAATATTTGTTTTGATTAAATTTAAAATAAACCTATTTAATATTATATCTACTGTTTTTGAATACTACTGTATACATAAAATTGTTTTATTTATAATTTTCTGTTCATTGTTTTTAGTTTATATTTATTATTTGATAAAAAGATAATAGCCATTGTTGTTTATTCAAATGAAAGGAAATTTAAATAATTAATGCTTTACATATATATATCTAGTACATTAATTTATGCAATTATTTTTAGTTAAATTATCTAGGATTAACAAGTTGTAGTGAAAAAAAAAACATAATGAAGCTTGAAAGTGGTAACATCAATTTATCTCAACTACTAGGAAAAAATATAAATCTCTTTAGATTAGCTGGTCTCTTTGGTGCATCAGCTGTTATTTTAGGAGCATATGGGGCTCATGGTAAGTAAACAAATTTGCATTTAATAATTAAAAAGTAGCCTAGTCAATTATTTTAATGACTTCTTCTTTTCCTTAGCCTTCATTCCAACTTTTTAATGGTTTGCAAACCCTTGTTATAAACTTTCACTTGATCCGCTCTTCCATCTCGCATACACTAGCTGTTTTTGTATCATTATAAATCGCGCCCAAATACTTTTTCGGTCTACCTCTTCTCTTCTACGTTAATTTTCATTACAATTCTTACTACTTCAGATTCCTCTCTCCCCATGACATGCCCAAACCATCTCATTTTATCTACTTTCGAAGCCACACCTAAACTACCTCTTATTATGCTACCCCTTATCCTATCTTCTCTCTTTACTTCACTCATCCATCTAAGCATTCATATCTATTCTACATTTATTCTCTGTTGTATTTTTTTGTCTGTCGCCCAGCACGCTGAATGAATATCGGTTTCATCACACTTTTGTAAAATTAAACTTAATCTATATTTGATATCCTCATGAAAGACACCATCCTTTTGTACAAAAGATCTTAGATACTTAAATCACTGAATTTTGCCCATAACTGTTTAATGTTGGATTTTTTTTTTAAATCTCTTTTAATAAAAATAAATAATATTCACTTTTTTGTTTCCTTGTATACTGCAATTATCGGAAATAAATAGAGAACATTTTTATACTTATTTTTAAAATGCCTTATTGTACTAATGTATTATAATAATACAAATAATGTATATAATATAGTACTTATATGATAAGTATAAAGTTTCTATGCGGATTATTAATTTTAGTTTTTATGTTTTTAGTTGTAGCTCATAAAGCTAGTCCAGAAGAAGCTCGAAATTTTGAAACAGCAAATCGTTATCATTTTTTTCATACATTTGCATTGTTTGGTGTTCCATTTTGCCGTTTTCCTAAAATTGTAAGTATATTTTAAAGTAACTTTACTCGGGCTATCTCGAAGATGACAATTATGGTACACAGAGTCTGAAAAATACCGATTCTTACTACTAGGGTCAGAGGGGACTCTTAAGCTATTTGTTAATAATCATACATTTGTAGTTTACTTTCTTTAGATCCTTTTATTTTTGCCCTACAATTTGGGTCATAATATATTCTGTCCTTGTTTTGTTTTCATATCTCTTGCAACATCTATCAAATGTTTCTTTTAGTAAACTTTCATACCTAATTAAAAATAATACTTTTTAAATCACTATGTGTCATAAATACACACAAAAAGTTATAATATTCCATGCTAAGTTTTTCGGGAGGGGGAGGGGGCTGGTGTTTATACATTATATATAATTAAAATATTATTGTTATTATTATTTTCAGACTGGAGCTCTTTTTGTTAGTGGTATTATACTATTTTGCGGGACCTGTTATTACAATGGTCTGACTGCAGATAAATCTTTCAACAAATACACGCCTACTGGTGGCATGTTATTAATTGCTGCTTGGTTATCCATGGTTCTATAGAAAATTGACGGCAATAAATATTCTTCATGTTGGTTAATAAATTATAATTTAAAACTATGTATTTAACTTATAAAAAGTTAGGTGACTATTAACTTAAAATATGATTTTTTTTTTTTTTTTGATTTATTAGGGTCACTGTATTTTTATTTCAATGTTAAGCATGTGTATCAATACCCATTTTTGAATAATACATTTTATATTAAATAGTTCCAATAATTCTCAATGTGTTTGTGTACTTTTTGTTTAAGAATTGTATTATTAAGGACAATTTTTGAAAATGGAGTCCCACCCTGATATTGAAATCCTGGCCTTAATGAATAATTACCATAAAAGAGTATAAACATGATATTGTGACTGGATATTGAAAATTATACTGTACATATTAAAATTAAATTATGAAAAGTTCCACATTTCTCTTCTTAGCAAAATTAACACTGTAGTCTTATTTAAGAACTAATTGTTTTTGAAGTAAAATTCTAATGTTTGCTAGTGAGTTTACTATGTTTCTGATAATTATGGAAATTAGTAAATGGTGCTAGTAAATTTTTTATAAATTTTGTCAGATTAAATTTTGAAATTATAGTTAATATAATACCTATTTAATGAATATAAAGATTCTCCCTTGCTTCTCTTCCCATCCTTTTGGTGTCGGTTCCCTTGGTTCTAACTCTCCACTGAATTGGTCTCCCATTTCATCCTCCCACACCCAGGAAGTTCTCATATCATTCTTAGTCATGTCAACTATCTTCTTTTTTCGTCCCATATCTGTACTACTCCAGTACACCAGTTATGATCTTATTAAATATTATAGAAAAAATAATTATGAATACAGTTATACCCATAGATAATTTTATTATGTTTTTTTAATATACTCTGGTTCATTTATTATAAATAGGTATGCATCAATACCATAACAAAGATTTCCAAAAGTTTGAGCTGCAGTAAGTCATATAGGTACAGCCAAATTCAAATTTTTACTCGGTTAATGGATTTACTCTGCAATGAAGCACAAGAAGACTAATGTTCTCTTTATTAGAGAAGTAAAACTTAATTATGTTTGAGCGAGTACCTCTAAGTTGATATTCTAGATATTCAATTTGTTAAGGGAAGAAATGATTAAATTAAATTATCTATTATTTTTGTTTTCAACATATTAAATAATTATAAATCAATATAGTATCTATATTATATTAAACAATTCAGAAATCTACATAATTATTATATACCTACTATAATTAAATGTATTCAGTATACCTAACACAATAGATAGAAGTATTAATTAAATAGGTAGATACGTATTCAAACTTGTTTAATTTATAAACTTTGTTTTTAGGAGGCCTCTATAAATAATTTTTTTTCTTTGTCTGCCTCGCATGTAATATAGTGACAAATACATATTGCACATCAAAGATAGCAACTCTTTGGTTAATGTAGGGCAAAGTGATTGTGTACATTTTTTTAAAAAAACAGTATTTAATATGCCTTACACATTTTTTTAAATATTTTTATTCATATCATATAAAATGAAAAATTAGTGTTTTACATCTTACCCCTCCCCCCAGAAATTTGAGTCAAAATTTACAACTAATGTTAGTTATAGATAGAATGGATAAACTTTTTGAAATTTTTGAATTTACAAGACTTTTTAAAAATACATTTTGCTTTAATGCTTTGACATCTAATAGATGTGACTTGCTGAATGAATTTTATAAATAATTGGCTTCAGAGGTAGATATCAAGAAATGAAGGGCACAACTATCATTGAAACTACAAATAATGTAGAAGGCCAATAAACAAAAATAATAATCAGTATTTTTTTTTCATGATCCCCTTTTGAAATTTAGGCCAACATTGCCCTACCCACCACCAGTTGAATTATTATTATATCCATTAACAGGTTGTTAAAATTGTGGGTTTCTTTAAATGAATCAACCAGACATACCAATGATCATATACCAACCATTTAAATTAGGATTGTTTAGAAAATGTATTTAGTATGTTTCTCAATCCCACTTCTGTAAAATTTTACATTACTTTTTTAAATTTATTTTAGTTTCTGAGCAGAGTAATGGATGTATTGGTTTTACAATGATGTTTATTCTTTTTTTCTGTGGACATTTTTTACTAGCAATTTCACTCTGGTTTATAATGATAGCACTTTTTCTGAAAGAATATCTGACTGTAGTGGCAATTTGGCCTTTTGGTTGGTCATTTTTTTGAGGGAAAACACAAAGGAAAACTTGGAAAATAGGTACAATATTATACAAATTGTATTAAAATTATATATATATATATATAATTAATAGTTATATAGGTAATGCATATGTAATTATTTTACCATAATATGATGTTAGCAATGGCTAATTGTTACATACAGTTATACATTAAATTTTGTCTCTGTCTTCCCAACTTCTCCCCTACAACAGTGAATTTATAAATACAGAATTATTAAAAAAAAATTCAAAGCATAAGATATACAAACAATCAAATTCATAATTCATACTCGTTTAATCGGTCTCGGCCATACATAAAAAACTCGTTTCTGCCCAATTAGGATTTTATTTTGATACTTACAATCCTAATATTTGAGTTTCTAATCAATCAAATATTAAATCACCTTAGCTCTTTGGACAACACACAAAATAACATTTTCACATCTACTAAATTCACGTGCTTGTTCATTTCAATATGTGGCTGTTATCTATTACAATATAAAAGCCATAATCCGTCTGTTCATCTGTAACGCTTTGTGGAATAACCATAGCAATCAAAATTAAAATCTACTATAACCCGTCATATAAATTGTATAATAGTTAAGGTTCAGTTTCGAAGGTAATATAATCAATAAAAAGCATTTAAAATGTGAAAAAAGGCAAAAAAATCATTTAATTTATGTAAAAAGTAATTATAAAATTTACTAAAAAATTAAATAGATTTTAGTTTATTTAACGTGTTTGTATTAATCAAAAATGCACTGCTATGTACTTAGATATCATTCCCAATCGGGGGGGAGGGGAGAATTAAGATACTGCACGAGTTGGAATACAGTTATGATGAAATAACAAGAATTTTATCGTTAAAATAATTTTACTATTTTGATCGTGTCAGTAATGAATAAAAACAAATAGGTAGAAAGTAGCTAGTCCACCTTTAGTGGACTAAAACTGTTATGACATTTTTTCATAATTTTCATACGAAAAATATTAAAACTTTAAGATTCCGTTCGTAGCAAAAAAGCTATTGGTTTTACAATGCTGTTAATTTATTTGTCTTTATTCTAGTCTGTGGACATGTTTTTTCCCTAGTAAACTTGATCCGATGCTTACGCCGTTTTAAAATAAAGCACTGAAGTGGGAAAAAAACACGTTAAGAAAACGTATAATTTCACGATTTCATTATTTTATAAAAACACGGATGTTTTCTAGCAGAAAAAATTATTTAATCCAAAAATTTTGGACACCTTTTTTGTTACCTTTTTGATTTACTTTTTTATAGTGTCATCGCCAAAACTTTTGAAAAATGATCAGACGAATTTTTTAAATTGTTTTACAATGGTGCTTTATTTTTTTTTAGGAGTAGGGTGTGTAATAAATTACGTATCTATTTTATCACCGCCTTAGACTTATCTATAATAAATATTAACATAGTTTGTAAAAAGTACACTCATGGTATCACCTTTCACAAGTATGACGTGATTTAAAGGGAATGGGTAATAATATTTTAATTACACCTCATTCTAATTTTAAGACTTACGGCTGTTAAAAAATCTAACAAATCGATTTTGTTTGTATTAGTGTACATAAATTGTATAGACATTTTCCTAAGGTCCAAGTTTGTCAAAAATGGGTTTTAATATTTCTCGAATCTTTTGCAGCATCTAAATCTAATTTCCNTACATTTTTCGCGACCCAAAACTTTTGTAAAAAAGCTAAAACTGCTTAATGCTTTGCAGTAGTACTATTAAAACTATTAAAACTTTGTCCTTGATTGTTTTCACATAATAAATTCCACTTTGGCTCAATTTGACTAAGCGCGATCCGTAAATCAGCTTCAGTTTAAAGTCTATTTCTTTTAGACGTTTTCAAATTTGCCATAGTAGAAAACGCCTTTTCGCATAAATAAGTCGTTGGAAAATTAATAAAATTGAGATTGCTCTAGTTGCTAATTCTGAGTAATTGCCCGTGCATAAACGTCCCCAAAATATTTCTAATGAAGTTTCATTAAACATTTGTTTTAATTTATTATCACATGATAGCTCAATTAATTGATTTCCAATGTCGGTGGACATATTTACTGTCATTATATCTACTGCGAATGGTTGTTCAATCCACTTATAATTATCTCGAATATCCTCAGGAAAATATTGGTTAAATAATTTTTCTAAGTTTGTCAAATGTTCGTTGACTAATTCAAAAATATCTTCAAACTTGATTGAAGAATCTTCTTCTAAAAACACACTGACGTTGGTTAAATTATCAATATTTCCAGAATATACTCGAGCTTTTATTATTCGAAGTTTTTTCTTAAATGATTCAATTTTTTTTGTTTGATCAAATATGTTGAAAAAATTGCCCTGCATAGACAGATTTAACTCATTGAGTAAATTGAAAATATCAGCTAAGTATGCCAAAATAATAATCCATTTTGAATCTTCAAATAAATCTTTGTAGATTGAATTTTTACTATTTAAAAATAAAATTATTTCGTGTCGCAATTCGTAAACTCTTTGAAGACACTTACCTCTTGATAACCAACGTACTTCGGTGTGTAACAATAGAGATTCATGGAATGAACCCATTTCTGAACAGAGTATTTTAAATAAACGTGAATTTAAAGCATTTGATTTTATATAATTAATAATTTTAACAATTTGTGCTAAGACGTCAGTCAATATTTTGGGCATTTGTTTTGATGCAAGTGCTTCTCGATGTATAATGCAGTGTGTCCACTTTAAACTTGGAACAATGTCTTTTACTAATTTTATTAGTCCGACGTGTTTTCCAGTCATAGCAGCTGCCCCATCAGTTGTTATAGAAATACAATTTTTTAAATCTACGTTATTGTTAGAAAAAAAGTTTACTAACGAGTCAAAAATGTTTTTTCCAGTAGTTGAAGTTTCTAGTTTTGAGTAGAACAGTATATCCTCGTGGATTTTGTTGTTATAAAAATACCTAACATATGTAAGCAAAATCGCTTCATTTGCAATATCGGTGCTCTCGTCAAGTTGTAAAGAGAATTTACCTGTTAACCGAGACAAGTTGCAATTTTAAATTATTACTAATAAGTGATATACGTCTAGCGACTGTAGTATCAGGAAGAGGAATATTTTTTAATTGGTTTGCAACTTTTTCTTTTACCATTTCCGTACACATTTCAATAGCAGCAGGTAATATTAGTTCTTCCCCGACGGTATATGGTTTCAAACATTTTGCAATTCTATACGAGACTAAAAACGATGCTTTTAAAGCCGACCGCGAAACTGATGAATATTTTTTTATGATTTTTTGATTTTTATGAAAGTTAGGTTTTAATGATTCGAAATACTCTATGGGTTTTTCTTTTAAATTTGGATGTTTTGTATCTAAATGCCTTTTTAATTTTGATGGTTTTAAACTTTACCATTTTAAATTACCAAATTTTAAATAATTTTCATCATACCTTCGACCAATAAATTCGGATTTCTTNGTCTTCGTGTGTATTAATTTGACCACTTTTCCGAATAACGAATTTATCCATTTTATCAAATAACAAAAAAATATTAATGCAAAGTTGGCGAAATAAACGAAAAAAAACTTTTTAACGGATACGTAAATACGACTAGATTCTAGTCACTAGAATAATAACACGACTAACATTTATAATACTTCTCAGATGGCTAGTACACAACAACAACATTGATAATATCGATAATATTCGTAGATTATGCCGATTATGGTACTCTAACGATAGCAATGCATATTAATTCTATTAATAACACAGTTTATTCAGTTTAATCATAAATTCTTATCTCAATATCTTACTACATAGAATCATACCAGTGTAATATGAAATATTATACTTGATACCCATTATGATTATAATATTATATTATTATTATTTTTGTTTCACCTTATATAGTTTTATAAATTTAATTTACATTTTAAGAAAAGGACTTATCGCGACCCAATTTTAAAGCTTACGCGACCCACCGGTTGAAGACCACTGATCTAGCGGACAGGCAAAGAGCAAATGGACCCTCAAAATGAGGATTTTTTGTGAAGTTTTTAGTTCTATTATTAATATGTTTGATTAAATTATTATTAGTCTTAAAAGCGATTTTTACATTATTTGTTATTATTGTTCAGAATTTCAGCAAATTCGTTAGACATATTATTGTGAAATTTAAAAATACTACAATAGTTAACAATATAATTTGATGAGTTGTATAATTAAATTTTCTTCAATACATTTATGAATTGTTTTAATAGTATTTAAATTGAAATTAATTCTATGGGCTATATTATTATAGGTAATATTGAGCTCGTATTGATAATTATGTTTATTTAATGAAATACGTCCGAGCCTAAAGAATATTGAATTTATATTTAATAATTATATAATATAATATATAATTGATATTTTTGAAAAATAAGCGGATGATTAGAATCATGTGGTATTATAGTATCAGTTTGTGTAGGTTTACTGTAAATTCTAAAACCAAATTCAATTTGTTTTATGGAATTTGGTAACTGTTAGGTTAGATAATACTCCAAGCGACGCATTTATTAATTTTTATTTTTATGTACACAATTGTCATTTGTATATTTATTTGCAAGTATTAACAATTTTAATAATTAGTTTTTACTTTATAATTTTATTATTCAAAATAAACGATATTTCGCGCTAGCTAGGTAACACACAAACTCTATGACATCAGTGTTCGGGGCTTGTCTTTATAAACCTTTACCATAATATGACTATTTAGTATTTACCATACACATTTTTATCAGTGCCCGGGTTCTGCATAAATCACGATTTATGATACACTAGTTAAACAACGGCCTATATATAGCGGTTATAACAGACACGGACTTCTATGCACTACGCATAGAAGACTGCGGTAACACCATGATAATCGGGAGACATTCGATCTTAAATTCTTAAATCGTAGATTAAACTAAAAGGGAATGATAATTTGGCATTCTTAAACAAATTTGTCATGCAATATGTGATCCTCATCAACATTTTCGGTACAGTTTGTGACCTACACAATGTATCAACATTTTAGTGTGTGGTTTACAATATTTAATTTTGATTAAAATAATATATATAGGTACCTAATGTGTTTGCCTTTACAGCATTATGCAAGGAAGGGTCCTAAAAAATTGTAATATATATTAATAGATGCCTCTTTTTTTCAGACATTTTATTGAAATTACATCGGTGTTCGGGGCAACCCCCCCTCCTTTAAATCCGCCACTGAGAGGATTACTTAACCTAACCATTCCTATTTTTTTATATAGGAATATAGATAATTGATATTTTACACGACAATCAGTTCGTTGTGTGTCGTTGTGTTCGTTTAGTTATGCGATTTATTTGAATATGTTGGCGACTGAATTTTATTCAATTATCGATAACGAAATAATAACTATTGCAACAACAACCATATATATACATAATTATTATATATAGATACACATATATTACAATACATGAGGTGCACCTATTATTTTGTGTTTATTACGTATATGTCACGACAAATAACTTGATTGGTCAAGCATTGTAAAAATGTCGATAATTTTACTTTAAACATTAAAGAGGGACTCCGTTCTCCCACTTTTATCACTGCATATTTTTTGTGATCAAATTGTACATAATCAAATCTTTATTCTATTCGCTACCTACTTATACTTAATAATTTAATAGAAATTATTTTTATAATATTTATTGGCTACACAAAATTAAAATTAAAATAAAATAATAAAACAATAAGTATGTAATAAACGAAAACTAAAGTAAATAATAAATAAACGAAATTTTTAAGAAAAAAAATACATTAAAACTGTGAAACACTAAAATGACATGTGATGCCTGCGAATACAACATTAACACTAAAAATTCCAACAATTTTAAATTTTTAGAAAAATACGACATACACTTTATGTGGTACCCGTCTACGTTTTCACAATCGAGATTGGGAAATAGTAATTCGAGTAATGTATACGTTTTTAATAAATTAAAACAAAATATCATTGCCAGTACCCACTATACCCCTATATTTAAGTACAGAGTCTTTCAACAATTATGATGACGGTATATTTTCATTTTTTTTTAAGAAATGAAAATTATCTAGTTCATATAGAATATTATTTTAAAGTTAAAATGTATTCACTTTATAATGATGTATAATATAATTCCAAATAATTTTTACATTATAGATAAGTATTGAGCATTGAGTATAAATACTTAATAGGAAGTAATACTAAAGTCGTTCTGTCTTCAGTCTAGCGATACTATTCAACAAAAAAATAAAAAAGAATGATACTTAGTAGGTACTTACCTATCTATCTTACTCAATCAAGGGCAGATAGACAGATTAATGCCAGCCCCGGGAAAAATTTGTTTTTCTGCAATTGACACAGTCCGCTTGTGAAAAAAAAACAGGCGATTTATTGGGGAAATCGGTGGCTGGCTTATATAAGCCCCTATACTCAATGGTATTAGGTAGGCCGTTAACAAAATAAAAACTATTGAACTGAAATCTGCTACTCGTCTAACAAAAAAAATCTTAGATGTGCTATGGGAACCGAAAAAAATATATATCGTATTTACCTAATATAGGTACCTATACCTACTATTGACAGATTATTTTGTTTTTTAAATTTGTTTATTCTTTTAAAGTTCGAGTTTAAAAAATGAAGGTTCGAACCTGTTTCTAATTAATATTTTTATATGCATTTTTAGAAGGAAGTAATGCTTGCACTATTATAGCTCTGCTCGTAGCAACCAACATAAATACATCGAATATTCGCATAGAGTGTTTATTTACGTCGCCCACTAAAGAATACCTCACCGAATTATTTTCTGATGCAATAATAAAAGGCAATGCTATACATCAAGATTTATTCAAAGACAGCTGTACAACACAAAATACAAACTTGACTGTGCCGGAAGCAATGAAAGCAGGAAAATTATCATTAGGAACTATAACTGAATGGGTTAAAAATATATTATATAAGCTATTATTTAATTTGGTAACTACTTACCCATATAAGAACAATGTTTTCATATTGTGCCTATTTACTTATATTTTGTAGAAAAGTTCCGTTTATTTTAACGATATGAAAAATAACTTGTATAAAGAGATGAATCACCATATCATAGAATGGTACACTAACCCTCCATGCTGTCAGCCAAACAACTTATACATTGTACTCATCGCTCAGAATAAAGCAGTTTTGTTTGTTATGCAATTAGATATGGATTGTGTAAGTATTCTACATTTATATTATTATAGTATTAATTTAGCAAGATGTAGTATTTTTTTCTTGAAAAACACTTTAGGTTATAAAAACAGGTAGGTAATAAAAACATTCAAATTTGTTCATGTCATATCATTCTATATTCACTATACTTTTAATAAAAAATTAAGCTTTAGGCTTTATTTGTTTTAAAAACTTTTGGTGAATGAAAAGATCTGATTTTTTATGCAATTATGATAAATAATTTCAGAGAGTTGTTATAACTTTTTTAAAATTTTCAATAGTTCACTCCCAAGGTACTTATTTTCTCAGAAAACTTCCAATTAAATGTTAAAACATTTTTAATTTTGATTTATCTTGTCTACAAGTAAAAAAAAAATATCAATACTACTAATACTACGTTCAGAATCTTATTTTTACTGCAATGATTTATAGATGCTCTGAATATAAAAATTAAATTACTCTATATCCTAAACCTTTCAAACTTCTCACCTACTAAAATAGCCTACCCACGGTGTGAAATACAACCAGTAGCTTATTAATTTGTCTTGTCATTAGGTAATCATTTGTTATATTTTTCTTGCAATAGAATTTTTCCAAACAATGAATTGATTAATTTTTAGTTTTATAATTTTTAACATAAAAACGTTTTTAATTTTACAGGTGTTGCTTGTAGATTCCCATCAACATTTACCACATGGAGCAATGATGTCTCAAGTTAAAATATCAAAATTAGAAAATTTATGTTTATGGTATTCTGAAATGCTTTGCAATACAGTAGGTTCAAGTCCATATGCATATGAGCTAAGTTTTTTATATTACAAATGTAAGAAAAGATAACAATAAAATTTCAAGCCAATGATTTTAAATATATCAATTTATTAAAGATACAAACAATGAATCATATAATACAAAACTAACCTAAGACTCAATTATAATATTTTTAAGGTTCTCTTTTAGGTATTGAACCCTATTAACAATAGTGTCTTTGGTTCCTAATTCTGTGTATGGAACAGATAGTACTTTGTAACCAAGAGATTGAGCTAATCGAGTGTTGAGTACTGTAATTCCATTTGGTTCATTATGACAACCTCTACACATGTCATGAAATCCAGTCAACATAAAAGCTACTAAATATGATTTAGAATTTTTTGTTTTAGGACTATCAAGAGGTATAGGATTTAATTTTGAATCAACAGCACATTCTGCATCTATAATATAACAACATAAAATGTTATCTTGATTAATAAATGCTAACTGTATAAATAAAAAGATTTCTTGGCACATGCCAAGATTCTCTTTGAATATTAAAAATAAATACATAAATAAAAAAGAAAAAAAAAACTTACCAATTACAAATCCTAAATTTGTACTAACATCAGTTTTCAAAAAATTGTCTGATGGAAGCATTGTTGTCAAAGCATCCACCATTGTATTCATTAATATTTGTTTGTCTTTTGATCTCAATAATTCTAGTTTAAATAAATTAGAACTGGAATCCAGTAATGGTCCTGTATTTTACATAAAATGAGAAAAAATTAATATGTGTATAATAAATAATATTGTTTATCTTAGATTGATGATCATCAGATTTTTATATTATTTCATAAATATCTAAACTGGTCTATTTATTCCATGTAAGATAGCCACTAATTACTAAATAACTTATAATTAAACATTTTGAATCATTAAAATCATTTATTATAAAAATATTTATTGGATTATCTTACACTAAAATTTGATTTCAAAATCATTTTAAAACCTTATTAAATAAAAAGGATAAATAAATACTTTACCATTGTATTGTTTTTTGTTCTTGGCATATCCATTTATATTAAGTAACTTTATTGATACGATTCTATTATCTTTCAAAAAAATGAAAATAAATTTTAAAGATAATAATTGTTTCTGTAATTACTATATAATAAGAATATATTAAACAAAAAGTTTTGTGTTACTTTTCCAAGTTGAAAGTTTTGACACAAATTCGGATGATAAAACTGATGCTAAATGATTATCATCAGCTTTCTCTAGTACTACCAAACTCCAGACAATATCAAGCCATGTATTTACATTAATACCATTAACAAATTTGTCCACCTGTTTAAACACCTTCAACAAAAATATTCTAGATTATATTTTTTATTACATTAAATTATTATTCTATAAATAATTAAAGAAAAAACACATAATTACTTTAATTATATTATCAATATTGGAAGGTGTGTAATTGACATATCCTAGTGTTATCGTATAAGATATTAATATATTTTGTTTGCATTCATCCATGTATTTCTCTAACCAAGATGACAAGTTTTCCAATAAATCTATATAAGTAAAATTAATTAAACCAATATTTTCTTACTATTAATTATAATATATTATTATTAATACAAATTGCATTATATTATGGGGATATATATTTTAGCCAATTATAAAGTGAAATAGAACTCCTTTGTTTACTTGAACTTAATGGAACAGCTTCTTAACCGTGTTGCTAATTTCTCCACAATTTTTGTTTAAGGTTAATTTTACTTCTATTAAAATGAGCCGTTTAGTTTTTAGATTGATAGACATTTGATTTTTTTCAAACTCATTTTGGGCGACACGTAAGCTTTACACTGTATACAAATCACTAACAAACTAAACTTGAAATTGATCAATGGAACAATCAATTTATATGAGAGGAACACTCAACTAGATTATATGTACGTACATTCATACATACACAGAAAATGAGAGGGATAAAATATGGCATTGATAAAATTGTAATTGTAAAACATAAATAGAAAAGGACAGTCTTCTATTCATGTTGTGCAAATAAATTTATGTAAACTGAGGAAAAAAAAAGTATAAGGGCTTTTTCGGGACCGGAAAACTGGTTCATGTTATTTGAGTTAGTACTAATGAAAGAGTACTATATAAGGCAATTTATATAGTATTATAATTACTTTAACAACATTATCATTAAAGCTAATTACATACAGGGTGATTCATTAAGTATGTTTACCCCATTTTTTTGGTTAAATTTTACATTACAGGCGCTCATCCGTACGTTTCAAACCACACCTTACATTCAGACTTAAAAATTTTAACTGTCCATGAAGAAGCCAAAAATGCCTATAGACTTCCGCGCGCGTCTTAAAAACCACTCTAATCTATTAATCCGTGCCCTAAACTCCAATTCCATTCCAGGTAATTCACCTAGAAGGTTAAAGCGTAACTGGAACCGTGACCTGTAATAGCCCTCTATAGCCAGTAAGTGTTACCGCTGGATGATTACTTCTTCATGTCGATCTCGCCTTTTTTATTTTTTTTTTTTCATAATTCTTCAAACATGCTTATTGTAAAAAGTGTATTTACAAATTGTATGTGTTATTATTAAAATTAAAAAAAAAAAAATTTGCATACATTCAAATTCTGATTTTTCTAATTTTGTGTGAAGTTAAAGCTTAAGTTTAATTTTCAAATGATAACCTGTATTCAAAATTTCACATATAAATAGAAAATAAGTTTAAATTCATTTTGGTAATAAAATTTGTGATTCCCATCAACCTGTTTACAATATATATAATATATGCAATATATTCCACTTTTAAATGTAGGTAGGTGTTTAGTGGAGCATAATTTAAATGCCATGTATCGTGTCACTACACAAATTATACTCCACTACTCTCTCCTAAACTCAAAAGTGGAATGTCTCATTAACAGAAATTAAAAACTGATTAGTAATACTCTGTCTATTTACGGATTTTTTAATAAAGGTTTTCATTTGAAAAACCAAAGTTGGTATCACCACAGGGATACTCCTTGAATGTTCTTAGTATTCAAAAATATCGGCTTTAACTACACTTATAAAATTCCAAAAATCAGAATTTAAATACATGCAAAATTTAACCAACAAATGAAGTGAATCGTCCTGTATGTATATAAAAATATACATATCATATTTGTGAAGAAGTTAAAAAGTAAAAATAAACTAAACTGTTATATAAAATTGTTTACCCATGTATACAACAAAATAGCTTGTATTATAAAAGTACCTGGATCTCGATATCGTAAAATTCCAATGCTAGTTAATATAGATCCAATAACTGAAGGTCTTTCATTTGTAGACAAAGTAACTAGTAAATCAGCACTAACTTTTTCTAAGAGTACTTCATCAGGAAAATTAAGTACAGCTAAAGCATATAATACATCTGCACATTGTTTAATATCCATCTTATTGGTACACCGTCCAATATTAAATGCTAATGATCTCAATAAAGTTGTTGAACGTTTTTTCTTAGCACCAAGAGTTGATAATACCTATTATTTATTATTGAATTTAATATTTTAAAGATATGTGTGATAAAATATATTTATAAAATTGTCTTAAAATTAATTTATATAATCTATAAACAATTTACTTTGACCATTTGGGACATACTAATTGAAGAAATTAGTTTTGCAGCTTCATCATCCCCTGTGATTCCAAGAACTGTTGACAAATCATTAAACAAACTTTCTTTTTCTTTTTCTTTTCCCAACATTTTACATAGGTTTAAAAATCTTGGATCCCCTTCAAACTCTGACAATTTTGTTCGACCAGAACTAGCCCAGTCAGCTAAAGTAGAAACAGCCTAAAACGAGTTCCAATTACATTAAAAAAAAAAAACAAACAAAATAGGTAAAAATAAGTTTTGAATTTATATATGGATGAACTAGGTATTAACTAACTTGTTAACATTTGAATAAAATGCATAACAAAACAATTATTTCTGCATTGTTAAATTGCATTACAAATGCAAATTATACTAACTTTAATACTTAATAATACAATAACTAAAAGTATCCACAACTTCCATTATACCATTATAGTATAATCATTAAATTGCATTTACTTTTAGTGCCTGTTGTTTAGTGATTGATCCTACTTCAGATAATACCAATAAATCTTCGACTGTGGTGGCATTATCAATTTTATTATTAATAATGTAAAACGATGCGTTTTTTGATTTAATATTATCAATTTCTTTTAATGATGCAAATGCTGCTGCTACAATGTTATGATCAGTTGATTTATTTGACATATTTGATTCATCAAGGCGTACTAGTTTAGAAGTAGTTATACTTAAAGATTGTATTCGTATAACAGACATTAAATGTCTTGGTGTTCTCAATAATCTCATCATAATGTATAAATGGAAAAGTAATTGTCTGAAATGAATGTAAACATGAAAGTATAATTTATTAGTCAAATAAAAAAGAACCAAAATGTAATTTTAAATTGTTTAACTCTTGTTATTTTGATTATATTGTAAAACATGTGTCAGCAATATACATTTGTATAATATAAACACAAAATAAATAAGTAGTAGGTAGCTGTTGTTATAACTATTTCGAAAACATGGGATTATATTGATTTTATGAAACTTACAGTTTTATAATATGTTCTGTACCTTTATAAAAGGGGGTAGTTGTATATTTAATAATTGTATTAGTTGATAACAGAAATCTTGTAATAATTGTATACTTTATTAATTGATATAATATAAGTTTCAAGAAAATATTGGAAAAAAAAACGCGAAAGACATAATTGAGAGGTGAAATTTTAGCTGGGGTTATGAAGTATGTGATTGCCCATAGAGTTTATCAACACTCATAAGTATACCGGAGTTTTTACTGATAATTTGATAAACTTCAACCACAGAATAGGTTAAACCACGGATAACTGTTATTGAAAACAGCTGTTATCCAAAAATACAGCCATGGCGTGTATAAACACCTTGGACTTTACCATTAAGATATCATAATATGTCTATGGTCTTTGTACTATTTGCAGTAGGTTTAATTTTTAATACTAGATAGCGCTACATAAGGTAGGTTAGACCGTTCTATAAATCTGATAAGCCTTATCAGTATATTAAACTACAGAATAAATTTAATTTAAACTGTAATACTGTTCTTATATGATATAGAAAAAATAAATATTATTTTAATATAAAATTTAAATAACCATTACATGTTTATTTTACAAGTTATCAGTACTGTATAAAACTATTATAAAACTTCAATGAAATAAATTCTAGTATTTTCTATGTGAATATGAATAATTATGTATTTTGTACTAGATCTTGTAGCTATATTAGAAATAATCATTTTTTAAATGTTCGATTTTATTCAGATACAGTTAGAGTACGGTTCGCTCCAAGCCCTACTGGTTGGTATTTCATTAGCTATTAATAATGGCCTTACCATTAAATTTAATTACAGATAATAATAATAGGTATTGTAATATTTATGATTTGTTATTGCAATTAATTCAATATACTTATTTAAAAAAATATATTAATTGTTATTATTGATTACCTATATATAGGGCAGTTACATTTAGGTGGTTTTCGTACTGCACTATATAACTACTTATTTGCCAAATCAAAAGGTGGTAAATATATTTTAAGAATTGAGGACACCGATCGTACACGAGTTGTAAATGGTGCAATAGAACAACTTCAAGAAGATTTAAAATGGCTAGGAATTGAATTTGATGAAGGACCTACTGAAAATGGACCATACGGTCCATATATTCAATCTGAGCGCCTGGAAAATTATCAGTAAAAATGAATACTATTATGTATATTTATATATATTTTGATATAATTTATATACTATTTTAAATTAATTTAGAAAAAGAACACAACAGTTATTAAGTAGTGGACATGCATATAAATGTTATTGTACTGAAAAGAGATTAGAGCTTGTAAGGAGAGAAGCATTGCGTACTAGAACTATTCCTCGCTATGACAACAAATGTAGAAGCTTAGACAAAGAAGATTTGCAACAGAATGAAGAGAAAAAATATTGTATCAGATTCAAGGTGTACTTTTAATTTAAAAAACATGTTAACGGATAATTATTGTCTTAAATCATTAAAATAGGCTATGTTTAATTTGTTTAGCTAGACCAAAGCAATGGGCATTTCAATGATCTAGTATATGGCAATGTTGTGAGAAATGTGGGAGCTGTTGAAGGAGACCCAATAATAATGAAATCTGATGGTTTTCCAACTTATCATTTAGCTAATGTTGTTGATGACCATGATATGAAAATTACACATGTTCTCAGAGGTGTTGAATGGCAACCGTCCACATCTAAACATATTTTACTTTACAAGTTAGTAGTTACTCAGAAGTTTAATTAATTTAACAATTTAACTTAATTATTTTATTTTGTTAATCCTAGAGCATTAGGTTGGAACCCACCAAAATTTGGACATTTACCGTTATTAACCAACAAAGATGGCACAAAACTTTCTAAACGTCAAAATGATATCACCATTAATTCATATCGTCAAAAAGGCATTTATCCAGAAGCACTTGTAAATTTTGTCGTTAGTTGTGGAGGAGGATTTATTAACAACCAAACAAATAATACTTTTATAAAACCTCTATCAGAACTTATATCTAAAGTAAGTATAAAATAACCATGTTTTAATACCAGATTTGTAATAAAAGAAAATACACTATTTATGTTATTATTTTACAACATAAGAAGTGATGGTATTTACCATTTTTAAAAAAAACACATGAAAGTAATATTAAAAACAATGCCAATGTATCTTACCTACATGAAAAATTTAATTTAAAAAATTATTTTCAATTTGTTTTTAGTTTGATGTGGGTTTATTAAATTCAAATTCATGTCAAGTACCTTTGGATAATCTTGGAAAGTTTAATCAAGCACAATTAAAAATTGAATTAACTACAGATTTAGGAAGAAAGAAGGCTGTTGAATATTTAAAACATATTATTCAAAATGAATTTTCTAACGAGTAAGATCTTATTCAATTGTATTGTTTTAATAATATAATATATACCTTTTATTTCAACAATTTATATAATTTATACTATTGATTATAAATACTAAAGATATTTTAACTGCTAGATTTTTGATGGGAAAAATAAAACTATAGATGGCATTAAGATTTTTTCAGTTAGGGAAATCAGTTTTTCAGTCATACCTAACCACTGGTTTTGGTAATTATGAAAGCTGTGACATATAAAGTACACATCAGAGGTAGATGATGACAGACACTTCATAGTACTGACAAATAAGTAACATACTGCTTTATTATACTGCAGTGACAAATCTACAGTAATTTAATTATAATCAATGATAATATTATATTATTTAAATTAGGTAAATATTTTCTAATAGGTAGCTTATGAAATAATGACCAAAAGTTTACAGTTATTTTAATTTCCATTCTAAAAGTATCTATGTACATATTATATACTCAGGGTGTCCTACCGTGTTTGATGGATTATTCTTGAGCTATTAAAAGTTAAATTTTTATTTTAATCACCAAAAAAAAAAAAATTCCATTTACAAAATGTTTAAAATAACCACTTTGTAAAATATGTTAATGCATCATATTCATGTTCGATCAATAATTTCTTAACTATAGCCATTTAAATATTTAAAAAAATAGGTGTGAAAGCAATTAATAAGGTATATTGTGATACCTTAGAATACCTCTAGAAAAATCCGCCCAACATGGTGGGACACCCTGCAAATATATTTTAGTAACTTATTTACAAATCCTAAATTAATAAAAAAAAAATGTTTAGTTCCATTCTAGTAAACACAATGTAATTGATATTTAAAATTACAATATTTAATAATCCTATACTAAAATTATGTTCACAAATTATATTACTTATCATTAAAACAAATATATGATTTTTTTTTTTTAGTAAGTCTGTTGATTTGAATGTAACTGAAAATAATTTAAGTAAAATATTAAAATGGAGTGCTAATAGAATAACAAATATTAATGAACTAATACATAATAACTATAAGTTTATTTGGATCAAACCATCAGAATTTGCTATAAAATCTATGGACTATGATAAAGGTAACAAATATAATTTGTTTAACAAAATCAAATGTACACAATTATTTAACAAAAAAAAAATAATAATAATATATAATTAAAATTGTATTCTTACAGATATAGTAATCAAATTAAAAGAACATTTAATGAATGTAGATGTTTTTACTATTGATAATTTAACATTGGAATTAAAAGAATTTTCTAAATCAAATAACATTGTATATAGTACATTAATGAAATTGCTCCGTAACATTATTAGTGGACTAAAGGCTAGTAAATTTATAATCAAATAATTATTTTTATTTTTATTATTATATTTACATTTTTGTTTGCAGCATGGTCCAGGAGTTAGTGAAATAATGACAATACTTGGCAAAGAAGAAGTAATTGCTCGATTAAATATGGCCTGTTTAAAGGGTTAATCAATATCTAATTTCATTGCTAAGTATAATAAATTGATAATCATGAATGATTATGTACTAGTAAAGAAAAGGATAAAACCCTTGTAATTATTTATCCTTGTCAGCAGGTCCCTAGAATTAAAAATAAAAGTTAATCAACAACAAAATAAGTACTTAAGAGTTTTGTTAATTTACGTTTTTTTCATCAAAAACAATTTTTTTTAAATATTCCATTGGTTTCTTTATGTAGTCCGTCAATGAAGACAATAATTCTTTTAAATCAGGTTTAGTTATTCCAGAATTGTCTACCTCAATCTCACTTTTTGGTGCTGGCAACGGTGGTAGCTCATAACCAGTTAAATCTTTTGTTACTAAAATACAACAGGGTTTAATACTTGGTAATTTAGTAATTAAAGTTTAAAATTAATTTAACTACAAACCGTTATTTATCAGATGATAAGAAACAATAGAATAACGTTTAATCATTTTAGTAGCCTCTTCGGATTCATATGGATAAGCAACATAAAATGCTGCCGATGCTCCAGTTGTAGTGTAGATAAGTTTTTTAAATTTCCCTTTTCTAGCAGCTACTAATAAACCAACTACACCACTTCCTGCCACAAATCCAGTACGGAGAATAGAATTTTTTTCTTGCCTCAAATCATTAAGAAATGCTTTACATTGAAAAACAAAAACAAAATTTAAGGTCATAGATACATGTTATTAAATATCAATAATGGTAGAACTGTCCAAGATTTCTATGATTACCAAACATTTGTACACTGATTTTCCCTTAAATGTTTTAATCTCTGAAATTATACCTATTATAAATTTGCTAATGCATGAGAATAGAAATGTTTTAATATAATTTATTGAACTTATGAATAACAAACTATTTTAGGAATCAATAATTTAATGGAAGTTTTTGATTTTGAAACTTATTATAAATGTAAAAAATTGTTTCAAAAAAACTAGACTTAGAGTGTATTTTAAGTTATATTTTCATAACTACTCAGTTTCGCTATGTTACTATCTTCAGGTTACTGATAACATTATTTTTGGTTTAATTACATATAACTAAAAATATACATTTAAATGTTACATTAACGTATTTAAAAGAAAAAATAAGCCGGCTGATTGGTGTGCTACTGTTGCAGATAGGAAATTGAGAAGGTAAGATTAGGAGGGCAATTCAGTTTATATCAGTACGCAACAATAAACCATTGTGAATAAAAACTGAGTTGGAACAAATTTAAGTTATATGTATAACTTAATAAACTGCAATATTTAAGATTTCGTTAAAATTTGATATTCTTCTGGTCAAATTTTCAAACATTTTTGTTGAATATAACAATGTCATTCATAGAGTATCTATTAAAGAAAACTAGAAAATGTTACCATGTCTAAAACGGTATAGAGTAGTTTTCTGGCATTATTCAAAATTCTATGAATATTTGTAACTAAATTGCAACAAACAACCAAATTGAAAATAATGAAAGCATTATTTCTATATATTTGGCTGTTCTTTCTTTATTTTTTTTTCCAATTTTGCTTATTTATTAAGAAAACTACATGGAAAATCAAATAACAACTTTCATACTAACCAACTTAATCTAATTTGTCATTTTCTAATAAGGGCAATATTTTTGGTGGAAAACATAAAGTATAACAATTTAAAATAATGAAATCATAACACCATAAATTTGTTTTATTCTATTATTTTAAAAATTTTTTGGAAAATCAAGAAAATCACCTCTCAATGCATTAATTATTTAGTCCAAAATGCGACAAAAGGTCTTTTGCCAATTTTTGATTAGAATCAAATTGATGGTAGATCAGTTGCGTACAAACAAAAAATAAAATTTAAAAAAAACCTAAAATCAATAGATTCCTCCCTACATTCCAAATTTAAAATCATTATTAAAACTAAATATTTAAATAATAATGAAATATAGTAAATAATAAGTAAACATTAATATTTACATTCTGAGTGGCTGACTCCAGTCAGGACAAAAGTATGCACTCTATCTTTGATTTTAGACCATTGATGGTTGAGACTAGTAATTTCTCCTCGGATTGTTTTAATTGCACCTAATGCAATTGTTGGTTCCCAATTATTTTCCTTTTCACTAAAAGGATAATTAATACTATAATTGGCATCCCTACCCATATTTATACAAAATTTATTGACATTTATTATTGTTATACAATGTACTTACATATTTGTTTTTTTAGACTCTTCAGTATATATTGATAAGTCTCTAGGTTTGACAAGTTTAGGTTCTTGTTCGTCCTTAGCTAATACCACTGGCATTGCAGTAAATAAAATGCTGCTGGTCGCTATCTAATGTTAAATATAAAATTTAATTATTGTTAAATAATTTTAAGATTGTAATATGATAAACGTATGGCATAATTTTTTCTTCTTAAGGTCAAAATAACACATACTTGATTGGTAATGACGGTTTTCAATTTCATATTTGTGTTTAATTTTATAACAATCCTGATGTATCTTCAGATAACTACTGAGAATTGTACAAAAGAATTAAATTGAGATAATATATTATGTACGTTCAGCTTGTACTAGATAAGAAAGCCCAGTGGTTCCCAATTTTGTATACAATGTTGCCTATTCAACTCCTGTAATTATACTTTTCCTTTTTTAATAAGTTGCCTACATAACTCCTGAAAATGAATTTTTTAACCCAAACTTAAAATTCTATTGCTAACATTCAATTTTGTACCTATATTGCCTACCTAGTTCCTGAAATTGTATTGTAATTTCCCAGTTAGTCTATTTATTGCCTGTCTAACTTTCAAAAATCTTTTGCTGTTCAAAAAATTATTTCTTTACCTACTTGTAGGCCAAAATTTAATTTAATACAAATATCCTCAACATTGTAAATAGTCCCTAACCCATAAAATAGTCTCAAATATGCAAACAAAATTTTGTCCTGTGAACTTTTTATTAAAAAAATCGTCCACAATTCTTACTCTCATGACTACATATATGTAGGTACTCAGTAGGTAGGTCACAATTTGTAAAATTTTAAACTTTCCGAACGTAACAAAATTTATTCTAATTAGGTTCCGTATATTTGAGTATCATTGGCCCTTAAGGGTAACTTTGGCCCATAAGTTGGAAGAAGATTGTTCATGCAATAACAGCTGAACTTTTTATCCTAATTTCTTTAAAATTGTATTATAAGATACAATTTACAATACACTGTAGGATAGTAACTTGTAGCCTGTAAGTAAGAGTAGTAGTTATGTTTAATATGTAATCAACGGGAGACCAGTAGTTGTACGAAAAATGATAATAGCCTCGAGTACAATAATTTTGTAATGTTACCAATACCAACATAATATTTTTTTTTATTTTTAATGTAAAATAATTTAACATTTTAATTATACGTTGCACTGATTTTATCATTTATAAGCCTCGATTACACGGGGCGAATTTACTCGCTGCTACTAAATTCGCTCAATGTAATCGACCCAGTCGTTTACTCGCCGCATGCTAAGTACTTGCTACTCGCTGGCTCATTAAAAGTTGACAGCCGGGCTACATTTTCGCTACTCGCTGGCTATTTCACACTCTAGCGAGTAATCGCCTATAATAATCGCTTTGCGCAATTGATATGACCAGAAAAATTGATAGTGTGCTTGCGATTAGTTGTTGCAAAATGTCGGAGGATGTACTTCGCGCAGGTGTTTAAATACCACAGACTTTAACTCGTAATTAATATAATAATATTTCATAATTTATACAAATAATACTTGTTATACGCATACGCGACGTATGGTTGTGACACGCCACGAGCGTAATCGCGCAATGTAATATTGTAATCGGACGGGTCGTTACACGCTCACTCGCGAGCGACTTTGGTTGCTGTCACGCGGCAAGTTAATTCACCCTATGTAATCGAGGCAATGCAATATGCCATTAGCTTACAAGTTATTATCATTATTTTTAATAAAACATTGTAAAATTGAAACTTAATTTAATCTGTACTATCCATAGATAAATTAAAATGTATTTACCTCTTGAAACTAAGCTTAGTTTGTTGTGTGGTAAATTAGTTATAATAGTTTTCAAATGGTTTAAATAACATCAATCTGTATACTAAATCTTTAAATAAATCATAAAATATATGATTTTTCCGACATATGGGTATTGAACATTTTTGTCTTATATTACAGTTACATAATTTTTGTAAATTTGATTTTTATAAATATTTGATTTTAACAAATATTCTATCTAGTTGTAGCTATAGTAATTTGTTTCTATGTAAAAGGTTTTCTTGGGAAAATATTCAAGTATTATAACTTTTCTTATATTGACTGTTAAACACATTTAAAACGTTTTTGACAAAAATTAATTTTATCTACTACTCTATAACTATGAATAGTAAAACAAATCATTTTAATAGCATAATCCGTATATTAATACAATATACTCGTAAAATTTCAAATAATTGAGATATTTTATTCTGTTACGTTGGTGTACGTATAAGTGGTTAGTGATAAAAATGTTTTATCACTTTAGAACAACTACCCGGTACTCGTAATCAATATAGATAATATATTATCTATGGTAATTAATCATTATGTAGTTACCGTTCATACCTTCATTTAATGACAAAAGCAGTTACCAAAATACCGGCAAATTAGCACGTAGCTACATTTAATTTCTATGTCAATTGGATAGTGGACATTATTTAAAAAATTTAGTCAAGTTTTTTTAAGTTAATATTTTAATTTGAGAGTTTTGGTTAAGACCATTTTTTTTTTTTAGGTATACTACTTTAGTAGTAATAATAATAGATTGTAGTCATTAAATCTATTAAGATAATGCCGATATAAACAATTTTTCAGTTGTTTAATTAATATTGTCAAAAGCTGTTTAATCAATAATAAAGCATAATTTTTTTTTTTACTTGCATACAGATTTTAAACAATATTACAAGTTAAATTTTTTTAAAAAAAATGATTATAAATAAAGTATTATTTAATATTAATATTTGATATTTTAAACTACATTAAATTAAAAATATACATAACATAATTAATTATGTTTTTTCTAATAGGTACACAGTTTTGTTGAGATTAACTAAAATAGGATTAATAATGTTTTATTTTTCATTTGTATCATTTTTGAGAGGACCCAATAACTGAAACTATTTGACAATAATCTTAACCAAACTTGTTCTTCAATTCTGAATTTTCATGGTTTGGTGCTGGTATTCAATTAAATACAATTCAATTAATTTACGAACTTGTATCAATATCTATTAATGTTGAAGGTGAGGCCACATAGCATTCAATTTTCTTATCTTAACATATGGTTATACTTTTTAGAATTGTTATATATATATGATTCACTAATAAACTAAAAGAAAAAAAAAAATATTCAAGGAATATTATTAGCAACTTACTATGTCTGACCTCAGATTACTTAGATAATACCATATATATCTACAAACATATTCATTAGATAAATGTAGACAGTATCCAAAAAATATTCCCATTTATTCCACTAAAATCCTCATATATTTAATGTATATAGAGAAACACATGAAAGATATTTAAGGAATATACAATTTGGTGTTAACATGTACTCTTTTCAATGATTAAATAAAATAAACCAAGAAAAAAAGCAATTCATTTAATGAAAAAAAAAACAAAAATTTTCTTCTTCTATAATATTGATAGTAGATTTTCAATCACTCAAAACGATTCAAAACGCTCTTTCAACTGAGCTATTTAGAGTGTTAATCATACAGCCATTACAAAAAATACCTTTAACCATCCTAACACTCTCACCTCTAATTTCTCTTTCCTCGCACTTTATAATTAAACCATAATTGGCCACATGACATTAAATAAATAAAAACATAATTTATTAATATATATTTATGTAAAAAAAAAAACCTCCCCACTAAAATAGGCTTCAATCACTCATGATTTGTACATCACTTTATGTATCAAAATTGTTTATTGTAAAAAACAGATTACAGATTGTATATTTATCTTTTAATAAATAATTAAAAAAAATATTGATAGTACAATACAAATTATGAATAAAGTACAATATATATTTTAAAATAAAAAAATGTTTGTAATTAATGTAATTATATGTAATAGTATTATTATTACACATAATAATTATGAACTACAAGTTGTACTTATAGATTTCATTCTTTCTTTGACTTTAGCCAGCCAAGTACCAGCAACACTTTCTAAATATTTGTCTGTTTCTTTCTATAAACTTAATTTTTACTCCACCTATAACAAAACAATATATATTTTATTTTTTATATATAATATTTTAAATTATTATTAATGTTTTTACACAATGCACATATAATGGCATACAATGACCACTTAAAAAAATATAAAAGGAGTTCTATTTAGTAAATCGAAAAAAAATAAAAAAATAACATAAGTTTTAAATTTGTGGGAATAAATAATTCAGATATTCTTATACGCAAGAACGAACAATCCAGAGTTTATCGAATCAGAAACAAAAAAGATTGAGATAACTTATAATAGGTACCACAACAATTGTCATTAAATTATAAATTAATGATATAAATAACATAAATTATGTTATATATTATACAAATTAATAATACTATTAATGATTTGATTGATAATCTCGGAAATTTTAATAATAATACTTTTTTAATATAAGATGAATTCAATCAGAATTTAATCAATAATTAGATACCTATGTTAGATAATGATTAAAATTAGATATTAATTTGTATTATATATCTGTTCAATTCTTAGCCTAATGAGTAATTATGTATAATAAACATAATTTTAAAAACCTAAGAGATTGGTGTATTTATCAGTATGAAAGTTGAATTATCTTCTACCAGAACTATTATAATTTATGACTTGATGCATTGTATATGTCTCTAACTTTTGTTATTTTGGTTTTTTAAAAACTATTGAAAATTCTCAGTACTGATCAAAGAGTCAAAGGAGTAAAGTCTATTTTATTTTTTTGAAGAACTTATGTTCATATAGAATACCAACCTTAAAATCATATTCATAGTTTTTCATACTAGCATCATGAACTTGGCCACTTATAATTCCAACGTCAGATAAATAATTGAAGCAAACTAGATCATGACCACTTCCAAATTAATTTTCGGGACTACTTAATTTGCTAAAATTTTTTTGTTATCAATAACCTTAATTATAAAAGAAAGTTTAGCATAATTATAGTATATAGCTCACAATCGATATTTTGCTTCACTTTAAAATAAATTTTCGAGACCAGGGCTTATTCTAAAGCGAAGTTTGGCTATTTAAGTAAATATATTATATATTATTTTGATAAATTAGATTTTATCTGTAAATATAAAATTGAAATTCTTCACAAATAGGTAGCTACATTATTATTATTTTATTAAATTTGTTTTTCTGATAATATTTGATGATTTTCTACATTCTAGTTATTCTTAAGGCTAGGTTCACATGGCGCGCGTCGATCGCGATAACGACGCAAGAATCTATTTCCGCGCGAACACGCGGATTGAAATTCCATGTATCATTATCGGACCGTTCAGTTGACACGCGCGTTTCGATGCAAACTTGAAAACTAGTGTTTTTTTTAAATATGGAGATCGAGATAGATAAGTTAATTAACGAAGTAGAAAAAAGGCCTTCCATATGGGACATGATAACGCATGAATACTCAAACCGAACCATATAATATATAAAGACTATCATATTGTTTTTAAAATAGGATGAACCCAATATTTTCTTTTTCTCATTTCTCTACGTCTTCTCATTCATCGGTGGACGGCCCACAAACACACAGCATCTATCACATCCATTCTCGATGACAGTCTGGCTTGCACTATACACCGTTTTTAAATATAGTTTTTGACTAGAACATTTCTGTACAACGAGCGTGACGCAGCCATCTGAACGGTAAACGCGCGTTTTGTGGCGTGCTAACGCACGTCCATGTGAACCTAGCCTAAATGTACGAACTAGAATCTTTTAAATGAACAACGGTAATAAATAAAATATTTTTCTGGATAATATCAAAATTAACTTTATTGGGAATAATATAAAAAAATTTAAGTTGAAGATAATTAAAATAGTAAGTTTAGTTAATAAGGAAAAATCAATTTAACTTTTAACTTTTTAACTCGTTAATGCCCAGCCTTAACCATAATAACCTTCATACAGTGTTGCCAGCCGTACTGTTTTATTGAGAAAAAAATGTACGAGCATTTTGGGAAGTTTGATACAAGATTTCGGTCATAGATAGCTGGCAACACTAGCCTTTATCCTTCAGTCATAACTCTTAAAGGATTGAAAAAATTTGTTGGCAAATAAGCGTTATAAAAAACATATCTTTTGTTGAGCTTACTTTCCAACAATCAGTAATGATTAGTACCTGGCAAAATCCAATCTTTAATAATTATTAAAAACGCGTGGTTTTTGTTTCTCCATGGATACTAGGAAACACCAACCCGTGTCCCGTTCAACTCCGCCAAATACTCATTGGCCTTCAACGCGATGTTCCCTACGGTACTTTCGTTTACCCGAATTTCGATTCATCTATTTCTACTATTTTGTCTTCATCACTTAAATACAACGTAAGGCCAAGAGAATATTTTCAAAAAATTGAGTAATTTTCTACTTACAGACTGGTCGAAGAATTATGCTGTAAAATATGACCTCCTGGTGAAAGAATACCCAATCGATAGATGACTGACGAGATATAATGGGCTGTTGTCGACAAAATTCAAGGGACACCTTTTTGGTGTCCCTTGAATTGTATTTTACTAAATTTTGATTTATGAAAAACCATGACTTGAAAAGTATTGTTGGAGAAATATTTCTATATAATGGGACAATTCAACCATTGATTCAAGCAGACACATCTAAGTGGGTTCTAAGCATGGGAAAAAAGTTGGTCCGAGGAATTAGTGTATGGGAAAATATGAAAACGTTTTAACCAACAAGGTCACTTCATTGTCATGGATATATGGATTGATTGGGAACCCATAAACATTTTAAGCAACTTATTAACAAAAATGAACAGATAAAATTGTTGGGTAATTTTTTAATGACATAGACCATCAAATTAGAATTAGTTTAAATTTGTATTAATGAGACTTACCATTTTCAGTCATTATATTTTGGTAAATTTATGTAACACAATAATTGATTAATTTAATTTAATAAATATGGGTTTATTAATATGTATACCTTTATACACAAATTAATGACATTTTTGTATTAGAATTAAAGTTAAATTACAATAGTATATTAAGGTTATGGTTTAAGGTAAGCTATCACTAGATATTTTAAAACTAACCATAATTAAACAAATAAATAAACTGGTAATAAAATGTATTATAAAGATAGACAAATAAATGAATGAATGTACTTATGAACATTAGAGACCAGGTGCAGTATCATAATTTTTCTGAAGTTGTGCTTTACTAAAGTCCATTCCAGGATACTAAAACATAAAATGTAAACCAATCAATTATTAATTTTATAATATTAATAATACAACTTTAATGTAGTTTAATTAATTGTATAATTTAATATAGCATGTTATTTGAATGTGATATTTGGATATGTAAATAGCAGTTGTAGACAATTATTTTATAAGTCGAATTATATAATAGAGATGTGACTAGTTGTTCACTTAGGCAAACAAGTTTGTTCATCAAATTGAACTAGCTTACTGAATGATAAAAGAGCAACTGAATGAACCGTAGATATATTGATAATTCACTGAATAATAATGTTTATATACAAATTATTTATTTATTTATAAAATAAATTTTCCTTCCTTCGATTTAAATGCCATAAATAAATGATGACCGATTTAAAGGTCAACTATTTAGATTTTGAATTGTTCACTTAGGTGAATATTTTAATAATTGGTAGTAGTGAATAGTATACAATAAAATAAACATTGAACAACGTAATTCATCTAAATGTGAACTAGTTCAAATTAATCACTCCGGAGATTAATATAATTGAGTTAGTTTATTCACAAATAACAGATTAACCCTATTAACCCTAGAATGCTAACCATTTGTCGATTTGACAAACATTGGTTATTGTATATAAGTTTTTTTTTTTTTTTTAGAAATATTGTGTAATCTTTTTCACCTAGTGCTTAGAAAATGAATAAATAATAATAAAAAAAAAAACAGTGATTTTAATATTTTATGAAAATTTATAGTACTCATGGATTCGGTGAATTGTTAGTAATAAAAGTGTAAAAACAAGGTTAGCGTTTAAGGATGGTTATAGTAAAAATTATTTTATAATCTACAATTTAAATAGAAAAAGACACAACTATTTAATTAAAATCATGGGTGACTTCCAAATATAAAACAGTTAATATAATAGTATACTTAAAGAAATATTAAACAATGTTAGATAAATTAGTTAGTTTTATTTTATAAACATTTCAGTTGGTAAGTAAAAGGTTGGAAAAGGTATTCAATTTATAACAAATATAATTGCATTCAATGGTATACATTTTAAATATACTAATTACCTAATTTTTCAATAATTATGAATAAAAAACAATCAAGTTTATGAACTATAGAATCTGAAAAATAAACAGCTATATTTTATTATTTTATTTATAATATATACATTGACAATATTAAAAAAAATTATCAATGTACTTAAAATATTAAAGAAATTATAGTTACTAATAAAAACTCAAAGGAATTAAGTAAGAATTAATTTTAAAATTATAAAATTATTAGCACCTATTAGTACTTGCACGAAATATGTTCATTTTTATGTATTTAGATTTAAATATATTTAACAAGTAGTGAGTAACTATATAGTTGGAATTTTGAGATTTTTGTACTTATTTCATTTATGCCGTTATAATTTTTCTAATTTCTGATAGCCACAGCAGAGCTAGTCATTTTAGATTTATATGTTTTGTTGTTTTTGTTGTTATATTTATTGTATATCTTACCTCGATTTGGAACTTTTCAAGATCTATTTTTTTTTTCATTTCTATGTAGGTTATAGGATCTGCTTTAAACGATCCATCTTCAAGTAATGATTCCCAAACAATTTCCTTTTTTATATAATCTGCTTTAATTAAAATTATTTTCAACAGAGTACCTTCATCCTCTAATAACCATAAACTTTCATCACCATGTACTTTTCTAAATAAATTACCCTATAAGTATAAAATCAATAAAAATACTATACATACATTAATGATACATAAAAAACAATCTGCTATAAAAGTATAAACTATACTTACAGAAAACAAAATCTTGTCTAAAATTTTAACTGTAATACTTTGGTTAGTGACAATGACTTTGGTATCCTTTGACTTAATACTAACCGACAATTTTACTTCAATATGCACTTCGTCAACAGTTTGCCACCATCTACCCCAATCAGTATTGCACGGTACAATACCACTTTTTTCATCAAAGAAATTAGAAGCCATATTTATGAAAAGAATTTTAGTTTGTAGAATATTATAATCAAACAATTATTGTTAGTTATGGGTAATGTATTACATTGGATACCAGCATCATAATAGAAGAAGGAATTAAATTTTATAATTAATTGGCGTTAGCGTCAGTAACTCAATCATCAATAGAAAAGTAAGATCAAATGTAAGTTGTGACTCAAATTCGTAAGTAATTGATTTAAGTTTAACATTTATCGTTCATTTATTAAATTATTACAATTATCTTATCAGCTAGATAATAACATGTATATCTTAGTGATCTTGGTTTTAAATCGTGGTTTTAAACCATAGATATTAAAGATCTATATTATATCTTTATCATGTATTTCTATATTATCCGTGTTTAAAGCGTATAATTATGGTTATCATATATGGGTTATCACTGCTTTCAGTGATTATGATCGTTAACCTAGAATTTATTTTCCCGCTATTTTTCGTTGGTTGAACAATACTGTTATTACTTATTATATTTTATTTATTGGTAAATGGTACCTAGTACGATTGCAGATTATTAATTAATATGTATTGGTAATATTTAGAGTTTGTATCTGTTATTTTATACACAATTTTATAATATAAAAGATTATTTTGTGGTATCTAGTTATATAAAATATATTAAATCGGTTTGGTATATTATATTTTTACAGATATACAACTTCAGAAATTTGTTTGTGAATTTGTTGTGTTTGACATATTTATATTCAATAACTTTGATCAAGTAATTATTGTTTAGTCATTTTAAGATAATTAGTTATTTAAATGTTGATATTTGATGCAAAAAAAAAAATTATTTACTTTACCTAATATATATAATTTGCATTAACAATAAATAGTTCATTTGAAAATTTTTGTTTTGTGTTTTAAGTATTATAGTATTTTTTACATTGTTTCATTATGTAAATTTTATTTATTCACAATGTAGTCATTAGGTTTTTCACCTTTTGTACATTTTGAATTATTAGTAATATATAATTATACTTATGTTTTTTATTTTTACAGATGGATCTTAAACATTTTATAAAAACATGTCATGAACAAGTGAATTTACATCCAGACTTTGTTTTGGATCAGTTTGATCCAAACACTATTTCATATATTCAGCCATTTTGTTTAAATTTTGTTGGAAACCCCTTAATTGGTTATATTTATGTAAGTATTGTTATTTTTAAATTATTAAATAATAGATAGGTAGGTAATCATTTTTCAAAGGCTTATAAAATAACTTTGGTTTTTAGAAAAAATCTACCCCAAAAATTGTTGATCGTTCATTTACTTCTGATTCTGAAAATGAAGAGTATGATGAATATGGTAATTTTAATTTTAATGTTATTATGTTTTTAAATTAGTTTTATTATATATAATTATTATTTATTAGAATTGACGGGAAATCCATTAGAATGCCCTTTTAGTCCAATAAAAGCTCAGAAAGTCCAAATACAAAATAACAAACCAGAAGATAGCCATACACCTATAAATTTGCTTCAAGCAAGGTAAAATAATTAAATTCAAAATAATTTTCAGAATATTTGTGAAATTAAAGTTTATAATAGTTTTAAGTTTCTTTTGTTTTACTTTTAAGGCAATAAATAATAATACAAAATATATATATATATATAGTAAATATCAGATTAAATACACTACAGTAGTATGTAAATGTATAAGCATATTTCATATAGTTTTAGATATAATACATTATATCAGGTAACAAACATAAATAAAATATACGACAATACTAAAAGTACAGATTTGATAAATAAATCTACAGATGATCTTCAAAGGTATATCCATTTCGGTATTTCAAAAAGTATTAGCTTTTATAAGAACTTTTTATTTTTGACAATTTAAGAAAAACATAGTTATAAGTGTGCCATACCATTTTTTTTGTCACCCTTATTTTGAGGAATGTAATTTTTGATTTAAACTAATGGTACTCTATTTATGGAATTTTAAGTTCTGAGTGGAGCAAAAAAACTTATTGTTTTACAATGGTGTTTATTTTTTTTTATTATCTGTGAAAAACTTGTCTAGCAGAAATATTGCTCCGATTTACAAGTGTCTTTTTCTGAAAGGAAATCTGACTGGGTTGGTACTTTAGGAAGGTTATTTTTTGATTTTTTACTAGTTTTCTTAATGTATTGGAAAATCTGAAAAAACAAGAAAATGTACGAAATGTAGATATTAGTTAAAAAAAATACATGGCCTTTTTTTTTTTGTGAACAACTTTTCTACCAGCAATTTTACTCCGATTTACAATGATAACACTTTCTGAAATCAAATCTGACTGCATTGGTATTTTAGAGAGGTAATTTTTCGATTAGAAGGTATACATTAAATTCCCATTTGTATCTTACCTTACCAACCTCCCACCTACAACAGTGGCACCTTTATATGCCAAGTATGTCTGTATTTTTATTATTTGTGCCATTTTTAAATCTAAAGTAAGTACAGTCGTTTCTCAACTGAAATTAAAAAATAAAACAAACTAATGGTGGTAATGTACTATTCAAAAGCAGCTTGTTTCTTAAATTGTTAAAGAATTCTAAAAAAAGTTAATTCTTTCTGAGATTATATAGGGTATTTTTTTTTGTGGGATACTGTATTAGATCATATTTATAATATACAATTTTTTCATTTTCGGATGATAGCTTGTAGCTGAAACTAGTTGTAACTGTAATAAATTATATAATTTTTAACTTAACCTATTAATAATGGTTATTGGAATTTGATATTTATTTAACGTATAGTTTTATTATTATTAAGATTAATACATATTAAATATATAAGTATCATTGCTTATACATTTCTATTACATTAATCTTAATGCAACATATGTTGCCATTGGTGCTTGACATATCCATTTATGTTTTTAATTATTTCTAGACAACTTGTGTACTTAAAACTGAAAAGTGATGAATTATCAAGTGTACCATTATTTATATTATGTGATGGATTAAAAAATAATACAATTTTATTGGGCGGTGATGTACACGAAAGATGGCATTCTCGTTATTGGGGTGAATATAAGGGATGTTATGATGTGAAACATTCTGAGCTTTCTGTACAAAGTATGATAGAAACTCATAAAAAATTTCCACAAGTTTCATCTATGATTGTAAATTATTATATTATTAATTATAATTTTTGAATTTTGTAAGTATTAAAAACAATTTATGTTACATTTAGTTAGAGTCTAAAGTGTCTGCAGTTATAAATTTAACTATGTCTAACAACGCAGAAGAATTAACATTTATTGAAAACAGTCCAGGCATGGTTGTACTTAACCTTAGTTGGCGTAGACCATCAATTTTTGCTCCTCTCATGTCAACAGAATCATTTATTGTAAGTATTTGTTTAAAAAACATTTTGGTTTGATATAGATATTAATTTGGTTGATAGATAAAACCCAAATATTTATTTTACACGTAGCTATGTTTTGTGTTTTTTTTCTTTAATATTTTCTTTTATGTTATTTCTTATAATAATTAAATTGAGGATGATTTTGTTGAAACCAAAGCATTAGTCATATTTACCTTAGACTAGTCATTGACTACCTTAATGGTTGAACTGACTGCAAGGTAAAATAAATTCTAAGACATAATTTAATGTACTTTTATCACAGGATTCAACCCTTTATGAATGATAGGTGCTTGATTTTTGGTTTTATGATTTAAAAAAATTATTTTTTTTTTGTTTATTTATGAGTTTCCTTAGTCATGTGGATGAGAAAAGAAACTGTTTTTAATCTTGGTTATCACAAAAAATAGACAAAAATGTTTCTTTTTAAAATATAAAATAAATCAATTATAACATAGTAATACAGATTAATATAGATTCCTTACACAATGGATTATAGATTATCCTAATACTCGGAAGGAGGAGGGCAGATAATACATCTACCTACTTAAACTGTACTGGGAGAATTGGTTCAAGGGATTATTGTTTCTAATGAGAATGAACATTGATTAAATGTTATATTTCTATTCAATAAATATTGTATGTGGGCAATACTGTGCAGAATTACTAGTTTATATACATATATATGTATATATATTTTTTTTATTTATATACTTTATTATTATTATTTGTATGTACATTTTTTTATGAATTTTATTTTGCAGGATATTCAGTGTATATTAGGTCATGAAACTAGTCCATTGCAATCATTATGGCATCAATTATTATTTTTAGAGGATTTAATTGAACAGTTAAAATATTTAAAAGATGAATGTTTAAGTAATAGAATAAATATTGAATTCCCTCAGTTTCAAGTAAATATATTTATAATTTCTTTTATTCGTGTTTAATTTAACTGTAAGATTATGTGTAATTTTAAAGGGTGATATACGAGGTGGTGTCAATGGAAATATTGTTGAAATGTTTCCAATGATGCTGCAAAGTGTATCTTCTACATTATACAAACGAGGCAAGTTGGGACACCAAGAAGATAATGAACAAAAGTTGTTTTGTCAATGTGTCAGAGATATCATTTCTGCAGAATGTGTTCAACAAGAATTTACTGATAAACTTTGGACATATTTGTTAGGTAATTAATAAATGGATTAAAGTAAATAAAGATTAAATACATTTTAACACTATTTAGAATGTAAATCATATCATGACTTAATTGGATGTTTTGAACATTTGTACAAGGCTGTAAGAAATGAACGATTCAAGCCTTTGGTATGTATGCCATTATATCATAATTATTGTTAACTCTTTTGTAGTGTGTTATTAAATTTAGATCAAATCATCAAATGGTACAAGATTAGCACAAATATTAAAATCTTTACCAGGAAATACAACATCTAATCCTGAAAAATTGTATGACCCTGTACAGCTATTAATTGAAATTGGTATCGAAAAACTAAAAAATGATTATACTCAAGCATTTATTGTTTCTAAAGTGGCTTTAGCTGATAATTTAAAATTGGAGCATAATAACAAGTTTAGTATATAAAATGGATTTATTAATGTGTATAGGGTGATTCAACTAACTGGAAGCACTCATTATTTCTGAAAGTATTAACTTTTTTTGCAATATTTTCCCATTTATAAATTAAAGTAAATGAGAAGTAGTGGAGTATCATTTATGTGGCAGCATGGCGTGCGGCGATTGAATAGTGCTCTACTACTCTCCCCTTACCTACCTCATCAACATTTATTTGAATTAATACACTATCTGTTTAATATTTTTAATATTTATGTAACCTATTTTTAATAGGTTGCTATTTGAAAATCAAAAGTTGGTAGTCGTTTCACTCCCAAAAATAAGGGTGACAAAAAAAAAATGATAATGTTATATTTTAGAACTATTTGTTTCCAGTTAAGTGAAACCTGTATATTATATTTATTAAGTAATAATACCTGGGTGTCAATATCGTATTATCCTTGTTCGTATTCAATTTTTTTATTTGCTCAATCTAATTTTGTATTGAGAAAAAATAATTTTATTTAACTAGCCTGATAGTTTTGAAAATATAATTTTATCGGTTTTGTGTTATCTAGGTCTGCCATAGACATCAGTTAACAGTATTTGAAATAATTTACCCTGTGCGTAATTTTAATTTTATTATTCACTTAATTTTTTTAAATAGAGAAATAAATATGCCATGATTATATCATTGAAGTGTTTCTTGATTGTTATGTTATACAATAAACAATATTTTTATTTTGATCATAAATAAGTACCTACTTACAATATTATGTGGTCAAAGATTTTCTTTTAATATTATATCAATATAACAATGGTTTAAATAGAAGTTGGAACAAATCATGTAACCATGCACCCATTCCCATTATCCTAGGACAGCTCTTTTGACCTCTCTAGAAATTAAAACAGTTATTACTAAGAAACTATTCATCAAATATTTACGTATATTAGATTAAAATGTTAAGAATAATATCTATTACAATACGGCTATTTTTTATATGTTAAAAAATTAACAAAATAAAGTTATTTTTTTTAGTGATTGAGGGATAATTTAGTTTTTCTCTAAATATATGTCCCCTGACATAAAATCCGATTGAAAAAATAAAAAATTTAAATATTTACAGAGTTACAATTTATTATTTATTAGCATTGAGAAAATATGAGGGGAGGGAATACCATGTATTAATATATATTGATAATTTTTTAAAATAATTTTAGATTCTGTAACGTAGATTATTCGGAGTGGTGGACAACATTAAATTTATGGATGTTATGGTTATGTAGAGTTCACACAGTTTTAGATTTAACAGCTATAACTGAATCCGTGTTAAATATATCCACACAAAGTATGATGCCAGTCACAACAAATGCATTGCGTTGTTATCTTGGCAATTCATCTCCAATACAGTCAATTGATTCTGTGAAATTACTACCACCACAAACATTCAAAACTTCAATCAATACTCATTTTATTGAGCATCATATACCAAAGTATTGTTTTTAATAATCTTTTATCTATTATTTATGTTTTATTTATATGTAGATCATAAAAAATTGTATAACTAATTTTTTTTTTATAGATCATTTACCTATGATAGTTGGACACTACAGTTAATATCAAAAAATAATAATCGGCGTGTTATTAGTATATTTCACCGTAACACTAAAAATATATTACCCAAACAAATATCATACCAAGGTTTGTAGATAAATTAAAAAATATGATTTTGCAGATTTAAATGTTAGATTAGAATTTTTGGTTTATTTACTATTTTTATGAATGGAAGGGGACTAATATTAATTATTATAATAAAATTAATTTGTTTGTATTATTATTAGGTGATACCAGTTGCGAAACCAATGAAAAATTGATGGATCAAACAGTTTTAACACTTGAGACATATCATTGTATCAATTTTCATATATTATCAGATCATTTGAATTAAATCTGAAATAATCTTATTTGATACATAATATACTTAGTATTTATTTTTATGTAATATTTAAAATTTTATACTTTATACTGGATACATTTTTTTTAATGAATCATTGATTTTTATAATTTATTAGAAACAAAAAACATTTTTAAGTATTTAAAAGTATATTTTATACTAAAATGTGCGTTTTATATTTATTTCAATTTTTAGAAAATAGCTATCTTGAGTTTTACATTTTGATCATAGCTAAGAATGTTTTAGTTTTTCTACGTGTACTTTTTTTTTCTGTCTGTTCAATTTTTCTTCCTAAAATCTTATTCCAATTAAGAACTGACTATAGATTTTTTTCGTTACATTTTATATTTAGTTGGTGTATTGGAGAGGTAATTTTTTTATTTTCTAAGAGGTTTTCATAATAGGAAAAAAATCAGAAAAACCAGACAAATCTTTATTGTGTTATATTACTGATTTTATAAATTTAAATTTTAGATTTAGAGTGGATCGAAGAAGCTTATAGTTTTACAATGATATATATTATGGTTTTTTATTTGAACGTATTTTTTTACCAGACATATTGCTTCGATTTACAAGTGAAGCACTTTTTCTGAAAGGAAATCAGACTGAAGATGTACTTTAAAGAGGTAATTTTTCAATTTTACCATTCATGTTCCGAACAAATAGGAAAAACCGAAAAAGAAACAGAGGCAAAACTGGAACATGGATGAATGTATTGTAAAATATTAGTCGTTTTTTTTCTGGGAACAACTGTTTTACTAGCAATTTTACTTCGATTTACAATGATACACTTTTTCTGAAAGCAAATCTGACTGGGCTGGTACTTTAAAGAGGTCATTTTTTCCCAACACATTAAAGATATAGTGAAGTTCATAAAATGTGAAAATACTGGTAACCTTGAGTAGAACTCAATTTAAATCGCTTATGTTCCTTATCTTATGATTATATTGGTTTTATCATTAAATGGAAAATTTCCCATAAGATATAAAATTGCTGTTGTCAAAAATATATTTATATAAACTTTTATCTTATACACTAACAAATATTAATGATTTATTTGATACATTAACATTAATATTATTAATGATTTACAAACTGGAGATAATTTATTGATAATTTTAAAATTTGGGTCTCTACTTTTTCAACTTAAAATAGTAATTTTTCTATGAAAAAATGTTTTTTTTTTTTGAAGTCTGTTTGCAATACACCATTTAAGAAAGTAGTAAACTAAAAAGTTTGAATACTTTCATTTAAAAAAAGAAATGTTAAACAAATTGACTTTCGGCTAGCTTTTTTAATTTTAAAACAGGGCGCTCAACGATAATAACTATACTCGATTAATTGGAGGAAGGACGCAAAAACATGTTTCTGCCCAAAGCGCCAGTATATATAACACCGGCACTATATATTTATACATAACATATTGACTAGAGCTGATGCGTGGTGGGCAGAGAATGGTTTGAGCTAGTTCTGAATGTTTCCTTCACTCGGTGAACTGTGGAGTTCCTTCATCCTTCCTTGAAATTTCCGGTTATGACATTCATCGACTATTTGTGTAGCAGTTTGCTTCTCATGCTTATAGTCCCATTGGTGATGGTTTCAAGCCTCATTTATGGAGCATATATCTTGTTCTTCCATGTCCTGTGCAGGATCTATTTAGGCTAACCCAAGTTTTTCTGAGGAGGTCAAAAGTTCGGTGTTCTGTTGAGTTTACAATTAGGTTTAACTTATCAGGATTACTATTTTTCCATTCATTATTCCATTTCATACTTGCATTGTTCCGATATTAATTTTTGATAGAGTCTCCAGGTAGGTTTTCTAGATATTTGTTTACTGCAAACCACTGGTCCGAATACAACACGTGCGACCGTCGCATGAACGAAACCGGCTTCATAAGATTATATTGACAGCACTACGTGCAACCTTTGCAATAGTCGCCGCCCGCAATGACCACTACAGTTGACTGCAGAAACCAAACCATACCTAAGCTTATGTTAGGGCTAGGATTTATGTTATTGTGTATTGAAAGTAAGTCATTCACATACAATTTAGCGTATTTTCATATTATTGAGCTATATATCAGTGTAAGTAAGGCGGCTATACGTTACTCAGTACAGGCAGGCTCTTTGTAGAAGTAGACTTAACCGCGCTAGTGAGAATTCTCATGGCAGAATTGAGTTAGGTATCCACTTTATTTGTGTGATCACTTTGTAGCCTAACTGATTAACCAATAATCAGCTATTGATAGCGTAAGGGCTTGTATTGATACTCTGAGGGTGTTGGTGTCCACTCCCGATTCTGAGTGTCCCAGTTTTTGAATGATACTGTTCCTTGTTTTCCTTTTTCCTGCATTCTTTACCAGGTATACCTTGAAAGTTAGGGTTTTATCTAAAGTTACCCCGAGATATTTGGGATGTTGTGTATGTGCAACACAAACATACAAAACATTTTATATTATAATAAGTTTAAACATTAATATTAGCAAGTAGACTAGTAAAGCAAATAAGCTGAGGCAGCAAATCGTAAACGATATACGCCACCCGAACGATGTGAGAAAAGAGGGGCGAGAGAGTTTTTGGTCAGTTGACTAGAGAGATTCGCGTAATATTGTGTTTGATTTAAATAAAAAAAGGACTGTATAGCGTATATTCTCGTTTTGTTTATGAGTAGTCACAATACTCTTCTTTTATTCTGAGTCCGATCTGAAATCAGTTAATTCATGGTTTTTGAGAATAAGGTTTAAAAAATTAAGTAGTCCTATCGACTTTGGATTATCAAACTGATACTGATTAGTTCATAGTCTTTTGCATAGGTAGTTTAGTTTGGATAGATCGCTACCCTTAGTGAAGGGGTAGTATACGATAGGAATTACGGTTGTTTTTTATCACTTGTCAGGTGGACACAGTGATTTTCAATTTAGAACTTAATATATGAGTTATTTACCCGTGGGATCAGTTGTTAAACCAGAAGACAAAAAAAACCTTAATATAATATAGGTAGGTTGTAGGTATTATTGTATTTTAAGTATGAATCATTTTGTTTTTCTTGATATTGACTTGTTGATTAACTTAGGTAAGTAGATATTATATAATATCGTTTGTGTGGTTGTTAATTTGTATGTAAATATTTGGTCAATGTCGTAGGTAACATAATATTAGGTAGGTACATAGGTGGCTAGGTACCTACCTAGGTATTTAGGTTACTCACGTATGGTGTTAGTAGTTGATATTTTATAATATTTTCTATAATAATAGTAGTAGGTATTTATAACGGATGATCATTTCTTTACTTGCGTGATTATCTACCTACTTAAAAATGACCTAAAGGCTTATGGTATCATCGTATATTGATCCGGGAAGTCGTACGAGTGTACATCATATGTATGTAATGACTCCGGAAAATCGAAATGGACAAAACATTTGGCAAGTTAACGTTCTAAATCTGTGTCATATACTGTATGTACGTCATGACTACAGTTTTGATTTTTCGGTGGTAATTTCACCGAGTATTGAACCATAGCGTTACAATAATTATAGGTAATACTTACTATTAGAAGTGTTATTAGTGTTACTACCTTTAATAAAATTACAGACAAATTTTATCTACACAGGTAGAAACTTTTTTTTTGGTTGATTTAAAACAAATGTGTTGGTAAAACTATTATACCTATGTAAGTACTAAGTACCTATCTATAGTATTGTCGGGTGTTCATTTTAGAAATTAAAAAAAAAATAATACTTTCGAGGAACCTATTTATTTTCACACCCATTCCGCTATATAATATTATAATCCATTTTACCTATATCTTTTTTTATGTTTCTTTATTTTGATTATACTGCAATGATTTTTCTTTGTACAACAATTGTTTTAGAAATAACTAGTGATGGACATGATCGATTGAAAATAATCTAATTACTCGATTGTAGAGAATAATATTGGGCTGCATACGACTTGCAGTCGTTGGCGATTTCTAAGATAAGCAGATATAATAGTTGCGGTCACCCCATTTACAGTGTATCTCCCAATTGAGGTTACGTGTTAAAATGTTCGAATTATTCGATAACTTAACTTAATGAGTTTTAGAACACATTTCCAAAGTGTATTGTTAATATGATTTTAAAAATAAAACTCGATATTGGAATTAAAACGTTAAGTTTAATTAACTTTATATTATCAATATCATTTTTGATTTCAACCAAGAATTAAAATTTTCTAGAGCAACAAATTGTTATTATGAAGAGGGTGAAATAAATAGATTTGAGTACGTAAAATCAATTTATTTTAAATTTGTACTCTTTGAATTTTAATATAATTTTACATTTATACAATAACATTTTAGTTTTAATAATTTTATAAAACAAACATTTTTAATTAAACGTATGCAATAAATAAAAGTGTGGGCAGTTTTAAGTCTGTTATAAATGGAAAGGGAAATTTTTAGTACCTAGCAGGTAAATTTTTTATTGGGTGACCGCAACTAGTAGGTAACCTTTTTATTAGGCGTCCGCAACTAGTAGGTAACCTTTTTTTTTAAGTGATCGCAACTAGTATGTGTTTTTTGATTTTGACCACAACTAGTAAACACCGTAATATTGTGTTTCTTAAACTTTTTGAGATTACGGAACATCAAACAATAATATTTTTTTAAACAGAACCCCATAAATATAAAAATATAACTTTTTAATTTAAAAAGAAATCTAAATTATTTTGTTTACTTATATCGGTGGTACCTAATAATATTATTATAATTAATTTAATAAATTATTATACGTGCCCATTTGATGGGAAACGGGGAAAAATTTTGGCGAATTTCGGAGGAAAATTATTAATAATCACTAAAAATGGCTAAACTCACTGCACCATATAGCTGACCGCACTGCAGCGCAGCACATGCACGACAAGTCATTGCTAATTTTGCCTTTTTTTATTACCGGTATCGTTAAATGGATAATTGTAGAATTTTAATTAATTTTTTTAGCCTTGAGAAGTTACAAGTTATTTAAACATTTTTGCTCGGCCAAAACAATTTTATCCACAGAAAAATAAATAAAAACTCAAAAAGGTCAAGTAAAAAATAAATCGCTAGAATATTTTGAATATTATACCACTTTAGGCCATTATTATAGACAAAAAAAATCAAATCAAATATAATGAAATAATGAAACTTTTTCACAATTTTTAATAAAACGACAAGGAAAATTAATTAAAAATGCATCAACTAGTCATCATTTTCATTTAGTAAAAATGTTAATATAGAAATTAAGAACAAGATTTAGACGAACAAAATAATGCAACTTTTATTACTGTACATTTATCCGTTTTTCCTATAGGTTTTTTTCGGTTTTAAATATATTGATTTCCAGGGGGTGTCTGGTGAGACGTTTCACCAGCATTCCCCCTTTTCTTATGAATCGACTTATCTCAATTATGACTGCCCTGGAAATTCTGAAAATAGTCGTATAAATTTTTTATGCGAATTACGTGATGAATATTAATACATAATATTTTGCTTTTAAAAATTTCAGTGGTAGTGGGCTGGCCAAACGTACGTGAAAATAGACTGATATAATTTGGGCGTGTAACGAGAAGAGAGGAATCGGAAGCAGTAAGAATTGTAATGCAAATAAACATAGGAGAAAAATCGAAAAAGAGGCGGTTGAATGTCATTGAGAACGATATGGTGACAGACGGTGTACGCGAGGTGGGAGATCGGGTTAGGTCAACTCGGGTGGAAGCTTAGGACAGGAATGACCGACCCGAAATAGGAGAAGAAGTTACAAAAATATGCCGGTTCGTGATAAAAGAATCACGGCTGTATATAGAAGGATCTGCGTGTATTATAGACAACTGATGGCTGTATAATGCCGACCGATGGCACGTTGGCCCTTTGGCCCATTGGCGGTAGGCATACCCATTTGTATTAGCAGTTCAATAATGTGATGAGGGGCGGGCAGGTCGTCGCATGTACTCACATTTTATTACCGTATACTCCCATATACACGGACGTATGTACCTTCGTGTGCGTGTAATTCGCCGGGCGACCAGGTTAGGTATTATTATTGTATTTTTTTTTTTTTTCTACGACGTTAGGACAGCGCGTCATTGTCGCCGTCGAGTAATCCTATTCAAATAACGGTAATATCGGTCGGGGGGAGAGACACAAGTATAGAAAACTTTCAAATGCTCGTCGCTACGAACGGTCATTCGCTATTATACAATTGTAGGTATAATTATTATGTACACATTTATATCGTTTATATTGTGTTTGGTTTGTAAATGCCGATAACCCCGCGCGTTCGGACGGTCAGTGCACAGCTCGCGCGCCCGGACGCGTATTTCTACGATTTGTTTTTTCTTTATAGACCGGACGAGCCATAGGTACCCGCGACTGCACGCCACCGGCGATGTCTGCCGCTTCGGTGCAGTGTAAGTATAGAACGGTCCCCGTCTGCACAGCTGATGCAGAATCGGAATAATAATATTGTCTCCACTATACTTTTACCTGTTTACCTGTATATTATAGGAGTGCCGTTGCCGCCGGAATTTTTTTTTTTCCCGACAAACAGTAGAAGATAAAAAAAGAAAAAAAGAAAAGAAAATGGTGAGTTGTTGTACAAGTACATAATTTTTTTATAAGATACATAAACTTAACATCGACGCAACTAGGTGGTGACTAAAGGGTGCTTAAATATCCTCAATATTTTTTAGCCTCTCTCCATAAACTTATGCACTTATATTACACTTATAATGCAGTAGTGCAACCATACTGTTATATTAATTTTTTCACTGTTATTGAATATTGAAAAGGATTAGACAAATCAATTAAAAATTGAAAACGTAAATATAGCTTAACTATAATATATTATAGTTATACGACTGACTACACTTTTACCTTAAACAAATAAATTGTATTAATAAGTGACCGATAGGTTTATAGTTGTGTTGATTACAAATTAGTTTGTTCAGCCATATAATTTTGTTAGTTAAACATTTTTTCCGTGATGAAGACAGAATAATATTGTTTTAATACAGATAATGTATAATATAATATAATTAATTAGTTAAAGTAATTTAAATTCAATAAAAAAAGCTTATTATTATTAAAAATATCGGGAATAAATAGTAATTTATATTTAAATTTTGTATAATATTGTAGCACCCCAAAATTGAAGGTCTAGTTGCGCCTACGAAACCTACTTACTGTAATCGTATTATTATACCTAAGTATAGTTTTCAAAAATCACCACAGAATGTCTTAAAAATCGATTAAATATATTTTGTATTTGTATTAAATATTTGCCCCGTGTGTCTTGAAATTATAATCTCATAAATATTTCAATATTTTATTAATTTTTAAGCAGGGTTGCGCCGTTATTTTTATGTCCTTTTTCCGCTATTTTTCTTCTGAATGTCATTACTTTCTTTTCTTTTTTTTTGCACGATTGGCGATAGTAATTTAGGAAATAAATAAATTACATATAGTCCGTAAATTGAGTGGCACAGATAAATAATATTTTGTCTAAAAACTATACAACTTTCATATACAGTTTGTGTTTATATAATTGTTGGACAATTATTTTGTGTTTGCTGAAGTAAGCAGATCGTCTATTCATTTCTCGGTATCCAAAAAAAAAAACAAAAAAATCATAAAATATCCCCAAAAACCGAATAAGTTGCAAAAAATATGTACAAATATTTCTTATTTTTATACTTGTTGTAAAAGTAGGTTTTACACGCCCATTTTTAATTTTTTTTATAAATTCGGTTTTATTTGTATCCATTTGTATTTTCTAATAAGTTATAAAATGTTAATTTAGATTAAAAATCTTTGAAGTTAAAGTCTATTACCAAATATATATATTATATAAAAAAAAATATGTAAGTTATTATAGTTTTTCTTCTCAAAGCGGATTTTTCTTGTTTCTATTTCTATAGCACGTTTTCGTCAATACGACTAGATGTATTAAAATACATGTTAGAATAGCGTTGGGGAAAAAAAAAGAGTTGTAAATTCAGAAAATGTTTAAAAAACCGTCTAGTTATAGGTAAAATATTAAGTCTTATATGTGACCGTATCGTAATATGACATATATTATTATAGGCTTAAAAAAAATATTTAAAATACAATTTAAAAATCGATTTGCGTAAAATTTTCCTGTAGGTACCTAATTATTTTTCATCCTACATTAATATATATATATATTTGAATTTGATGTATTTTGTATTTTTATAGTTTCTATAGTTTCAATAACTTACACATACCTAATAATTTTGTGTATGAAATTCTACGGTTTTTAAATCATAGACACCTGATCCATTTACGTATTATAATTATAACTTAGGCAATATTTTTGTTTTTATTTTAGTGTATTTATATCGTACTTATACATGTATTATAAACAATTTGTGTGTTTTAAATTGGATTTTCAATTTTTGTTTAGCTCCCGGGAAACTTGAAATGCTTATTCTAATATTATACAATATATTTATATCTGTGGTATAATTTTCTGTAATTATTTATAGACTTCCGTAGAAAAAAATGAAAACTTTAATGCGTATTTATTAAAAAGTAAAAAAAAAAATCCATACACCCGTCAGTATAAAACTAATCCTTCAAAATCTCAAATAACTAAATACACTGTAGGTACGTACGTATACTGTGAATTCGTACGATGAAGCCATTTAATAAACAAATAAGCAATTCAATTATCGTCGTGGGTGGTTAATGGTTATATCATTTAGACTCGCGGACGGTTAGTATTATTATCATTCGTTCGTTTATAAAATTGAATTATTGAAAATGAAAACCTATATTTGGTTACCTAGTTCGTTGATGTGATTCGTAATACACGTCAGGCAACTACGTTTATTTAAATATGTAAATTTTTTCTTTTTGTTGAATATTTCTTTAAAAAAAAAGTGATTATAATTATATGCATTACAATGGAGAATTATTTGAAAAATATCGAGGAAAAAAAAATACTTAATAAATTATAATAGACATGCCTAATGGATAATAATATTATACAGTGGGCACCGTTTATAAGACTCACTTTGGAACCAGCACAATGTATGTCTTATAATCGAATGAACCTTATAGGCGAAGTGGGGAAAGAAACTTTATTTGTTAATTTTATTTCAAATATATTATTTATTAAAACAATTTTTGTTTGTTAAAACTCGAATGACGACTCATTGTACAACAACTACGACCATATAAATTACAAAAATGTGAAATGCAATGAATGAACCAATTAATTCGAAAGTGAAATAACCTTACACTACAATAATGATAATTATGATGAATGTTAAGTACAATAAAATATGAATTTAAAACACTGCAACAAAAATTACTTTTAAAAAACCAATTTAGTTCAAGATTTCACGAAAATTGTACATTTTCTACAATTTTTTTTTTTTACAAAGTTCGTGTCTTATAACTGACTTTTTTTTAAATGTATTTGAATACATCCGGACCGTTCCAAATAGTTTTGAGTTTTATAAGCGCCTGAATCTTATATCCATGCAGACGTGTGTACAAGGTGGAGTTTTAGGGGTTCAATAGAGATTAGAACTTCTTCCTCCGAAATTTCATGAAAATTATGATGAAAGTAGATTTTTAAGAGTCTCAAAAGTGGTTTCTGTCAATGAGGATGATAAATACAATTTTGGTTTAATTTTAATTTTATTACTAGATAGTACTTGGTGTGCATTGTTATTATTGCCATTTCTAATTTTTTTGTGGTTTTCCTGCTTTTAGAAAATTATAACTAATACGGCGATATTGCATAGTCCGTATTATCATCACAATAATATGAATTACGTTATCATCGAGGCTGTATTCATTAAAAAAGTATTAAATATAAAATTTAGTATAGGCACCTAAAAGACTAAACATGAATATTATAAAATATTGACATTTATAATGAAAAATAAATAATCCTACAGTTGAAAGTATGTAAGCTTCTTTGTTATAAGAGTATTAAAGCGTATAACTTTAAACCTCTCCGAAATATTTTTTTTTAAACGCACCTGTATCCGTGAGTCTTATAACTTATAAGTGGCATCTACTGTATATTGAACATATTAACTAACTACGTCAGTATAGGTAATTGTAGATAGCGCGTGTAGCGAAGTTTAACTAGTATGGTTTTTTTTTTCTGTTAGTAAAAAGGCTTCAAAATCTTCGCAAACCTATTTTTAATGATGCGGGTGATTAGATCGGTACACAATGATTTGATTGTTAAAAATAAGTAGAAAAAACCAAGTGGTACTGCACAAAATTATTCACGTCGAGATAATATCTGTGAATTCGTTTACATGCATCCATTAATTTAAATCAATACGAATTAGGGTGTAAGTACCTTTACGAGTACATTTTTACGACTAAAACCGTACTAGTAAAACGCGCTTTCACTAGTTTCACTAGACTAGTTTATGTTACTAGTCATCTCTATGATTTCAATTGTTATAGCAAAATAAAGAAAGTTTTTTTAAAAAAAATGTATTTGTTAATTTTTTGAGTAAATCTTAAAGTTCGTCCTGTTTTTTTTTATATGATCCGTTTGTTGATGTTTTAATGTTATTGATTAGAAATATATATTTAATCTTTAATAGGAGTATCTTTACAAAATCGATATAATTGATCATTATTAGTTGCATTTTAGTGAATTGTATAACTACTAATCATTACCCACTGGACTTTCATGTAACATAGATTCACTCTTGAAATGTATATAATTTTTGTATACATTAATTCAAAATATAGGTTGTACATAGGTTGTATATAGGTAGTGTTGTTAATTTTAGCCAAAACAATAAAATCCATAAGAAAAATACTGTAATAACTGCATAATATATTTTTGGAAGCTACAAAAATAGGCTACGTTATACAAATTTTTTCGCTTAAGGAGAGTTCTATGATATGGCAGTGATAAGGTAATGATAGCGTTTCGAAACAAATTTTTTTTGACCATATAAGTTATAACTGCGAACTTACTTTTTAAAGAAATTGTAGATGTAGATTTTTAAGGGAAGGACTACGGGGTTAAGCTTCTTTCTAAATGTAATTATTTAAACTTAAAAAAATATATATTGCCCCCTTTTTTTTAGGACCCCTTGAGTTAAAAATTGAAATTGCGCCCATGATGGGTCATCATAGGTATATACATCGGAGGATCAAGTTCCCTTGGATCTCATTTAACCTCGCAGTAGGCACCTATCTAATAAATAATTATGGCGAATGATTGATGTATTGTCCCAAATGAATTAATTAAATTAGTCTCATTCATCCTTGTCGTGCATTGAGATTGAAATTAATCGTGCGTTGTTCCTGTTTTTGTTTTTTCATTTTTAAACGTCTCAGTTTCACAATACCTTAAAAACAACGCTATTATACTAACGAGATGACCCTTGCTTTTCGTCTTAATTATATTCGTTTAGCATCAATTATAAAACTGCGGCTGTACCTATAGCAGCACTGTGAAACACATCAGTCGACTTGAACTATTTGTAACTTTGTCGCGGTATAATATACAAATTGCATGTTTTCAAATGCATTTACAATTTTTTTTTAAATTTTTTTTAAAAAAAACCTCCTATAATATACACTTCAAATCTAACCGGTCAATAACTATACGGACCGATGAGGTATTTTGTTCTTAAAATAAAATATAGGCGCATTATAAATGTTACGCATTTCGCGAGTAATGGAATCGAATATTTTATCATCGGACGTTTAATATTTTTTTTAATGACTATAATAACCCGCAGTAAATGTTTCTATTTTAGATGGCCGCGGATTTTACGAACGCCGGGTATGCGTTTTTGGCTATGTGGTCGACAATGCTGCTTTGGACAATGTCCGGCATTGGTGTCGAGAGTCATGTGTCCGATTGTCAGCCGTGCGGGTTTAATCCTCTGTGTTCGTGTACCCAGTCGTACGATAGTTTGGGCGAAGTTCATTGTGCCGACGTGTACTTCCCACGCGTACCACATGCCATCAACCGATCCAGGCTGTCGACCCTACATCTCAGGAATAACGATTTGAACACTATCGAGCCCTACTTTCTCGTAAACACCGGTAAGTCCACTACCTAAATAATAATTTTACCCCGTCCTTAATGTCACTTTTGACGCCACTTGATATGCTGGCCAGTTCCACTAATCTTCCCCTGAAAAACTGGAATATTTTGACAATGGGTAAATATAAATATAAATTGTCAACATCATAACTGGTTTGAACTTATCAGTTTTCTATATTCACGGAATTTTTAACATAGGTTGCAATTTGAGAATAAAAAATAAATCGATATAATATATATTAAAAATAAGGGTGACAAAAAATTAAGATAATGTAATATTTTAAAGCTGCTTATTACTTACAATTAAAAAAAAAATCCAAAAATATATTTTACATGTAAAGTGCAACTTTTAAATTAAAAGTATAACGACGAAATTATTATAGTTTTACATAATATTACTTTAATGTGTTTTTTTTTTAAATAAATTTTATTTGAAACAATTTATTGATATTTTAAATAATTTATCTTTTAGGTTCTTTTATTGGTTTTATTTTTTTTATTTCTGGGTTACCTTGTTAAAAAGAGAAAAAAAATGCCTAATTCTACTCCATTCAGAATTATTTTTTGTTTGTAATGATTACCAAAAATCATATTCGAGAAATAATATACAGGATTTTAAGAATTTTATGTTGCAGTAAAATTGTCCATGAATAAATTACTTATGTAAAAAATGCTAGGAATTACTTATTCTAAAATGTTACATTGTCCTTATTTTAGATTCTGAGTGGAGCGAAGAAGCTTATGGTTTTATAAATATGTTTATTTAATTTTTTTTTTGTGGACAACTTTTCTACCAAAAGACTTGCTTCGATTTTTACGTGTAGCAACTTTTCTAAAAGGAAATCAGTGTAGGTAGGTACCTTAAAGAGATTATTTTGAAATTGCTCAAGCGTTTTCTCGTCAAATGCGAAAAACCGAAAAAAAAAAAACCAGGAAAATACGAAATATATTTGTATAATATTGCATTTTTTATTACTGTGGACAAATTTTCTATCAGTTTCGCTTCAACTTTTAATGATAGCAATTTTTCTAAAAGGAAATTTCACTGGGAAGTTACTTTAGAGAGGTCAATTTTTCGATTTTCTCCTGAGTTTTCGCAGCAAGTGTGAAAAACTGGGAAAAAACATGAGAAAACCGGAAAAAACGTAGGAAAACTGGGAAAACTGGTACAACATTAAACAAATATTATTAAAGGAAATATATGGAGCCCATTTAATTATTTCACTATTTTATGGCATATATATTGTTGACAAAGTATCACTATCAATTGAATTTCACTTAGAATCGTACTTTTGTTAGTAATGGTTTATCGTTGCTTACAGATATACATTAAATTATCGTCTGTATCCTACCTTTCCAACTTCCCACCTACACTAGCGGCTACACCCGTTCCCATTATCTTACCTTTCTTTTTGGGATGAATCTACTATTTATTTCTGATTATCAAATAGCATAACTATATCAAACATTTTCTTTATACAAATAACATAAAAAACAGTTTCTCTGACATGTACAGTTTACACGTATATACGATATATTACATTTTTAAAACGTTTTTAATCGGAACATTTTTTAATATTTTAGGCCTTTATAGAATGACAATTCAAGATAACCCATTGACATTTTTGACCGACGATTCATTGTATGGATTAGAACATTCGTTATGGGAATTGGAATTGATCAATACGCATATCACCTACGTTCCGAGTAAGGCGATACGAGCATTACAAAAATTAAAAGTTCTCAACTTATCGGGTATGTATAATGATGGACTTGATGCTTAAAAAATCACCTATTTTACTCTTACGGTTACTTACTTTAGGCAACCAAATATCGGAAATAAGGTGGGGCGATTGGAATGGACTGGAGAATACTCTGAAAATTTTGAAACTCGCCAACAACGCGCTAACGCATTTATCGCAAAGAGCTTTCTATAATCTGTTGTTGTTGGAGAATCTTGACTTATCTGGTAACATGATATCGGAAATACACCCAAATGCTTTTGAAAATGGCCCGTTGCAACTGAAGAAACTAAACTTGGCGGATAATCTGTTAAAATTCATTCCATACATACATTTATCGTCACCGGCTCTGAAGCAAGTATACGATTATAATATAATAATATTTCAACGTGTTTTAATATTATTTGGTTTTTTTTTTGTATTTTATTTTTCTCGTAAGCAATGTCAAATATTGTAAATAAAATGTTTGAATTTTTTTATTAATTATTATATAAGATATACTCGTAATATATAGCTAGTGTTATACAACGATACATTTTATCTAGAAAAAGATAAAAAATAATTGCTAGAATAATTATCTAGACCAGTGGTCCTTAACCTTTTTTAATTCAACGCTCCTTTATCGAGATAACTGACTGATAATGTCCCCTCACGTAAAGCTTTAGGCTTGTTATACCCTTATTGGTCATTTTTTTGTTCATTGGTCTTTATACCGACTATTATATGAATCTTGGTGTATCGCTAGTGTTTTTTATTTTTTAATTTTCCATCATTACGTATTTAAAAGCTCACCCCTTCCCCCGAACGTCCCTTAAAATCTACCGCCTATGTTAAGAACCACTGATCTAAACGGAGATAAAAGATACCTAATAATTTAACAATCTAGATAAAGATATATAAACATGAAATATTTTATCTAGATAGAAAAATATATATAATTATGTTCGGTATCAATCGTACAATTATTAAGTGATAAAAGTAAGTAGTAAAAGAGTTCCAGCTTTGTTACACATGTAAATCTCTTAAAGACTGTGTGATTGATATAACTTAATAATAATAATCTTATTAATAAAGTTAAATACTGCACTTATCATTTCTATTAAATATATATATTACTGTTTACAAATATGCATCTAGATAAGTTTATCCAGATTATTCAATTATTTATCTCGAATAACTTATTTATAATTTATCTATATTCTAGATAATATAAAATATATAAATGTAAACCTATCTAAATGAAAAACAACACTGAATTTATTGTGTTGGTGGTAAAAAATGATTTATAGGTTTTTGAAGAATCTGGACGTTAGTTACAATTTAATCGACAGTACAAAAGGACCGTCATTAACCACAATATTTCGGGGTGGCCGACGCAAGTTCACGCTGGACGAACTCCATTTGGAGTACAATCATATCAAAGTTTTGGAACCACAGAGTTTGCAGAATTTCGAAATTATAAACAAAACATACTTGGACGGCAATCCAATTACACACATTCAGGTGAATATCGTGTTATATCGTTATATCGTGAATAAGTGTCATGGGTGGTTGTAGGTAAAAATATTCGATGAAAAAAGTCCGGCTTCTACACTGTAGGTATAGCTAGATAATTAATAACCAAACTAAAAAGATGGAATCTTAGGCTTTCCAAATTATTTTCATATTTCCACCCAAAAATTTGGCTATCAATTGAAAATATGCAGTTGGAGTTGGGGGTTGATTAGTGCAAAATAGGTCAAAGGAAATATTTTGAACCACTAAGAAAAAAAAAAAAAAAAATATATATGAAAACTTTTTTAAATGCATATCCTTAAATTTAATTAATATTGTATAGTAGAGTAGAATAATGCATTTTTTTTTTATTATGATTTAGTTTTTTAATTTTAATTATTATACGATGTTTACATTGATTTTTGGTCAATTTTATCATCGTCATTTTTATTACTTTTGATACCAAAATTAATACGATTATTATACCTATTAATATTATTATTACGTATTAAAATTGTATTTAATTTATTATGTATATTTATAAATTATAATTTTATAGGTACTATATTTTTACCTCCTAAAATTTTTCCCTCGGACATTTTGGTGGAATGCACCAGTTGTCCTCAAAAATACCTTTTTTTTTATACCAATTCCCCCAAATTACCTAAGGTAAAAAACACTAGTTGCCCTCAGCATAATGTACCAGATGTCCTAAACATATTATTTACACAAAAATAATACCACACCTGGCATAAAATAGGGGAGGTAAATATGTGATGAAATAATAAATAAAAATACGTATGATAAAATTATAAATATAATATTTTCAATGTTAATTGGCATACGATTGTATTGTAGTTTGTCTAAAAAAAAAAAAAAAAATGCTATTACTTACTGCTAATATATTATTATTACATTTAATCAATTATAATTATTTATTGTAATTTGTTAAAAAAAGTTTATAAATAATTTTTAATAATAATAACTTAAATTTTTAATAAATTCTTGTCTAATAAATATTTTTGTTTTCATATTTGTTTATAAACTCTTGGTTTTTTTTCTTTCTGTTTAGATATGTGCGATTGGTGACCTTTATTTTTTCGTTAATACTACTTATACTAACGTGTGTACTTGTTAGGTTAGATTAAAGTTAGAGTTAGAGGTGAGAATTATTACTTATTATTAGAGTAAAATGTCACTATTCGTACGGGCTATTTTATATGTTGAAGGCAAATGGTATATTTTTTAATGCCACAAATATTCGCTGAAGGCAACTGGTAAATATCTCATTTTGATAGAACCCTGTCGTGGGTATATATTATAATAAGTATTTAAATTCTGTACTATCGTAAAGATTACACTGATAATGTAAGTAGGTAGGGAATATTATGATTGTTATAAAATCTCATTTCCTATAGTATCCGGCAAATAAAATATTGACAAAACATTCTTCCCGATTTGTTTTATTTCATTTAATTTTTTGCTTGTATTTTTATTCCCTTGCGTTTTTTTTCTTTTTTCTCATAGTTTGGTATTTACCGTATTTTATATTAGCTAAATATTAAATCATCACTATGACACCACAATACTTAGAGTAGATCGTAATTTCATTATGTTGAGTTTCCGTAAAACATTTTGCAACAGAATTTCTCTGCTGTATTTAATACTTATACTTAGTTAAGAAAAAATCCTTTACGTGGAAACTTAAAAAATGTATATTTATTTTTTATTTTCGTGATTTTACCGCTAACCTTTTTTTATTTTTTCAGACATCATAAAATATTTTATAATTCACCAATATTCTTATTCTAATTAAAAATTATGCATTGTCGTTCCATATCTTGATTTTCATTCTTCTCTGTTCAAAGCCACTCTTATAGGTTATTATATTATACCGATGTTTTTAAAAAATAAATGCTAATTTTTTTTTAAAAAAAAGAAGAAAAATTAGAGATAATGTGTTAGTTTAATACCGAAATAATTTTAAACAAGTTTTTAAGAATCGTTATTTATTTTAATTCAAACAAATTTACATTTAAGTTTTGCAAAAAAAAAAAAAAATTATCTGCTCAATAAACCTAATTTAAAAATGTTTGATAAATATTATTATTTTTTTATTAGATTATGTTTAAAATAACCTGTTTTCTTTGGAGATAATTTTATCTTGTATTGGCCAGTTGAAAAAACGTCAGTGTTTTAGGACGGTGCATTTAAAAACACTAAAATCCGAGAGTTATACATGGTCGACTGTGATATTTATAATGTGTCGGATGATGCGTTCAGAGGCTTGGAATCGTATCTACACGCCTTAGACGTGTCGAATAACAATATAACGGATTTTCCCGTTCGAAAGCTACAGCAGAATTTCAACACGCTCATGAAACTGGGATTAAGAGACAACAAGATTAAACATTTATATCCTCTCCAAAGCGAATTGCCGGAAAAAAGTGCAAAATCTAACGAAAAGAAAACCACGAAAGACAAAACTGTCGATCGATCCGAAAATATAAAACGTATTTCGCAGGAAAACGATAATAATCATCACGAATTTCATTCTTTGCAAGATTTCGATTTTTCCGGTTGGAATAACGGACCACTTCAAATGAATACTATTACCGGGTATGGGAAAACAACGTTAAATTAGAAGTACCTGTATAGGCATAGCTACATAAACAATGAACTTATATAGAATGTTTGCGTTTCAGTTTTAAATACGTACGTCAACTTTCGCTATCGAAGACGACCACTCCTCATTTAGATCCAACAAATTTGAATTTTACTATTGACATGGAGGAACTGCGTATTACAGGATCTGATTTGAAATCGATTAAAGCGCACGCATTTAAGTATGTTCACGGTTTAAAATATTTGGATCTATCGGATAACGCGATTAACTTACTAGACGCTGAGGCTTTTAAAGAGGTTATATATTTCAATATAATTTAAATTATTCAATCAAAGTAAAAATAATTTTTTTTTAAAAATATAAAACTTAGATAGGACATACGTTAGAATACCTAAAAATGTCTCATTCATTTTCGACTACATTCAAATCGATACCCGGGGACGCATTTCGTTATCTATCTAATTTGAAGTATTTGGAATTAAGTAATAACCATTTGCAGTACTTACGAGAGTCAAATTTCCATTATCAAACGAATTTGAGAACGTTGAAGCTTCAAGACTGCATGATAGACCATTTGCATAAAGGCACTTTTCAAGTAAATATTTGTTTACAAGTAGATAATATATATATATATATATATATATTATGTTGTTACGATTATGGTCTACATTTTTTTTAGAGTACGATCCATATCAGTTTGAAAGAAATATATTTGTCGTTCAACTCGATAAAAAAAATTGAAGAAGAAACATTTGAGGATTTACAGTTATTGGGGAAGATTCATTTAGATGGTAATCGTATAAATCGTATTGAAAAACACGCTTTTATCAATATGGAAAGTTTACGGTGGGTAATATTGCGGGGAAATCAAATTGAAAAGTTGGAAATTGAAGCGTTCCAAAATTTACCGAAATTACAAGAGCTTGATTTAGCTTATAATTATATTAAAAACTTGGATTTCACATTTTTAGATCAAGTAGGTTAGGTAAAAAATTAAGTGGAAAAACTTTTTTAATCGTCTGTTAAATTGTTTTTGTTTTTGTTTAGGTAGGAATGCTTTCGTATTTCCGTATGAACGTTAGTCACAATCTTTTAACAAAATTATCGTCCAATTTGAATTTTTCAACCAAGGATATTTATTTACAATCCAATATCAGAGTAAAATACTTTGAGATAAATTAATAAAACTATCGATTGTGCATTGTTATGGGTATAATACTTACTGTTTATTATTATCGAATTTTTTAGGTTTTTGATATTTCGTACAACAGCATCAAGACCGTGGAAGACAGGTATTTTACGCCTATGGAGACGAGCCTAAGTTATTTGCACATGTCCCACAATCAACTGTGGCAAGTGTCCAGGAACGTGTTCGGCAACTTGATAAGCCTCGTTTGGCTGGACATTGGCCACAATCAAATCACCGAAATGGGATTCGACGCGTTTAGGGGATCGAGAAAACTACAGGTTTTCATCGCATCGCATAATCGCCTAATGGACTTGCCGAGCGATCTGTTCAAAGGGTTCACCGAACTGAGATTGGTCGATTTTTCGTATAATAAACTTCGGGTGCTGCCCGACACATTTTTCAACGAAGACAGTCTAAGTATGGAAGCGTTAAACATGGCGCATAACGAACTGTCGCGCATGCCTGTCCTGTCGTTCGCCACACAGTCCGCTGGTGTCTTATGCGACATGGACGTGTCTTACAACATCATAACGACGTTACCCGTTTTTGAAATGTTTTCCAGATTCAAAGTATATGAAATTGCATAATATTTCAATAACTTTTTAATAGAGAACGTATCGCCCGATGATTTTCAGTATTTAAAAACACGGTCACTCAAAACTGATAAAATTACCGTTTTAAATGGGTTGAGGGATAAATTATAGTGGGTTAGATCTGATATACTAATATTTGCTACCGATAATTATATTATAAAATCGATAACCGATCTGATAATATTGAAATTAACCGATATATCGATATGAACACTGCTCTTTTCATTTCCTATTTGCCATTATACTGTGTAGATATTTTAACAAGTATGTGTTTTAGAGCTAGATATAACTATTTTATTATTTTTACTTTTTTGTTGACTGTTTTATTCTGACTGACCGAAATTGATTTTACGTTATCGAAAACAAAACGAGATTTCGCTTACACATTGCATCTTATCTCTAATCAATATCAATAGGTACCACGTATAGTACCAGTCATCCTACCTCCTCCATTTCCACCACCACCTGAGTCCAATTAAGCTTCTATATCCTCAGTCTTTCCATTTCATCTCTTACATTGACCCCCAAGAAAGGAGGGTTTGTAGGCGAAGAGGATAAAAGTAGTTGAATGGCGGTAGTAGGAGTCAAGGAGTTAAGTTTGATAAGATATTAGGTGCTTGTATGTACGTTTTAGTAAAATAAACACATACAACGATGTACCACACCGACGGTTTGGGCATCGTTCGATTACAAGCAATTGGAGGGTTACTAGCACACGTACCACGAATGAAAATATTGCAGAGCCCGGTTGTCGGCAAAAAGTTCGATGAGACCGATCGTTATGAAATCCAGTCATTCAGCGAACCGCAGTAGCGCAACTGTAACTGTAAAAATTATTTTTTCTTCCCGCTAAAAACGGTTCCATAGACAGATTCTCGTTTTATTACATGAGTCGATGTTTTTCCACATAGTGGCGAAAATATCAAATAGCGCGCTACTTTTTCTTATACATTTTCCATATGATACATAATTTAAAATTAGACTTGCAACAAATTTTCTAAGTTTTGAAAATATCGGGTCAAACATTGGTTTTGAAAAAAAAAACCAATATTCGATATTGTGATTTTGCGATTTTGTGTGAACGTGTTTTTGAATAAATTTCACGATTGTACAATAAGTATCTGTGAAAAGTACGTACTTAGTGACACGGGACTACTTGTAAATTTATTTCAAAGCGAATTTAAATATTTTTGAGTTGATAAATGTTGGTTTATTATTATTTTTTTTAATTCTGTTAAAATTTCCTGTACAGGCGTGATACATCCTCTTGACATACGTATCTTTACACAATATTAACACACAATATTATTTACCGTGACAACACTAATTTTGTGTTTTAGTCGTTAAAACGATTGAATCTGGCCGGTAATCGCTTGATGCACATCGAAGATTCGAACTTTGCCAGTTTAATCCATCTAACCCATCTAGATTTGAGCCACAACGACGCTTTGGTTTTTGAAAATAGAGGTCGTATGTTTTTAGGCCTCGAACAGTCACTTCAAAACCTCAAGCTGAAAAATATTTCTTTGACGTCTGTGAGTTGTTGTCCTTTTTCGGAAAATATATTTAATTTTAAAATAATATGTTTTAATTTTTAGATACCCGAACTGCCGCTACCGTCTCTCCTGAGTTTAGATTTGTCCGTAAATAATATAGTGACTGCATCGTCCGACAGAGCTTCGAATTTATCGTTGCTACGACATTTGGATTTGAGTTATAACCAATTGAATGCATTTCCACCGATAATTATGAACTTACCGGAACTGAATAGCCTGAATTTGGCCGGAAATCATATTTATGACCTTAGCAACAGTACTTTTACTATGGGCGTTTCAAAATTGATTTCTCTTGATTTGAGTTATCTGCCATTAGTATCGTTCGAAGTTAGATGAACAAAATTATTATTTTTAGAAAAAATATAGTTTATTATCGTTGTTATTAATATTTTGATAAATGTATATTGTTTTTCAGACCGGAGCTTTAAATTCTATGAAATCCTTACAAACATTGATAATTAGTACATTCGTTGGTATAAGAGACTTCAACATTCCCTCTGTAATTTCCGACCTACATACTCTTAGAAATTTAAACCTTAAAGTAAGTGCGCCTATTTATTTTTAATCCTGTAAGAGGATATATTATACTACCTATAAAAAAAAGTGTTTCGTATAAACAAGTTTCCCAAAATTTTTTGAAAAATTATTAACCTAAAAATAATCAAATACATATATTGATACAAGCATTCCTGTGTCATTATCGCTAGTATTGAAAATTGTATACCTAATTTTATGAAATAAACAAAAAATCCGTTTCACTCGGGCATTAACTATTGAGGCTTTAGATTTAATTAGGAAATCAAATTTTCATCATAAAAAAGTAGAATTTACACTGTGCGACGTGGGTTCTAGTTTTCAGATATTAATAACTACTACGAAATAATATATAGTTATCTGAGCTCGGAAAACTTAAAGCTAACGAGCTTTAGAAGAATAACAACTTTATTTTTTAATTTGTGGTATCGAAGAAAATAAATCAACGTTGCAAATTGCAAGTTCTCCATTTTTTGTATGATGAATATTTTATCCATAATTATTTGATGTATTATAGTCTAAATAGTCTTTGTCCATACGAAATAGTTTTACAATCGAACTACGGGTGGTACCTCAGATTTATTTACATACAATATTTAATGAAATGAAAAAAAAATTGAATTTCTTCTTAAGTAAAAAAAAAAAATAAATCTATAAATTGATGTACGCCTTTAAATAAAGGTATCATTTTGGATGTTTTTGTTTCTTTTTATTATTTAATTTACGTATTTTTGCTTGTTGTGAATTAAAGGTGGATAAAATATCGCGAATGGGAAAAGAATTTATCGGATTTTTCCCGTATAAATTGAGGAATTTCACGATTAGTGGAAAAGCTTTGCACGCACTTACGTCAAATACCGTATTTCAGGTATTATATTATAAAGGAACACTGTTTTTAAATAATACTTAAATTGTATTCCGTAGTTCATATGTAGGCAGTAGATATCTAATATTTTATTTGTTAATAACTGGATAAAAACTACTGTTTTAGGGTTTAAGAAATCCGAATTTGAATTTGACCATTTTCAACACAAGCCTAGACACGATATCAAACGATATTTTCTGGCATATGGGTAGAGTGAGAAATGTCAGTCTTGACATCCGAAACAATTCGTTAAAGACTCTAGGAAATCCGTCTACAAATGCGCTACCGAAACAACACGGCAAGACGTTTTTGACTTCGTTAAAAGTGTCCGGAAATCCGTGGACGTGCGATTGTAGTATCGGGTAATTTATCCCGTTATATTATTATAATACATATTTTAAATCGTTGAGATTATGGAACAGATTTTTTGTTGATGTAGATATCATATTTCATACCTATCCACATCACACACGTGATGTGCGAGAATAATTAGCTATGTATTTACATTTTCAGCTTCAAAGACAATTAAGACGCATCGCTGGGCTTCATTATTTTCTATTATCTGTCAGTTGTTTCGCATTATTAACTTTTGTTCTTTGAACATCTTGGTTTAGTTCAGTTTAGTCATCCATCCATATTTTTTTCTGTCTGCCCAGTGGTCTCGTTTTATTTTTGATTTCAATGATACTAGTAGATTTATAGAGTTTGACCTCCATATACGTGTTCTAGCCAGTAAATTATTCTTCCTATGGAGTTTTTGAATTATGTCATCTTCTCCAATCAGCTCTTTTATTTTGGCACTCTTTCTTATTTCATATTCACCTGTTTGCTAATTTTTTTCTGGTATAAATATTTGCCGAACAAATTTTCTTTTCAAATTTTCTTTTGTCCTCTATTAAGGTTGACCACGTTTTAATTGTGTAAAAAAATCAGTGGTCTAACAACAACTTTTTACAATCTTATTCCTTTTTTTTGTGAAAATACATCTTCGTACAACTAATAAAAAGGGTCTAATACGAAAATCTGATACCTGAAATAAACTTTTTTTTGTTCAATATTTTTAAGTTTTTTCTTGTAATAATTTCTAGAGCTTGCCCTAAAATAAAAATGAAAAATTTTAATAAAATTAAAATTTTTTTTTTAATAAAACCCTAGATATCTATTTTATAAATATGTTTTGATACAAAATATTAAATTTACAAATATTTGCTAATCTTTAAGTTTCTACACTTTTTTGAAGCTTACAAAAATCATTAACAATTATTTTTTATGGACTAATTGGCGAATTGATTGATATTATTTAGTAGTTAAATTATTGTTAACTTCAAACAATTATCGAATCATCATTTGTAAATATGTTTGACATCAAAGTTTTGTTTTATAATGTATTTTGTAAAAAATTTAAATTTTTTATTTTTAGTCTTAAAAAAAATATAAAATAGAGAAGTTATGGCGCAATGATCTAGTAATTATCAAGAAAATATAAAAATATTTTAAATAACAAAAGTTATTTCAAATATCAGATCTTCGTTGACCATATTTGCAACCCACAGTCTCCTTGCTTACCAAAGTGACTTAAAGAACCGCAACTCCCTAAATACGAATCTATGTCGTCGTTATCAGAACGTTGGATTGAAAATAATGAAAAAAAAATAAAATAAAAAATTAATTTGTATTGGTATTTTATTTCATTTTTTTTTCATATTTTCAGTTGGATAGAGGTATGGCACCGTAAAAAACGACAGTTTTTGTGCGACAACGAAGACTCGTCTTCGCCGGCTGCGTCCAGTAGGTTTAGAGACAGTGATCACTATTCGGACATTAAATCGACGTGCTTTATCGGTGACGAAGACTTGGAGACCGCCACTTGCGCGGACCGAAAAAAACCGTTGGCCGAAGCATTCAAATTTGATATCGAATGTGGATGGGGAGCTGCCGGCAGATGTCAAGCTCACCGTTTTATAACCGTTGTCGTCGTTGCAGCAATGGTGGCATACCATAGTATAATGCTGGTGTAAAAAAAAAAAAACTTTATACATGGAAAAATGCTAACAAGAAACATAATATAATAAATAGTTTCTTGGCAAAAGGACTCCAATAATTTATTATTTTAAAGTTATTTTTCAGATTTGTTCAATAGTAATTATGTTCAAGTAGATTTTTATTGTAGTTACTACGTTTAAGTAATATTTTCAATTTGTTATAATTATTATTACATCGAAGTGGTCGAAAACAATTTGTAAAAAATACTTTGAATTTATGGCGATTTAAAATTTTTTTTGAAAGGTTTGATGCATAGGCAGATATATGGTCACATGCGTGGAACTAAAAAAATTATTCATGTTCTTCGTTTAAACATATCGCTTATATTTTTCTATCTGTTTAACTTTTGAAACCCAATGGCAATAAAGCGATGTTTACTATATGTTATCAATGTTGACATAATTAATTAAAAAACATTTCGTAAAATATTGATAATAATAAACTCTTTCGAATAAATATTTGGTACGTTAATTAAGAAATGTTGTAGGGGAACTAAAACTTTTCGTGGTTTAAAAAAAGTATGGGAATCGTAAAATCACCTAAGTCCCTTTAATATCAGCCTATAGTTTGATGTTTGTATTCTGTGATAGCGTCACTTAGTCTCCATATATTTTATAATATTGGCGTTTAGTCCTCAAAAATGCCGCTTAGGCCCATATTTTAGAGTTAAAACATAATAATGAAGTGTCGTTTATATCCTAATTAAAAATTTAACTAGCCGTTATATAATGGTCACATAAAAGTATCATTTCGTAGATGATGCTGCTAAGTTACCCCTACCCGATAATGTATAAAGTGCCGTTTAGAATCTAAGTATCGTTTGGGAAATTTTGTCCAAGAGCTATCAAATTATATCGCATGCATTATGTAACATATTATTGTGTATTATATATTATAATATTATAATATTATTACGTTTTATTATTATTAATAATTATAAAAAAAATATATAACCATGTAGCATTTTTAAATTAGAAATGTATAATAATATTCAAACAGCTGCAGACAGTGGCGCCGTTTGTGAAGGACATATGGACCACACCCTTAAATATGTATACATATGAATATTTGAAAATTAATAAATTAGTAAGTCGTATTCGCCGTGTTCAGAGTAATTTAATTTATATATGTATATTTTATGTAAACTGCCACAACTATGTTGTTCGGATTTATTTCTAAAACAAATCGCTCACTGCTATACTTACATATTATAATTTATTATACAAATTACGTTATTTATAATACTACAATATTGTAATATTATTAATTATCATTATTTTATTAAAAGTATATAAATTATATTCGTCACGAGAATTTAAAACAAATTATTACATTGTAAGAATTATTTTTATTTGTTAACATTTCGCATTTAAACGTTATAAAAATAATAAAATTTTAATATTATAGTTCGTATGATAATCTAAATTGTATTTAAAAAAATAATATTTTTTATTATTAGTTATACTTATTCCTTTAATCATTATTACTATTATGATATAATTACGGGTGGTTCAAATAGGATTTATTATTATTTTTTTTTTATTTGAGGAGGGGTATGAATTAAAGAAAAAAAAAAAACCAATATTTTTAGATCATAGTTCGGTGCGCTAAGAACATTTGAGAAATGGACACCTTTAGTTGACATTTGGCTTAACATTTTTATATTTTGAAAATATAACACCCTATTCTGAGCTCATATTGGTTGAGCCACTGTACTTACTTGTGTATATTTATTTAGCAACGACGTGTGTATGCAGTGCCGTAACTATAGGTTGGCGATTTGCCCATGCGTGTGGAGTGCATTTGAATTTTAATATGAATTATAATTTTTTCAATTTGAAATAAGTAATAAGTAATAATTTAATTAAGTATTCCAATGCTTAATTCCATTTCCTAATTGTTCTCATTAATTATTTAACCTTGTATTAAAATAAAAAGAATAATGTGTTGATTTCGTAATATATGGTGAATTTGCTGAAATTTGTATAGTATTAGTAATTTTTGATTTGAAAAGGAATTCTAAATAAAAATTAAAAAAAAAAAAAAAAACAATTTTTGTTAAAGAAAACAAAAATTAGACTTTTCACGACGATAGTATGAACGACAACAAGCGTTACAGAAAGAAGACTTACCACTTTCGAAAACAACAAGGTATGGCGGGTGATGTGTGAACCCAAATAACACATTAACACTGGTATGTAGAGGAGAAAGTTCATCAAAGATCTAAAAGAGGGAACAGAAATGACGGCAATTAAATGTTACATAAGTGGTCAGACTGTCAGAGAATCCAGTGGTTTGAGCACATTATGTGTGGAAATGACGATGCCATAATCAAAGCAGTAATATCCTGGAAACTGACAGGGAAGATGCCACGAGGACGTCCAAGGAAAAGGTGGACGTGGTCGAGGAATATTAAACCAAGGATAGAAGTGAATGAGTGGAGAAATATAATTCATAATCGGGAGAAATGACGTAATATTGTAATAGCGGCAAAAGCTTTTCTAGAGTAGATTAAGCCAAAATAAGAAGATTACCACTATCTCGTGATAATTTAAGGACACAGAATATTATTAAATATGAATATTGAGTATAGTAAATTTGAAAACCTTCATTTTAGTTTTATTTTAGGCATAAATCTAACTGTTAATGAGTTATAATTAAAAAGACGTCCTAGGATAATGGGGTCGAATGCAGCCACTGTTGTAGATAATTTAATGTACACTTGCTTACAAGTCGCTTACAACGGTGAACCATTGCTTCCGAAAAAACGATTCTAAGTGGAATTCAGTTGATAGTGATGGTTTGCGACGATATATATATATATATATATCATATTATAATAAAATATGCTTTCTATATTTTATTAAATAATATTTGTTTAATGTTGTACCGTTTTCCTACGTTTTTCCTGGATTTTCTTTGTTTTATCCCAGTTTTGATGAGAAAACTCCTAAGAAAATCGAAAAATGACCTCCTTAAAGTACTTCTCCAGTCGGATTTCCTTTTTGAAAAATTGCTATCATTATAAGTGGGAGTAAGTATTCCGGTAGAAGAGTTGCGTATAGATAAAAAAAAATAAACATCTTTGTAAAACCATAAGCTTCTTCGCTCCACTCAGAATCTAAAATTACGGGACGGTCAAAAACACCCCTTTTGAGGGAATGGGAGGGTGAAATAACAAGGAGTGAGTTACATGATATTTATCAGTTATTCCATAGTTTATGGATGGATACATTATATTAGATGGACTAACTGTGTATAACAAAGCGTTTAACCCTTTTTTGCGCTATTGATAGACGTTAATAGGCCAAATATTTTTTGGGGTAAGACATTAGCCACCTAAAATTTTGATCAATATTGGTTATATATATACTAAGTATTAATATTTGATAAGGACTTTATTTGGCCAGGTTTTTGCGGAGATTCCCTGTTTACATTATTCACCAATCAAGCACATTTTGTTTATATAATAATTAGCTATTATACTTTAGATTCTGAGTGAAGTGAGGAATATATTGATTATACAATGATGTTTTTATTTTTTTTTTTTTATAATGTGTATAAAATTTCTACCCGAAATCTGGCTTTGATTTTCATTGTAGCATCTTTTCTGAAAGGAAATTTTTTCTAGTTGGTACTTTAGAAGGAAAAACGAGAAGATCAATTTTGATTTTCTAAGCAAATTTTCAGATTTAATTTAAGTTAACAAAAGTGTCGTGTAACCAAAAATATTGTGTAGTTTGGAGTGTTGGGCGGTAGACAGAAAAATAAAAATAAAACAGAGAATAAGTGTAGCAGAGATGAGAATACTGAAGTGGATTAGTGAAATAATGAAAAAAGATAGGATAAGTAATGAATACATAAGAGATAACCAAGCCGTGGCTTCAATAGTAGACAAAGTGAGAGAAAATGGACTGAGATGAGTGAGATGTTTTGGACATGTTATGACACGGAGAGAAATCTGAAGGAATAAGCAGTAAAAAATGTATTGCAATAAATCGAGGTAATAGAGGGGGAGGAAGACGGAAAAAGTGATCGTTGGATGTGATTGTGAATGATATGAGGACAGTCGGTGTATGCTAGTTGGGAGATTGGATCATGTGGAAGTTTAGAACCAGGATTAAGTTTGGTCGATCCCAAATAGTTAGGATTAAGACGAAGGAGAAGAAAAAGAGGTTCGTTAACAACTAAACACTTTTGAACATACGAGTTATAATTAAATGAACGTTTTTGGTCTCGAAAAATGTGTGTTTTTGTGCTATTTTTAGTAGCAAAAAGCATAAATATTTGAATAGAGCCTAAGCTTCCGTAATATTTACATTAAAAGGACTTAGTTTGGGAGCTCGGCTGTTTTTGTGGGAGGAGGGAGGTAAAGAGTGTATGGAGTGTAATTACGACACTGCGTATAGGTACTCAGTATAATAAATATTATTTTCCAATTTTCCGTCCTTTGCATTTATTAAAATATAAAAATTAATATTACGGTATAATTATTTATCTAAATAAAGTTCGTAAATAAATTTAATATTATGTATTGTATTTTTAGTGATACATAATATTACCGTTGATGATATTAATAATATATTATAACGTTGTGTCGTAATATTTTATTTTATTATGAACCCGTGCTGAAAAATATTATTATTATGTACCTATAGGTATCGTAGTATTGTTACATTAAAGTCACAATGTGAGGTTGGTAAGAATGAAAATATTTTGATTTATGTGGTTTTTTTTACTGGGACCACCCTCAGAGACCTCCCCTTGCCGCCGTATTTCGTCGAGGTAGGCCCCCTACCTATTTAATTAACAACATTGTTGTTATCGGTCATAAAATAACGCCAACGCCGATGAAACGTCGGTTTCTAATATTGTACTATTATTTCTTAGTCGTCGATTAATATTAATAAATTTATTACCCACTAGGTAGCGTATTCAATTTTACACCGGGCTTAAATAATATTAATAATAACGACGTGTTTGTGTAAAATAGTATACCAATAAGTTTAACTTCTTATTATAATATATTGTTTTTTTATCAAAATTATTATTATAAAGTCGTGTGCTTATATCGAAATAAATCAATTTGTATTGTTTTTCAGATTATGAGCGTAGAAAGGAATATATCGGTTTTATTTTAAGGGTTTTGAAATACCAGAAAAACTTCATAAGAATCTGGTATAAACATAAGCTTCAGCATTTTTAATTCATATACATAGTTTGTGCTATGACTGTTAGTCTTTATGATTTTAAAATTGCGTGTATTAGTTTTAAAAATTATACATTTTTCAACGGTTAACATTGAATATTATTCGACGCAGATAAACTGTACCTATAAACTAATGCTTATACCAAGGTATTTATTAGTGTACTCTTAACTATAAGCTTAACTAATAAACTATCCCTTAGCTATCAGAGGAAGGGAAGTAAAGAGTATAACCGTCGAGTCCGATTGAAAAACAACGACTTCGATAACAAACCAGGGCGTTATACGTTTGGGTGAATTACCTTTTTTCCCACATAATAAAAACTAAGGTTCTTAATAAAATACGTCTTTTATTGCAAACGTGTATCTATGTCATGGGTACACGGATATTTAAATTGCATATTTACGTATTTCAAGTGACTCGTGAATTCCGCAATTTATGTTCACACGATCATTAATTTCATTATTTTCGATATTCGATTTTTTACTAAAAATTTTGCTCCGACCAAAAAATGATAAAAGAACTTTTTTTTATAGCACTATAAATCCAGTTGGTGCATTGATGAAATCAATACGCCATAAGTCATTATACGTATAGATAGTATACATACCTTCCAGTTACGTGTCGTGTGTCGTGTGTCTTGTCATTTTTTGATCGGAGTAAAATTTCTTGTAGAAAAATAGAATCAAAACTTCAAAAATCAAAATATTTTCACGTTTTCCCATTTATGGATTTTAAAAATTCACGCAATTCACGTGAATTTTAGATTACATGGTTTCTAGCATGTACACACGTGAATTTAGTGTTTACGTGTAATAAGTAGCTCAACTTCATTTGATTCCAGATGGATTTCGACAGTTTTTTTAACAAATTAACAAAATGTATAATAAATAATATCGATTTCACTATTATTCTGGATTATCTTGATTAGAAGGAAAACCATTCATAATGCTATAACTTTACCAATTTACCGAACTCGGTTCAGAATCGTTTTTTTAAATATATCGTTGATAAATTAATATTTATACATTAATTAAATTACCCTATATTATATCCTATAAACATTCCAAATCTCACATCTATAACAAATGTCTACCATCCATGGTCATGGACCAATGGTACAAAATATGTCAGACTTTTTCAATTTATGTGATTACAATATTTTTTCAGTACGAGTAGATAATACATCTCATAAGTTTTTAATTTTATATTTAATTTTACTTTTTGTACAACTTAAAAAATAATGCGTTTTCGTATGGATTCTCGTGTATATGATATATCCTATAATATACCTATTATAGGATACATTTATAACAATAGGCGAAGATTGGAGGGGGCTAGAGTTAGAGGACATAGTCCTGCCCTAAAATTATCCAAAGCCGTCCTGAAATCGGTATTTCATCAAATAAGCCAATCTTAATATTAGGATTATTTCGACATCTAGTCTCCCCAAAATTTAATCTATAAAGGCTCAAATCAAATCTTCACCTATAGGTTTAATAGATGTAATGGTTAACACGGGAAGATGTATGTTAATATGATATTAACAAAAAAACAAAAACCAGTGTGTAAGTAGATATAATATTATATTTTTATCCGTTACATAATGGCACACGTTTCTAAAATTTAATGCGAAAATTAAATTTTTTACTATTATTGAATATGTATATTATAATATTATAGTATTAGAAATACCGTTGTCGGTGAGTGTAATAATTTGATATAGGTAGTATAATAATATTTGTTTTGTTAAAACGTTCAACTTTGATACCTATAACATTGTAATATTGTATATTATTATTTAAATAATTTTAAAACAAACGTTGTTTTTTTGAAGTATGTGTATGTTGAAAAATTTTGCGGTTTATTCCGGTTTAGTGGTACTAACTATAATATTATAACAATATTACGATGGAGTAGACATATAAATAATCGCCACCGCATCGTGATGGAGATTGCATGTGTTGTTTGTAACTTCGTGTTGCGCTTATAAATTCTGAGAACGTAAAAAAAAAAAAACCAGGAAAACTCGTTTACTATCATTTTCACATGTACATTTTAATTTTTTAAATTTACCATTAGTTTGTACGCCGTTCTTGGATCCACCGATTCGGTGTCGTAGTAACCGCCGTTTGGCGCGTATTCGCTCGACCGGATGTTCCAAGCGTTCGGGAGCTCGTCACTGAAAATATTACAAGTACACAACGATTACTGTCATAGAATATAGACAAATCTTATATACTATACAATTGATTCGAAAACAACAAAAATTACAAACGTGTCAATTACAAACCTATGAGAAAAAACATAATAGACACGGTATTATTTGCACTTATACAATATGTAATTGTATTTCAACAATAACTGAGAATAAATCATGAACGATTTAGTGTCTTAAGTCTGCAGTATAGTTGAGGTTTTATACGAGGTTTATAATAAGTTGTACTTAATGGTAAAACAAAAAAAATGAATTTATTTATTATTATTATTATAACAAGATTACAGATAATAATATAAATGATAGATGCCCGTAGGTTTTTATAAGATATTTAAAGTAAATTAAAATGAATATGAATAATAAATTACATGGTATCATTACAAGACAAGATATTAAAAATTATAAAATTTAAATTATCTTACGAAAAAATCATAATTAATAGTATTGATAAGTCATCCTAACTCAGAGCGCTGCGTTACCATAATTAGACCGATAGAATTGAGATTATAAAAATCGGTTAAGATCATAAATAGACTTTAATAAAACGGAAACTGAGCTTTGGTAATTATTTTGGATAGTCAATTTTACAACTGGCTAAATTTTTTATTAAAGATGTATAGTTTTTATTCGGCGATCTTCTAAACACAGATCATTAAAATAGTGCCCTGTTTTATATTTAAAGAACTTGTTGAAACGTTTGTATAATGAACAGAGTTTAAGAATAAGATATTTTAGCATTTTATAATGGATGCATTATTGAAGTCAGTCAAATTTTGACATACAAAACCAAGGGTACGAGAAAGCCTTCTTACATCCAGAAAGTATATGGTTATCAAACTAAACATTTTTTTTTTATCGTTAGCGTTTATCGTTGTTCACAGATATGCATATACTTTCTAAGAACAGCATACTTCAATGCGCCGTTGTTTTTAACTTACACTCAGCAGTCAAAATACAAAATTTTAATGTATTTTTCAAAAATCCAGAATTATCTATAGCTTGGTCTTAAATGCGAGTGCCTCAATGTAAGACACTTCTTAATGAGTATCTAGTTTCTCAATTGTACAGATACGTTGATCGCAATGCAATTAATACTCGATACATTCCACAACTCTATCGTGATACAAGATACAATTGTATCTAAGATACTTATACCAAAGATACTGTACGACCTTTCCCCAACACTTGCCCATAGTATAGGTACTTACTTGTTTTTTTTCATTGCGTTTCTCTCAGCGTACGCCTTCCAAATGTTAAAATAGTCCTGAGGTAACGGCGGCGACAATCCTTCTCCCTGTGATGCTTGTTGCGGGTTTCGATCCACGGACGAGTCGCTGTCAGCGCCAGCAGCCGCCGCCGATTTCTGTTGCAACAGTGCCAATCGGTACAGGAATAGGGGGCCGTTGGTAGCATCTGCGTCTCGTTTACCATGAGCTGTGCACGAAAAAAAAAAAAAGATGTTTTCAAGTATATTTTAAAAACTGACCATGTTTCGTGATAATAATTACCTCCCCAACACGAATGTCCGTAGCTCAGGCACGCTGCTGTAACACACAAATCGTTAATCAAATGTAATAATATTATATATTATAATTGCAGTGACCTGCAGCGCGAGAATATTCTTACGCAGTGTTTCCCACCCTTTTCAAACTTATTTTTTTAAAACCAATTATTGGGGAAAATATATCAAATCGGTTCCCAGCGTTCGCACGATTTTCGATTTGCTTATTTTGATTTATTTGTGATTTGCATTATAAGTACCTAGCTAATATCTACTCAAAATGTTCCGAAAAACTTTTCATGTTCGGCTTTTTGTAAGTCCCGTTTATTTTTCCCATTATTGTTGAATTTTTCCCGAAAATTCCCCAATAGTATTGAATGCTTTATTGTATTTTTCCCCAGATTTTTTTGAATATTTCTGAACCAAATGAGCTCAAACTCGGGAATTAGAATCATTTTATAGGTGGTTAAAGTGATAAAAGAAGGATGCGTTTCAATGTAATTTTTACCGTGTTTTTGTGATAAAAGGGTGTTATTTTAGTTATGCACATCTCTAAAGACCCTCAAATAAACCCAGGGATATGCAATTTTATATATATATATATATATATATATATACCTATGAACATGGTGTAAGTATTAACGATGCACTTTTTGTTGTTTTAAACTTTCAAATCCTTCTTTCTACCATTTGTATGCTCACATTTCAAATTTCAAGAGTTTGGAAAAATTTGACTTTTATTCGAGGTCGTTTTTTCATCAATTTCGATATATTCCGTGGATTGAATTTTATTTTAAAAATTTTGTAGAAATAAAAAAATGAAAATAACATTATTTATCTATAATATAGTCGATTTTAATGGTTTGTCTCGATCTGTTGTTACAGGTCGACAAAACGGAAACTGGTAATGAATCCACGTGCGGGCGTTCTAAGAAAGAATAAACAAAGTAGAATTTTCACTGCATCGTAGACCGTTGTGCTACTGCACACGTTGGTTATTACCAGCGAGTTGTTCTTTATCGTACAGAGTGGTTCTACATTTAATACACTACGGGTAAAGATACACATGGTAAGCCAGCAACGAAATGTTTGAAATTAGAAAATTCCTTATTAAACGTGAATGAATACGTCCATAAATTCATTGCAGAATAGTCGCGGTATGCGCGAATCGATTTGTCACGATGTCGTTTTCGTCAAAATTAAAAAAAAAAAAGAAAGAAAAGGAAAGCAATGTGACAATACGTATGGATACTATCCGCGGTGAATATATGTCAGTGGATGTTTACATTTTTAAGGGTGTACACGATGAACTCGAGTGTGCCATAAAGTAAATGGGATATACTTAAAATAGGTTGTTGAAAAAAACAAATATATATATTATAATACAAAATCTCTACAATGTAGTTACCATAACTACGTTCTCTGCTCATTTATTCTATAGTATTATATTATATTACATTATATTTTTGTTAAATTTTGCCCTAAAATAGAGACTATATTGCACTGTATTATGTCTGACATATATATATATATATATATATAAATGTTGCATCCACATAGGAAAATCGCTCATTTCATGATTTAATGAAAATAATGTTTTTCTTATCTATAAGATTGTGGACAATTTTTCGACCTTTTCGTGAAGTGCAAAGAGTTTATTAGGTAATTTATGAATTCAAATTTTGAAAACAGCTTAATATAATAATATTGAACCCGGGTAGGCGTGTACTATATGTGATAACTGATAAGAGATTATTGCTCTCGACTGTCTCTATAGGCGCTCGTCACAGCAAACGTCTGAGAAAATCATTTGGATCCTACTAAAACGGAACACTCAGTATACGCGACGGAAATGCGTGTATGCAGTTATATGTCCGTAAAAAAAATAATCCATTTTTCATCACGTATAAAATAATCATTGACCTTTAGAGCTCGGTAAACTAAGATTTTTTTTTATTTTAATTCTTTTTTTATTTCTAGGCGTTTCATTATTATTTTCACTACGCAGGTGATGGTTTTATGGCATTTTTTGTTTTCTCAACGAAATGGATTCTCAATAAACCTATATAGTTTTATAAACTATATAACGGGAGCAAATATTTGTCAGTTTTATATTTTCTTCGCTAAAAAATGAAAACAGAAAAATCAAAAATTTTAAACTAGCTCGTACAACGCAAGTCGGAAGTGACGGGAACGTGGCGTAAGTTAAACAAATATTAATACAAAGTTGGATTCAAACTGGGCAATTTTTGCGGTTTACCGTCAACAGAGGAAAGACAATAAATATTGTTCTGGACTTGTAAAAACACTTTTTTTTTTTTAGTATATTTTGAACATAAAATTAGATACCTATGCTTTGATAAAATGAAAAGGCAATAATTGAAAATTGATCAAAAATGAGATTATTGCAAAATATTGTTTATTGGATCATTTTATATAATTTTAACTAGGTTAAACGACAGTGAAATATCATTTAGACCTTTAAAATGAGCTTTGAAAATTTAGTATCCAGTGGTGCGCAGAAAATTTTTGAGAAACATGAAATTAACAAAAGTGTTACCAGTACTCACACACCTATTTTTTATTATGCGTAAAACAAATGTTCTCACTAAGTTCTACAATAAATTATTCTCTTTGAACTTTTTTATAATATAATTGATATAATACCGATATCAGTATTTGTTGTTGAAAGGTTAAAACAAATTTGAACTGTAATGATCTTACACTTATCACTTATTATACGCTTCGGGAGCACAATATGTGTTTACAGTACCTATTTGGTAACCTGTCTTGGCGTCACCGATAGTATCTAATAATAAATCAACGAATACTAGACAAATAAGCAACAAATAATACATTTAAGAAGAAAACTCAGTAAATGCTGTGTAGTTACTATTTAAATGTTTAGTACATTTATTAGGGGTTGTATATATATTGTGTATTTATCTAGTAATCCTAGATTAACCGTACTTACAGATTTCAACGAGTTGTTCTTAACTTTGATCAAATATATCTTCGATTTGTCGGAATTGATGTTATCACGTTATTATATATTATCATTACAAATTCATTATTGTAGAAGTATTATTAGTAGTAACATGTAGTACAACAGTAGTAACATTTTTTTTTCTTAGTATTAAGGCAGGACTTTATTATATAAACTTACTAATAATATATGTATATATATATATATTATTTTATGCATATTAGTTACTTATTTTATTATATTATTATAATTTTCTAAAAAAATAAAATGACATATGTGTATCATACACAATTTTTTAATATTGTAACCTTCCAAATGGCAGATACTGCCTTTTTAATTGTCATTGTTGTAATTTTAGATTCTGAGCGGAGCGAGGAATGTATTGGTTTTACATTGATGTTTATTTTTTTTTATCTGTGAACCAGCAGGTTTGGTCTATTTTGAAGTGTAGCACTTTTATTGAAAGGAAATCTGACTGGAGTGGTACTTTAAGAAGGTCATTTTTGATTTTCCTGTTTTATTTGTTTTGTTTTGAAAAATTGCAATATAGTTGACAACAAATATTAAAATATTTGTTTTTTTTTTTTTTGGAAATCTACAGAGTTTAGAATTGGACATAAAAGAAATGTCTAAAATGGGAACTTTTTCTAAACAAATTTTTCTAACCGTGGTGGTCATAGATTTTATAGCGATACATAAATTAATGACCTCTTCGTGCACGGCGCGTAACAATGAAAAACAACCAAATACGCAGAAAACGGGAAAGACATTTTTACGTGACAGTCTTGGCATAATATTTGTTTTCGAAATCAAAGAAAATAGCCACGGAACTGGTCAAAACATATAAATCGTTTTCGATAAATTTCCAAAGAAAATAATCAGTTTTTTCCCTACGTATATAGGAAATAACTTGTGATTGAATTCTCGTTATTCGCGTTGTGTAAATAGTTCAGAAATAATTATAAACTCGCAAAACTTGGCATAGGTACTGACGTACTTACTTATATACAATGTTGGTGTACGAACAGAAAATTTTTCAAAAAATCCAAGGGCACCAACAAGTAAAATTTTAAAGGAAGGGGCAGCCCCATTCCCATGGAAAACTAAAAGCGTGTCTAATTATTTTCCATCAACGTCTCTTAATTATTTCCTTTAAACTACGTTTTTCTCCAACAATATCTCGAAGTTTTCCTTCATTTTTTTGTCCAGGTTATTTTCTCTATTCATCTCCTGTACATCACGTTTTCATAGTTTTCAATTTTTCTTTTCATTTTTATTTATGTTTCGCATCCATAGGTGACAAATGCTTCAAATGTACGCTTTTATCAGCCTCATGTTTTTAATATTATATTTATTTTATTTTCGATGTTCAATTTTATTGCTAATAAAAGTTGTATTTGTTGGATCTAATCGTTGTCCGATTTGTTTGTTCTTTGCCGTCCGACGTTATTTGTACTCCCTATACATAAGTACATAGTAAATTCAAACGTTGTTCTAATTAGTTTTAACTTGTTCTAATTTCTGATAGTCTAAGATTACAACTCCGTTTTTATTTTGGGATTTTCTGCACTTAAACAATTATTTTTGTTTTTGTAAACAGTTTATTCTTAAGTTTTATATGCTCCAATATAGTTTCGTTTCGATGTGTTTTTTAAAGTTTGATATACGCCTCTGCAAACGTCCTGGATATAAAACCCATAATACCTATTATTACAGTATGAATTTTATTACTGCCAGCATCGCGTTGATGATTATAATACGTAGTAATAATACTATGATTATTATATTTTACTTACTAAAACATATTAAACGATATTTAATATTTTTACACTAAGTACGTTTCCTTGTTGCGTGTATAATTTTTTTTTTTTTTACGTCTCGACGATGTTTTCTGCAGTCTGAGTGTTCCGCGGAAAGAAAATAAACATTATTATATTTTAGTACGGCTATGGTTTGTAATTTGTTTTCATTGTTAAATGAAATAACGGAGAGTAGATACCTTATCCTACACTGTACTGTGGGTATTTCTATATACTATTACCCGTGTAGTTTTAGAGAATTTTTTTTTTTTTTTGGGCGTATACACGGTTTTTTAAGATAATGGTAAAAATGTATTCGCGTATAAAACAAACGAAAAAGCCTATTTAAAAAAAAATGAAAAACTGGTTTATTAAAACCCTTGGAATTATAATAATGTATATGTAATTAATATAGAAATTAAATTTTGGTGGGGTGGTAAGTAGGTCCTATGAATTGTTGATAACTTATTCACTAGTTGGTAGCATAAATCGCTGAATTGGAGTAAAAATATTTGGGAATTTGTAACAGAAGTAGGGATTAAGATAATTTACTAAAGAAAAAGCCACTGGGTGGTTTTTCCGATATTTGAATTTTCAAGCAAGTTATGAGTATTTTAAACCGTGATATATTATCTGGTTCTCTTATAAGACTGCCCGGGTTGGATCAGTGGTAAAACTAGGAAGGAGGGTGTAATTTAGGTGATATATCACCCCCCACAAAACATTTTTTCTACGTTAAATAATTATTAACTTTGGTTTTTTAAGTATTACCTATTAAAACTTATTCAGTGTTATTAATAATAAATACTCAATTTACCCTCCGAAATAAGGTCCTAGTTACGCCACTGAGTTGGATATTACTCGTTAAAGAATATAAACGTGATAACTATGTTGTAAATATTTTCAGATCTTTCTGACAGTAATTTTCCGTGATCACATCAGAGGCGGGCGTACTCGAAAATTGTGTGTTTTTGTTTCTGATAATCCGGAAAGTCACGTTTTAGAAAACATAAGTACCGGCCTTAATCAACAACAATTATTACATAGGTACTATTATTGCTGTTAAACGACCGCCACGGCATTTATATATACAGAAATATCATATTATTTAACTACCGAATGTATCGAAATAAAAACGTACAACGATCACGTACTTTATTTAATTTAATTATCCGACTCCTTGTATTCCGAGGAAGGTCACTGAACAGAATAAAGATTAAATAATACTAAATGACGATGTGTTATTGTCTTGCAAACGGTCGATTTGTATTTTTTTTAGGTTGTATATTTAAATACTGGTAAAACTGATATTTTTGTCAGTGGTTGTTTGATAATAAAATTTAAAAAAAATTCAAATAAATAATAAAACAACTTAAAATTTTCAAACGTCTAGGTTTCAACATTTTATCTTGTCTAGAAAGTGCTATTATTAGTGTCCTGTGAAAATTTCACGTGTCTGCGATTATTTAACGATAACTTAATTACAACCACAATTGGAAATAACATAACTGGTTATGCGTAGATTTTTTCGGTTTTCTCAATTATTACAAATTACAAAGAAAATTAAAAAATGACCTTATAAACGCACTAATTAGATATGATTTGCTACATAACAGTGCTCTTGTCGTATTTCGATTGGAGCAAAAATGTCTAGTCAAAAAGTCGTTTACAGACACACAAAAGAAAGAAGAAAAAAACCATCATACATCATAACCGTAAAATCAATTTATAAATCTTGAGCTAAACCATAAACATTGCAATGTTCTGTATGTGTATTAACTATTTGGAACGATTTTACACGAAGCTATTACGCGAGTATACTGTTTGCTCGAAATCCTTATTAACTTATAGTAATTATCAGATATAGATTACCTATATCAAAATAAGATAAAAATAAATCGCTTTGTAGCTGATGATTGTCATTATAAACAGCCCCTTCAAAAAAAAAAAAAAAAAAACACCTCGAAATTTAAGTCAATTTTCGATAATGTCACGGGGTGATCATCGTTGTTGTATTATGTAGTGTCGTTACCCGAAATAGTTTTTGTTTATTTTAAGAGGTACTTTCTAAATTGACGACGAAACAAACACCTCGACAATCGATTACGTGTCGTATCAGATAGTATACGTGTAGGTGTTGAGACAAATACGAAACATAGACATGCCACAGGAGAGTCAAAAAGCCGGGGTATTTGAAAATATAATACCTACGCGTAATACGGATTAAAAACACAAAAACAATCAAAAGCACTTAATAAAAATTAATATTAAATTACAAAAAAAAGAAAAAAATGTATTATAAGTATTAGAAAAAAATTTCATGATTATAAGTATACCTATTATTAAAAAAATAAAAAAAAAAAATAATAAATAAATTTCAAACAATAATATTAAAAACAATTTATTCAAATACATCGAAAATTGTTAAAAAATATCAAACAATTCGGAAAAAATCATATCAACCAAAGCAATTACAAGGTACTAAAATAACATAAATAAATTAAAAATATCAATTGAATTCGAATACGCCAGTATAAATATTCAAATTAAGTGTTCGGCGCTATTATTATAGTATTGTAGGTAGTTCTAATATTATGAGAAGAAAAAAAAGAAACTTATATAAATACATAATACACAATACACAAATAATAATACAAAACCGCGAGTTTTAGATTAGATATTGGCAAAAATGGTTATTCGTCCTTCATATACCTTGTGTCAAGTCTAATAATACTCGCTGACTTAGAATTATCATTTATGAAATCATATAATATTTATTTTTTTCATTCGAATTTTATTATATTATATTATAGTTCCTGTAGACTGCGCAAAATTTGCAATATTATGCATTAAAAAATTGTGCAAATTATTTATCTCGATATAATTTTATATTGTTATTGTTTTTTTGTTTAAAACAAAAACTTTATTTATTATTCGATTTCTACCATATTAGAAAACGTTTTTTGAACTTCAAATTAGTAAATTGCAGATCGTGTAATCGTTTTGAAATCAAATATTACATAAATAAATATATAGGTAACATATTCACCCGCCCAGACCGAATTATAATATCTTGAAAATTTGTTGAAATTACAAAGTTTGCGTCGTCTATATTTTCTGTTTCAAAAATTCTTACCTCCGTAATAAAATTCGAAATCTTCAGCTTTCGTCCGACGACCTGTACACATCAAAATTTCAAAAATCTTTGTAAGCTTCTAGTTGCATGAATATAATATGATTTATAAATTATAACTATGTAGTTAAATATTCGAACGTATTTTTTTTTTTAAATTTCAATACGTGTACCCTGTCGTAAGTATTCGCACACAAATAATAATAATAATTTTATTTTACTACTTTTCGATTTTCCAATTTCCCGCGCATAACATATATATTATGTAGGTAAATCGTCTATGTCACGCATTATTAGAAAATTAGTGTTGTAAATCAAAAAATGGCGATCTTGAGCAAGTTATACCTACCTGCAGTCTTCCCATGGAAAAAATATGCAGTTATTTATGATTCTTTAAGTACTAGGTGAAATATTTTAAACGGTATGCTTACTCTAATCACAAATGACATGCTCGAAATTTGTTTTGTTTTAAATAATCATTATTTCGATATTGAACGTTTAAACTCAAACCGTGACCGTAAGCACAGGAGCGTCTTTAGATCTTGGTTATGAGGGGGTGGCGAAATAATTAAATTTAATATTATTGATTGATAAGAAAAAAAATTATGTTAAATAATATAGGTATTATATTGATTATATCTACTTCTGGACCATGCCAAATGCCAATATAAGCCCATTTATCTTGGGAGGAGTAAGGTGATCGCCTCCATCGACCTCCTCCCACTATAAGAACGCCCCTGTACGTTTGACTCGTTCAATAAAATCGAACGTCAAACGTAGCAGACATAGCATAACACAGCATAACATAGATTATGTACTTTCATTTGTTATCAGTAGGTATTTATAAATACCTGAATTCTCTTCTAAATATTATATCGAACGCGATAAATGAAGTTTTAAACAAACGGTCTAAACCACTCTCTGATACTTATTAATTATATTAATTCGAAAATATCATCGTTCAATTAGTTAATTAAAATCGAAGAACCGCATTTATAAACAGAAACGTCCGTATTTAATGGAATCTCGCATAAAGGCAATTTTAATAGAAATTGTCGAGAAAAAAACCTGTGAATATCTTCTTTTTTCTCGTATTCAGTCATCCTAATTGTTTGCTGTAGATTTTCATATGTCTTATTTTCGTAACTTAATTCCTTTAAATTCTTAAATTCATCGTTATCTTTAACACCTTATATCGATTATGTTTAACATAATTCTTGTTTCATGTACTCCGCTCACATTGGTCTGCTTCTTCCAATATGGTTTTTTGTAAAATTTTCATGATGCAGTTATCGAATCACCATTTTGTCTTTTCTGACTTAAATATAACGCCTAAGTTCTCGTTTCTTCTATATTCTGTTCACTACTTCCTGGTTTGTTACTCTTTCTGCCTATAAAATCTTAAGGATTTTCTGTTTAGTAATACAATAAAATAGCCACTACTGTTCTTTTCTCTTCTGTGCCAATCGTCTAAGCTTCGCAGTCATATAGGTCCACATTTCATACATATACTTAAGCTTTTCGGGAACATTTTCTTTACCTATGGTATCACACTATTGTTGGTCATCAGATAAAAATTGATCAATTCAAAAAATTGAAATTCACGTTCACAACAATCTACAGTTATTATATTTTATTAATTATTGTCATTATTGTGGAATAGAAAAATGTCTCCAAAAACACGTTCAAATATATATTTTTTAAAAACTTGTTTGAATCTCAGTGTCTAACTATTTTTGTGGCTATTATTTTGAACAACGCGTACCTGACGTACTCCATATATATATATATATATATACTGTATTTTGTTTTAAAATATGAACCGACATTAAACGATATTACTAGAAAACCACGTAAAACTACAAAATTAAAAAAAAAAAATACGTAAATTATATTTTTGGGGTGGGTGGTTGACGAACATTTTCGTGTATGAAATGGAAAAACGATGTAACAAAAAAAAATAAAAATATAAAAAAAATAATAGGTGCGATTCGTTTGTTTCTGTTTGTATTGTACTCGTATATACTTAATACTGAAAAACTCGGATAGGTAATTTTTAAATTTTAACCCCGGGTGTTAATTAAAAGTTATAACGCTGTGAGTACCTTTTTTTCCGTATCACAACGAACGAGTTCCGGTTCGTAGTATGTTTTAATTATTATTATCATCATAGTCGCGAATAAGTTTTTCAACTCGCCATTTATAGCGTGGCGTATATTATATGCGCGAGTTTGAGTAGGTGAGATTTGTTAAAAAAAAAACGAAAAAAAAAAGAAGTTTTGTGTTTTATTAATGTTCGAAAAAAAAAAGAAAAATATTACACGTCTTCTCAAATTTATTAGTCTGATGTTTTTACTTTATTGTGGCACTTATAATAGTATGCAGAGAAAATCTCATACAAAATCACGAGGATGATGTATTCGTATTTATAACAAAATTCACGGCTAAAGTTAAGTTCACATATTTTATCGGTAAGGTATAGGATATTTTTATTTTTGGAAATAATTAACATTTACCTACTCAAAAATATTTGAAATTTACTTTCGTATACATTTTAGAACGGTCCCGGATCTTTATTACGTGTATTCATAGTGTAGTCGTAAATTTGTATTAAACAATAAATTTAAAAATAAACGCAAAGTCAGTTACATGTTGGGTCTGCAGGAGGTGGGCAAAAAGGTTCATTTGCCTCTCATTGAGTGTTTTTTATCATAGGAAGCATAATGATAGAAATAAAAGTGTGAATGTCAATACGAGTGTTTGCCCGTTCCTATATACATTTCTATGGACAGAATAGACTTGATTGTTACACTGGTGTATATTTAAGAAATCCAAATCTACCGACTAAATGGCTGATTTCTCAAGTAAAATTTAACCGGTGAATATATAAAAGTTGAAATTGTGTCGATTGTTTTATTGAAGGGTGGGAAGGGATTAATTATCACAGTTATCAATTTTCTTGGTTACACCGGTCCGTACTTTATTTCAAATGTACAAAACGAAAAAAAAAATTGGGACGATTTTTTTTTTTTTACATTTTTTGGATAATAAATCGATTTTTCTGCGTATAATTTTGACGGTACAGTAATGTAAAAACGTGCAATTAATAATACTAACGCGTTTTTCGGGAATAACATATTATTCCTTGTAATTTATTAACAACGGTAATAATAAAAATGTTTGGACATATGGCGATCCGGAAGCGGACGTCAGTTTTGGGCATTTATAATATTATATTTAAGCGCGTTTTTATGTGTTTTTTTACGTAGGTACCTACCGCGATATTCGTCATGATAAATAATGAACGAAGGCGATTGAAAAAACATAATAACACAACAATAACAATATCGTCTGATTTTATACAGGGGGAGTTTTTAAGCACGTTTAAATGAGAAAATTCGTTTTTTTTTTTTAAATGAAAATCCTGTCTTATTTGTCCAATTTGTTAACACTATATTATTGGACAGCTTCTGAAAAAAATCAATAAAATAGAATGGTGTTTTTTGGCAAAATTTGTTTGGCATTTAAGATTTTTCAAAATTGAATGTGTTATCAGTGTTGTATTTTATCTAGCTAAATTATCTAGATAGATAATATGTTTATCTTTTATCTTATCTAGATAAATAAAAAATAAGTTATCTGAGATAAATGATTGAATCATCTAGCTATAAAACCCAGAGTTCATTTTCTCAGGAATATTCCATTACCAAAAACGATCTTCAAATGGCTACGTCAAGAGAGCGTCTTTAGCGTCTTGTGCGGGCAATGAAAAACAAACTTAAATGATATCGATTTTGGGAAATTTTAAACTTGATTAATTTCTTAATATAAAATATAGAGTTTATTTATCGTTTATTATTTTTATTACTGAATATAAACTAAACAGGTAATACATAGACATTTTTATCAATTGATCAATTTTATATGTTTGGAAAAGAATAGTCTATTTTTGTTTGCGTAATGATGAAATATGCATGATAAATACGACATGTACACGTAAACGGATAGACACGTACATTTTATTTTTATTATCTTATAATAATTTATCGCCATCTGTTAAACAAAAAAGGGTCTTATCCGATTACTTAGAATAAAACCAACGTCTTAACAAGTGGTTTTATAGGACCCGACAGGAAACAACGCCTTTTGCAGGAAATCATCTTAAGCGAGTTTCACTATATTTATAAATAAATAAATTATTAAGTTAAATCAATCGCACGAGGCACGACTTTTTTTAAATCCAGACGTGTACTAAATCTGGTAAAATTTCATTGTTTTTAGCACTTATAAGTTTTATGATAGATGGTGAACAAAATTATCTTTTGTTTTATCTAGATAAATAGTCACTGATTGTTTCGGTTAAATTTCGGTAGTTTTTTTAATTCGTAAATTAAAATTCAACGAAAAAACCATTCAAAACAAAACTATCGAGAAACTAGTTGAAATTTTGAATGTTTTTTTATTCTCGAAGTAATGATAGTTTACCAATTTGGTGATTTTGTTTTTTATATTTTTTGAATTTCTAGACCGCGGATTTTTATTTTTTAGAAGTATAGGTATGCCTACCTACTCATTTTGTAATTATATAAATTATACTTTTAATCGGTTAAATTTTGGGCCGCAGCACATCAAAATAATACTCTTTGCGAAACTAATTGTAAACCGTCCCTATATAATATCATTTGGCCCTCGGAATTGCAACTGTTTCGGAACAGTCATCAAACGTATAATTTTGACGAACGAGTACGCTTATAGTATGCTGCGTGGAATTCACCGAAATGTTTCGGCTTACATGGGATTTTAACTTTAAAATAACGGTGAATACGAAAAAAAAACCGTTAAATTTTATATGGTAGGATTAAACGATTAAAATATTTATTTTGAAAATTTAAAATAGTTTAAACTTTTTGCGAGGGGGGGGTACAACAATCGCGATGCTGTAAATAATATATTATTTATAATAAAAACTTCTAAACGTACCTATACAATTATACTTATGTATTTATTTCGAAGTGGTACTCCGTGTATGTTGACTCGCGAATCCACTTGAAACGGGCCGTTTGATGTTTTTTCTTTTAAAAAACATACGTCACCTGCCCTTCCCACGATTATAGTCTTGTCCCCTTTAAGCTCAAATTTATATCCTTAGCCGATCGTAGACACGGTCTTAACATTGTATTCCTCCAAAGACTTTTATCTAGTGCCATCGATTCTCTCTCTTATTAACTTTAAAATACCAGCCCGAAACATTCGCAGTACAAAGCCATTTTTCATCCCTCTTTATACCACCAACTATCTTAGTATTGAGCTTATAAGTCATATTATGAAGCTTGCCAATGATGACCCCTTATTTAATCTAATTTGATTTGTGTTTGAATTGATTTGATTTTATGTATATAGCCTATTTAATTTGTCTTAATATTTTTACTATTTCTTACGTTTTTATTATATTGTACTCATGCATACTTATATTTTACTATTAAATTACTAACATACTTTATTCATGTATAATTTTTCTGTTATATCATTGTTGGGCGCTAGTCTATATGTATTATAAATAAATAATAATAATAATATAGATTTATGTATTCATTTTCAGGGTTATATCCCTCTTCCTATTAGCTTAAAAGTACAAAAAAAATACATGAGTAATCTAATATTGAAATGCATATACTTCAGCCAAGTTACGAGGAATAGCTTGTTGTTTTGATTAGAAAAAGGCTTTTTTTATGATATGTTTTTTAAATCACCAATTCTCATAGTCAAGTTTAGTAGAGAAGACGATTTTAAAAGTTATTCACGATCCTTATTTGCTACACCCCCTATCATTGAATATTCCTGGGCACGCCACTGTTCTTCAGTATTATTTTGTACCTATGTATGTCGTAAGGGTTGCTGGAATCATATAAGACGTTTGTTGGCGTTGATAAGGTTGGGAAATAATATTATATAACAGAAACTGTTATGACTTTTATTAATTTTAATTTGGAAAACAGGTACTAGGTACTTACGAAAGTAAAACCAGTACGTTTAAAATGCTTTTATAGAAAAATTAAAACATATTTTTCAACATTCATTTAGAATAAATCGTTGCAGGCACACATATTTAAAACCGCGTAATTGAAAAAAAATATGTATACAAAACAGTGTACATCTACTTAAAAAGTTACAACACAAAATATGCGCAGTATACCATTAATCGGGATGCCAAAAAGTTACCAAACCTAAAATTGTGGTCGGCAAATGTTAAACAAAAACCACCCGCTCATCATCCGGCCACCTACCTTCTAAAATATTATATCGGTACCTATATGGTGCACTGCACCAAAAGTTTCGTATATCAAACTACCTCTGCCACCCTCCCTTATTTTTCCTATAACCCTGTTCACGTCATCACCAGTAAGAACTTGATTTTTATAAACGTCGTAAAAATAACGAAGCAAATATTGTTATGTGGATAGTTGATTCACGAATTTGCTTGAAACGCTAGGGCCGTTATATGTTTTTTTTTTTTTAAAGAAACATAAAATAGATTCATGTATTCATCTTCACAAGAAAATCAAATTAAATTTAAGTGTACCTTTCAACTACAATCTGTATAATACAGTGATGTGATATATAAAAATAGTATTCTTTGAAAATTAGAAAAATCCTGACTTATTTCTTTTTTAAATCTGAAATGCAATTGCATTTTACTACATTCTCAATTTTTCTATTTTTATGTAAAACATATAATAACATATAATTCTATTCGTAATTAGTTTGAAAATATAACTGTATAAATGGTTAGTAGATTCATATATTTAAGTTATTACAATCAGAGTTTCGAAAAATGGCAAAATCTGGATTTAGAAAATAAGTGAATTTCGGATTTCCGATAAATTGACAATAATTTGATAAGTCCTGGATATTTTAATAAAATTGACTCTTTATCTGGAAAATATATAGATGCAATATAAACGAATACTTAGAGCGAAAAAGAACAAATTGATTTAAGAAGAAAAAAATATATTCCCTTTGAAAATTTCTTATTTTTCCGTCGACAACAGTCGTACGACACTAGCCGTCGGTTATAGATCACGGATACTTATTTGAATTCTGAGTGTGGTATGAACTGTATTAGTTTTGCCTGTGAACAACTTTTCTACCTCAAATCTAGCTCCGATCATCAATACGCGTTTGAAATCGCTCGTCTGGGAATCTGGTCGCACTATTATTATAATTAAATATTTTTAGAATTCGACTGAATACAAAATGCACTTATAATTTTGTAAACGCGTTAACGGTTTTCAACCGCATCTCCGGCAGTACCTATGTAACAATATATCGTATTTGTTATAACCGTTGAAATTGTGATCAAATTTCGATAAAAGATTTTCAGTTCCCATCATCCCCTTACTCCCTACCCCTAAACACTTAAATATATTGAAAAAAAAAAAACGTTTTAATATAAAACTGCGCTAATATATACCCTACGTAATATATTATAAGTACACCGTATTATTATTGTTTTTCCGGTACCCCGACGGATTCATCATCATATGGTATTTTTCTGTATTGCTCTCGGTCGGTAGGGTAGGTATCCTATACCTACTTCGTATACGTGATAAAAATAAAACGCCGACTTGTACGCGTCAGAGTGGTTAGCATAGCGAGACGAGTGCTACTTGGGAACAGCGAGTCTCTGAAGACCGAAGTCGAAATATGTTCGATAATAAGAAATGTATAAATATTGTTTTACGCTGCACTGTTTAACTAGGTTACCGCGTAATATTTATTTATCTAATCAATGTAACGATGATGATGATGATAATAATAATAATAATAACAGTACTATTTAGGTGCCTATCTAGTAATAAACGAATGCGAATGACGTATTACGAGCAATTATTTATCGCGCGAATATAAAAGTCGAACATTTTTTCGAAATTGCAGAGGCGGGTAGACCACCCGTGGGTTTTTAAAATGTTTGATTTGATTACGGTTAGCGGTTTTTTTTTTCATACCTATAGAAGGTGGACGGAAAAATAACGACTTTTATTAAAATGTAAAAAAGAAACATTATATCGAAACCGCATTGCGCAGTTATCCGTATTATTATTATATGATTATTAATTTCTTATGTTTACGGGGATGACGGGATTTATTAATATTCCGTGTCGGCATCATTAAATTTTGCGTAAACTAAACGCAGAAAATAATATATACTCGCAATAATAAAAAGTAGTCGACCCCGGGTGGGCCACTGTTTTAGGTGGGAAGTCGGGAAGCTATATAATAATTTATAGGTAGTTAGTCCCCTAAAACTCAGCCGAACCGTTCTCTCTAAAGTAAGTCTTCGTATCAAATAAATACTAGGTAACCGTGATCAATATTATAGGATGTTTTTTCTTTTTTTTTTTTGGGGAAAGAGAGAGAGAGAGAGAGGATTTCCTCAAGAAATATTTCTGTTATTTGTGGCTATGTATATGTAGTCACCGCGTCAAATTCTTTATCTTTAATATACAACCCAGGTTTATGTATGCCGACCACGGACATACGATTTGTTTTCTTCAATTTTTTTTTTTGGTCTATTTCTGGTTATGCACATCGTAATTTGACGTGAAAACTCTTATGTGTTAAAACCTGATTTTTTAGGAGACACAAAAAATGTTTTAAAAACTCAAAAATTGTCAATGATTGACGGAAATACATTTTAAAATTGCCAAACCATAAAATTATTTATTCCGAAAAAAATTGAAGTAAAAAACTTAGTTACAGATATCATAGATATAACATTGTATAAATTGTCAATAATTCATCAAAAAGGAGGTTTTTATTAGTTAAAATGTTTTGCTAAATCACATAGGAGGTTTTTCAACGTCACATAGGAAGTTTTCTAGTGACGATTAATGCAACATAGGACATTTTTAATCACATAGGAGATATTTTACAAACGATTCAGTATAGGTAACACACGAGAGGTTTGTTTTTTATTTTTCTTCATTTTTTTTTATATGGATAGCACATAGGAGATATTATCATTTGATAGTTAATTGTTTTCTGAATCCAGGGATACTAAAATCTCGAAATCAAAAATTTTGTACATATGAGGTTTTTTCACGTCAACGACGATATGTAAATTTTGAAGAAAAATGAGCGGGGTTAACGACACATCATGGTGGCGAACAATTTTAATATTAGTTATTTTTATTGTTCAGTTGTTTTTATGCGAACATTTTGGAGTTTTTTTTCAGAATTTAAAAACCACAACATTTTCTCATTTTTAATTGCTAACAATATTAATTTGTATTATTCAGGGTGTTCTCCAATGTTTTACAAGGGTTAATTACTCTATTAATATTTTAATTTTTTTTTTTACTTTTAAATAAAATTTACATTAGAGACATATATGTAGAGAACAATTACATTTTTTTATTATCACCCCGTAATCATTATAAAAAAAAAACTTTATTTATTCACTTTTTGAAATTGCTCGATTTGTACCTAACAGATATAATTCTAAACATTTTAGTCCAATGTACATATATTTCCGGTGAATAGTTTTTTTTAATGATAGTTGTTTCAAGTTTTAGAGTCTGAAAAATGTATATTCAATAAACAGGTTATGCGATAGGAAATCACAATTATCGTAATATAAGTAATAAAACTGTCGAGTTTATTACACTATATTTTTACAATTAGCGAATTTTAATTTTATTCTGTGTACGAGTATTATTATGAATAATATATTTTAAATGATGGGCGATAGGTAAAATTAAGCTCCAAAAAATGCATAAATCAAAATATATTAATACAACAAACAATAAATACTAAAAAAAAATTCTCATCTAAGTCTTTAGTGTCCGGAAATTTCCAGTAGCGCCAACCCTGTGTTAACTAAATTTATTAAAGACCAAGGTAAGTATTCTGTTTGATTTCGGTTTACGAATATTTTTAATCGAACTACCACAAACAAAAAATAAAATCGAAAATAATGAAACCATTATATTTTCGCAAACTTTTTCATTTTTCCTACGGTTATTCCCAGTTATTAAAAGAACTACTAGGCACCAATTAGATACAATATTTGATTTATTTGAGAAGATGCTACTATGAAAATCGGAGTAATATTCTTGGTAGAAAAGTTGTTTACAGACAGAAAACAAAAACACATTCACATATCATAGCAAACCCAATAGGATATTTCTAGCTGTACTCAGAATCTATAACTAGACAATTTTAAATAACTTTAAAAACTCCCGATGCATTTGAAATTCGAATTTTTAAAATAAATTTATCTATATATAAATACTGTTAGAATGTATATAAATAAAAAAGCAAATATTTTTTTTTTCAAACAAATATACCCGCTATAGTGTAGTTTTGTAGTGTTTGGTCGATTACTATATAGCTCTCGTCGTCTAAAGGATATTACAGTAATTAATCAACTATCGCTACATGCTAGTTATTACCGTGCTGTTTACTCATCATGACAATAGTTCGCAATAGTGGCTATCACGAAAGTACCGCTATATACCGCAGTGCAGATTTGGTTTTTTTTCATTATATTACAAAAGTGTCTCGATATAATATTGTTTTTATTAATTTTGCAAACAGTACCTACGAGTATAAAGAGTACCTATGTGGTGTCATATTATATTATTTCGTGACCGTCGACGAGCGGCGGAATGGCGTATAGGTATTTTGGATATTTGTTAATCAATCATGTCGTATTTCGCGTGCGTTTAAAATTGTACACATTAATTCCGTTACAACCGTATATTTTATATAGGTACGTATAAAATGTGTCGAATTAACGGGTATTTTAATATTGAGTATAATATAATGGTATAAGTTCGTACGCTTTTTGTCTTTTATAGAAATATAATATGGTGTAGTTAGGTATTAAAATTGTATTTCACTTTTCAGACAAAAATATTTAAACAACTAACTGAACTCATTAACGCGTATTACATAGTATAACAGAGTATTAAAACTATATTACATCTACATATTATGACATTGATGACATTTCTGCTAGAAAATGTTGTTAAGTATTTTGCAAATCGTTTTTTGATATCCTTTATAGTTTGTTTTAATAATTGGCAAAAATTAGGAAAAAACTCGAAAGTTTATGCAATAACGGATTCTAGCGGTTACTATTGATGTGTAATTCGGTTAAAAATTACCTTAGATATGTGATATTTTTACAGAATACTTATATTAGCTCTTTCTAATCGTAATATAACATTTTAAAATGTATGTCGACAAGCTATTTATAGTCATTTAAGCCATTTGAAATTATAAAATTGGTTACTTTTTTTTATGTGGTTAAAATTGCTTTGAAAAAGTAAAACTATTCGAAATTGTATTATGAAGTCCACTTGAGCTGTACTTAATGATGAAAAAAAAAATAGTTGAGCATAGTATAATAATATTTTTTTTATAAACAATTCAAGTTCAAATGTTGACGAAAATTTTCCCAACTAACATTTTACAACAGTAGCACACTCATTAACGATATCAGTAGTATTTTTTTTTTTTATAAAATATTCGATAAAATACCCATATTCCACCCATTAAAATTTGGACATACAATATTCTCATCTTGAGTATCTACTTATTTTTATTAATTTAAAGAGACATGTTCTATTTTTATATTATTTTCAGAAACTATCGGAGATTTAAAATTATAGCTATTTGTAGTTAGTTTTTTCACGTTTCATCGAAGAATCCGTTACTTGATTCCGTTTGTAATTAATAAGTGTAACTAAAAGAAAAAAAAAAAAATCGACAAAAATGAATATCTATGTGTTTTTATAACGCAATATGATAATTTTATCGCTTAATATATTCGTGTAAGAACTTTGAACCTTTTGGTTATGTCTGGTATAGTATTGTAGAACATTATTAGGTACCAGAAAAAAAACATATATACACATAATTTACTAGAAACAATACAAATCAGGACGTGCGTTACGATTGTACATCTAATAGTACCTATTTTAACAATACATATTATATAATTATGTAATAATAATTAATAAAAAAAAAAAAAAAAGAAAGACAAACGTATGAATAGGCCACGTAGGTACGTAGTAGTAAATGGAAAGTTTGAAATAACATAATATATAGTCGGTATAATTTAATTTTTATTTTAAAAGTAATAATAAATTAAAGCAATTGTGAAACTATTTTGAATGTTGACATATTTTAAAACTCAGAAATCAACAAAAATAAAACCGACGTATTGGAATTTGGAATCTAATTAATGTACAATGGTAATCATTTTGGAAGATTTTGACTAACCGAAGAGTATTTGTCAAAAAAAAAAAAAAACCCATTTAGAGGGTGAATTAAATTCGAAAATTATTTTAAGTAAAGTACCAAAGGTTGACATTTTCGAGTATTTAAAAGGTATTGCTTGAAAAAAACTGAGCATTTTATTTACTAATCAAGTAATTAAAAAATAAATATAGAATACAATTTTTTGGAATAAATGTTTGGAATTTTGAAAATTTGGTCAGTTGAAGGTGGAACCTAGAAAAAATATACGTATTTTTTATAGTACGACACAAATAACGTTTTCTGTAGAAAACACGATCACACTGTATACTGAGAATCTAAAATTTAGTATTTTCTATGAAAAATACTGGCCTCTGATGTAATTTTCGGATCATTAGCCATGCAGACGTATTATAATTGTATTATATTTTATTGCGAGAACACATCAAATAAAGAAAAACACACCGCCGGATTGGGTAGGATTACAACAAGACAAGGTTGATACAGTGATGTTACCTGAGGTGAGGTGGTGGTTTAGATGTATTCAACCCCCTTCCCGTTTCCAGTATTAAAACGCAAAAGAAAAAAAAATATAAACTATTCACCGTTTAAAACTTATCACCTATTAATAAAATGATAATCATTGCGGATTTGCAATACTAACTTAACATAGAACAAATAATAATTCCATGAACTACACTGCAATTGAATTTTTTTTTTTAATCAACTTCAAGAAAAATGCACAATACACAATACATTTTTTCAATAAATACTTTACTTGTATCACAATACATAATTTTAATAAATTAATTTTAGCCATTCCCACATAAAAAATCTTGTATACCTATTGTATATTATTATAGATTCGATTGGGATTTAAAATAAAGATATATTTTTTTTTTTTTTTAATTTAATTATTCGTTTTTCGTTTGTTTGCTTATTATATAATATAGTATCTATTTAAACGAGACGAATCGCCGGACGAAATATTCGATTATAAAAATGAAAGTAAGTAAATACTACATATATATTATTTTGTATACCTCCTTGTTTGCATTCGGATTTTTCCACGGCCCATGCGATCAACGCGAAAAGGTACAATTTGGCGAAAGACTTGTGCATTTTGCCGCGCGAGTAGGTATGCGTTAGAACAAGGCGGATAGGTACGTGTTTTGTACTCGCGTGACGAGCGACGATTGTCGACGACGACGACTGCGGTGTTGTTGTTACACGGTTCTCACCTGTTGATGCCAAACAAAAACACACTGGGAAAAAAATAATCAGAAAAAACGGTCACGCACTCTCCGCTCTATGAGTTGGGTATAAGCTGCAAAGTCAACGTACGGCCGTCACACGTCGACTGATGCGGCGAAAGAATCTCTCCGGCATTTGTTACGCGTTTTATACGCGCCGAAAAGGTGAACGACGACGACGACCATGTACCCCTGCTGCACACACGAAGGCGGTGCCGCTGCACTCCTACGCTCACGGGGCGTGTAACTTTTTTTTTTTCAATAAACGTCATACACTTCTATCGGTATAGAATTAATTTTCGCCAGCCGCTGGATTAGATTTTGATTAAAACTAATAAGTAACTAGTAAACTAGTAGTCGTCTTAAAAAAAAAAAAAATCAAAATAATCAATCAAAATAATATTAGCTAAGTTAAAGTTAATTGTAACTTATGCAATGAATTTCAGTGATTAAACTATACGCGAATACTGTACGAACAAAGTACAAATAATTTAGAGGAATACATTATAATAATTTGAATTAATATAAGATATTTTCATTGTTACACATGGAAAAAATAAAAATAATTAATAATAATAATAATAATAAGAGAAGCTGGATATGGAAAAATATGGGAATATGAAACAAAAAAAAAATTAGGCAGGATGCTATTTTTTTGATAAATAACAATGAATTACATTATAATAAATACCTTTATAAATTCGTATTACTTTCTGGAATTTGTGAGCATTTACTTAATAGTTTATGCGTTTTTATTTATTTTTGCATATTGGTTAATATCCGATTTTCTACCTTGATTTATACTGAATTTTGCACGAAATACGACACGTTCTCGATATTTTTTAATAATGTTGAATTCCTATTGCAGTTTTTTATTAAAACATACATTTTCTTTTAACTTGACATTAATAATAGTATGTGATTTAAATTTAAATCGTAAAACATTGTTTGATTATTGAATACAATAAAAAAGAGCTGATATCGGGGAGTTGGAAAGGGAAGATACATACAATTATTTAATTTATATCTGTAAGGAACGATAAATCATTGCTAACGAAAATAAATTCTGATCGAGGTTCGGTTTCTACATGCTTAGAAATGTTGTAATTTTTACGATTTTCGTCTAAATTTAATTTTAAAACGATTATAAAAAAGGTTACAAACTATATGACGTTTTTGATCATTAAGTACATTTAATAATGAATCTTGTGTTAAATTTTTAAGAATATATGTCAAAATGTTTTTTCACTAAAGATGCTGCTCTTTAAATTTGAAGTAAGATTTCTGGTAGAAAACAAAAGTCATAATAAAATCATTAATTAATAAAACAATAGTCAACAAAAGAGTTGGAACTACTGGTATTAAAATATACTAGTAGTTAGTATCGGTATTACGATGATACAGTAAATACAGAGGTTTATCTGATTTACGGAGATTTACCTAATTCTAATACCATGATTCTTATATTTTAGAATAAATTGAGCTTACTTATTTTTATTAATTAGTATGTTACGTAGTGTGAACTCACTATACTATGACTTACCTATGTTACCAATAAGTAAGTAAGGTTAAAATAGAGCGAAAGAACTATTATGAATTTTACAAAAATATGTATTTCAGAGAACACTTTTTAGATAGAAAATCAGTGAATGCTGTGGTACTTTATTAGATATTTTTTTCCTAGACTTTTAGTTATTATATGAGAAATAGAATTTTAAAAATGTTTGACGAACTAACTTCCGCGTAGACTCGTTTTTTTTGCTTGTAATGATTTATCGTTGCTTGCATTGCTAACAGTAATTAAATTAAATTAATGTTGCCTATGTCTATTTTCCCAAACTTCTATCCAAAAGAGTGACCAACTCATAATGCAGAATTTATTAATTTTAGATTTTAAGTGGTGCGAGTAATGTTTTGGTTTTACAATGATATTTATTTTTTTTTTCTGTGAAAAACTTTTCTACCAGAAATTTTTCTCCGATTTACAATTTATAATTTTTCTGAAAGGAAATCTGACTGGGGTGGTACTTTGAGGAGGTTAATTTTTGATTTTCATTGGAGTTTTCCCAATAAATGGGAAAAACACGGGAAAACCTATTAAAACTTAGAAAAACAGGAAAATAGGTACAATATTAAATAAATATTATTAAGGAAAATATATAATGCAATTATTTTGTCATAATTTGACGTATACATTGTTGAAAAAGTAACACTATCAACCGAACTCCGCTCAGAATCGTTTTTTCATTAGCAGTGGTTTATTGTTGCTTAAAGTTATACATTATAATGTCTCCTCTATTACCTGTCCAACTCCTAACCTATAACTGTGGTCGCACTCGTCTCCATTATCCTAGCATAGCTTTTTAATTTTGAATTGCCGAAAATACCATAGAGTTGGTAAACACCGTTGATACGATGATTAATAATTATTGTAATAAAAATGATACGGATAATTAACGTTAATATTAAATATTCGGTTTATCGTTTATAATTGGTTATAATTCTAAATACCGAATACCAGTATTCGAAATTTCAAATACTGCCAGTCCTAATCAGTCCCCATTTTAAGTGTACCTAAAATCGCGCAAGAGCAGTTGTGTTTTGGAACAACTGCGGGTGCTCTTGCTGCCACGACTAATATAAATTATGGTTCCACGTGCAGAAGACACAATTGTTCGAAGAGGCCGATCTCCGCGGTGATGACCAGTCTACGAACAGAAACCAACAGTTCAACAAACCTTCAGCAGTACATCAATCACCTATAATGATATAATTATTATATACCTATAATTGCCTATAATTTACTTACTTGTCTTTTTTTATAAACGGTTATTTAATTTAAAAGAAATTGATTTACTTATCCGCGTCATAATTTTGCATTGTTGACGTAGAGGCATGGCTCCGTGAGCCATTTCTTACTAGCGTCTCACACACGTTCCAAATTAAACGCTACATATCACTCCAACACACACTGCATGTACGTACTACCTTATATATCCCACACTATCCATCCTACGTTATACGTGTCACGCTACATGCACCATGATACACCACAGTCAGTGTGTCCCATGGAAAAATGGTCCCGTGGATCAATGTTTCGGGAATCTGATGCAGATGCATGCATCTCATTTGCGTACAACGTAATTATACCGAATAAAATCAAGTCTAACTTGCGTGCATAATAATCATTTCACTTCACACTTACGCTTAGGACTAATAATGTTGTTTTTTCAATATTCTGGAGTGTTTAAAAATGAGAGTACATGAATACGTTGAGTTTAGTTGACCCAAAGAAAAAATTAAGTACAAAATATCAATAAATATTCTAGTTTGACGACTATGGTCATGAGGCACATACCAAGTCATGGTTTTTAGAAAACTGTTGAAGAATACACTCGATTCTCTCGTCCAATTTTTTACATTTTTATTTAAATTTAAATCACTCCATACATTTCGATGATCACTTTCTGCTGCTGCTGCTTTCAGTTTATTAATCGTTAATGAATATCCATATATTTGGGTGTGATTTTTCTATGAGTTATTCAAATTTATGTTGTATGTTTGGTACTTTTTTGGTGGCAGTTCTACATTCTTTTTAAAAATAGTGGCGGAATTAAGCCAGTTTTCAAAGAAATAGGTAGTCGTTCAACTCAATTAGATTCTCGTTATTATTTTAAATAGTAAGTCAAGCGTCGTCAATCTTATCAAGAGGAAAGTAAGTCATTGCTCCACACATTATGCAATATAAGGAAAATAAAGAAGTTTATCACGTAAGTATTATACGGATGCTAAACCAACATCCTGGATTTTTGCCACAAGTATTGCGTGAAGTGGAAATGGCATCCAAGTAATTTTATCTAAGGAAAAATAGTTCTCAAGGCATTTTTTGCTGCTATCTCGAAGTCTGTGTGTACAGACTATTGAATCTATTAAATATTTCTCATTTCATTAAATAAGTTTTTAACAGTTTAAAAACCGTAATACAAATATCGTTTTTATTTTCAAATGTACTTAGGCTTAGATAAAAATTAAATTACTATGGGAGGTTGCCATCGTAAAAAGATCGAGAAACGCATTGATATAGACCACCTGACAAATCAATTCGTATGTATGCCTATAAACTACCCTGGAAACAATTTGATAATTGGTAACCAAACGTAGATAGGAATTTTCTTCTTATTAGTATTTTGGTTATATTACCGGGTATCCTTTATTCGAAATTTGTTTTCCCCTAAAGTACGTGTTTTTGTATGTCAAATCCAAAAATGTTAAGATTTGTTGCGGAAACCATTATTAATATTAATATGTAGAATAGTAATGGTAAATAATAACGAAATATTAATTTGGGTTTATGTCGTAATAGCAATATAATATACGTATGTGGTTATTATACATTTTCCTAATTTCCGCCACATCAAAAACAATAATTAATTTTTAAATATTTTTTACGATAAATATTATTAATACTGTCGAATTTTTATAATGATATGTGATAGTTTAAAAAAAAAAAATCATAATACAAGTAATATGTACTTACTCGTACATAATTTTCAGTGGTATTCCGGAATCACTATACTGTTTATATCCGAATCAAATTAATTAACAAGTATTTTGCGTCCACAAAGGTCAGAATTTTGTTTTAACAGTAATCAAATGCAGATGAAGTGTCGAATCGTTTTAAATATATGAAAATCATTTGCAGGGTCACATAATATCAAAAATACGTCTTGTGTATTCACGCGGTGCTAATAGTGTAGGCAAGTGATTTGTCTGTAACATTTTTCGCGGTGTATTGTAGAAAGTAACAATAATACTGGAAAATATAACGGGGGCAACTATATTATATTTTAATAAAATGCAATTATAACAGTGTTCACAGAGGAGGATGGGAACATGTAGGTAGCTAGGTATAGAGTTCTGTGATTTGACTCGTGTCAAATAAAAGACGTTTGTATAATACTCTTATTATACATAACAACCGTCGATAAATATATTATTATTAACGCCCTGTGCAATTTTTTCTTATCCGCTTGTCGGAATATGATGAGACGTTGATGTCGAAAAACGAACACGGAGGCTATAATAGTATACCGGATACGCTGATTCAGA